AACAGTTTTGTCTCTTGTTTACAAACTGACTGTTACAAATTTAACCCTATTTAAATTAATTACAAAATATTAAAACCCTTTTAAAGCAAGCTGGACCTTTGAGCGTGCAAATCAAAGTAGGGGGCAAAATAAAACCCTATTCCATAACCTTTAAAATGTCACCTTAATCATGACAATCGGTTAAGTAGGACGGATAATAAATGAATGTTGAAGAGAAACCCCTTATTGAATGGATTTCAAGAGTTAATTTGAAGTACTTTAACAAAACGATACGTCCCTCAGTGATTTCGTTGGAAAAGTAATTAAACTGCGAAGTTTTAGCACATACTTTTAAGTACGTGATTCTTTAGTTATAAACCTCTCCTTAGTTTCACATACTTAGGAATGGTGTTGTGGGGGGAAGAGCGCATATCGTGTTTTTGCTCGAAGTGCTCAACAAAAGTAGCGTGCTAAGATGCTTCACTTCCGATATGTTAAAAGTAGAATATGACACAAAAACTAGTTTAAACTTTATAATTCTGCTGCTGAAATACAGCACCAGAAGCTCCGCTTCCATCTACAGGTAAGGTGCTACTTTGGGGTTTCGTTGGCTCCGGGAAAAATTGTCTCAATCTATATGTTTTGGTTTTTTACGTCTTGGCACTACCATGCAGATAGGGTTAGAAGTTTAACATATAATAGTGTAGTGTTTAAGTTAAGAAAATTGGTTTAACTAGAGCTCGACCAAAAGTATCCATTGTGCAAACTTTTCTTTTTTCACCCACGCTGTAAATAAAACATGTGATTGGAATTTCTTCCATTTGTTTGGATTTTATGGCTATATTTTGTTGTTATTTCGTCACCAACATAGCAACCCATAAGTAGTCAGGTTGGCTGTCGTAAGCTAAAAAAATTGGCCCCATGTTAAATATTCATAAAAAGTTTAATTTCAATTTTTGACCCAATTAACATAAATTTATGTTTATAAATTATTTTATTTGTATTTTGAAAATACTTCCATTTAACACAACCTGCATTTAAATCGGTCCAATAGAACTCCAGATCTCACTCTTAATAGACTACAAATTTTACCCCATGTTAAATTGTCAATAGAGAGTTTAATTTCCGTTTTTGTAACATTTAGTCAAGTAATATCTGAAATCGAAGCAAAATGGGCAAATAAACAGACAATTATCTTCCATTTGGTAATAACCGCGTGCAAATCGGTCCAGTAGTATGGTCAGGGTGGCTGCCGTAAGCTTAAAAATTAGCCTCATGTTAAATCTCCTTAAGAAATGTTTAATTTCCATTTTTGACCCAATTAACATAAATATTTTCCAAATACAAATGAAACCTGCATATATAGGACCAATAACCTTTCTTTAGGTACTACCCGCGTGTAATTCGGTCCAGTAATATGGTCAAGCTAGCTGTCATAAGCTTTAAATTATGGCCCCATGTTAAAATATCCATAAGAAAAGTTAATTTTGATATTGGTTCCTAGAGGTCGCCCAGTGGCCAAAAACTCAACAAAAAATATGTAATGTACAGACTTCTCTGTTTTTACCCCACACTGTAAATAAAACATGTGATTGGAATTTGTTTATATTTTGTTGTTATTTTGTCACCAGCATGACAACCCATAAGGCCCATATTTATAATGGGGTTCTGCGCATCTACATGAAAATATCTTTTATTTGGTACCAACCGCGTGTAATTCGGTTCGGAAGTACGGTCAGGCTAGCTGTCATAAGTTTTGCAAACGTTAAAAGTTAATTTTTTAAAATTTCAAATTCATTATGTTTGAGCCTGTTTTAATTTTTAAAGGGATTCTGCACATCTACAGGAAAATATCTTTCATTTGGTACCAACCACGTGTACAAGAAATACATGTAAATTAGTATGCGACATGGGGCGAATCCTATCCGCCCAAAGGAAATATAACCGATATTCTGGAAATCTTGGTAAAATTTCCAGCATTTTGACACTTTAATCATAAAATTTGGTCAAAAATTAAAGCGAAGGTGCGCGTTTAAAAACGGGATGATTTGAGGTTTTTTTTATAATTCTTAATAAAAAACACCAAAACACGACATTTTTGTTACCTCGCACTCGCCTTAATTTTGGATCAATTTTTATGATTAAAGTGTCAAATTACTGGAAATTTTGTCAAGATTTCCAGAATATCTGTTATATTTCCTTTGGGCGGATAGGATTCACCCCATTTCGCATACTAATTTACATGTATTTCTTATGGAAGGAGTATTTTAATAAGATATTAATTAAATAAGTAATAACTCGTAATATGTTTTTTACCAAAATAAACACATTATATACTTTTCTTGTGGAAAATGTATTCTTCTTAAATTTTATAATTTAGTATAGTAATACAAAAAGTTGATAATTTTCGAGATATAATATATATAAAAAATGCGTACCCCCCTTTACGCCCTCCACCCCCCTGGCTCACCACCTAGGAGTCAGGAGTTTTGGTATGTTAACACCCTAAGCCCCCTGAACAAGTTTCTGAAGGAATCGCTTAGTTACCTGCTCACGCACTCAACACCCACTTTTGGATCATTCATTGACTGGACTAATTGTGAGGGTTGTGGTTTTAAAAATTATAAATTATTCCCTACCGGGTGGTTGGATAATTTAAGACTAAATAATTTAGACTTCCGGACACTTCTCTTCTCTGTATATAATAATCGGGTGGGGGCTTGGGGGCGGTATTTTATTCTCTTGTATACTCGGGACCGATTATTGACCAAGCTTATTGTGTGTGTGAAAAGTTAGGTTGAAGGTTGTTTGTAAAACAAACCAGGTAAAACGGTAAAAGTAGCTGATTGTCCGTACTCCGTGTTGCAATCACTGCAATCTGTGCACTGTCACTGTGCACTTAATTGTGCAGTGCAATGCAATGCAAAATGTGTCCGCTCGGCGCTCACCAGTCACCTCACAGAGTGAGCTGTTCATGTTCATGAAAGAGGAGCGCTAGCGCTCCTGGCAGCGTTAACTAGAGCTACGTGCCAAACTCATGTAGTGCAGAATCAGTCCGCAGGGAAGCGCTAGCTATTTCCTTAATACAATTGTACTTTGATAACAATATTATTCGCATTTATTAATTAGTTTGATCTGTAACAGACTGTTATAGAAAGTTTATTAACAAGATGAAATAAAATGTTCATTAATTAAAAAAACTACTGGTTGATTGCACATGGTGGTTATGAAAAAAGTTATATTTTACCATTTAGCACTCGCTAGGTAATAGGGGTCTAAATTGGATTGGGTCTCTCTAGCATCCCCCTTCTGATTAACTTTGAGCAGTGGCAATATCGTAACCAATGAAGTTCAACTGAGGTGCGATTATTGCTAATTGAAAACTTTTACCAATACCCCGCCATGGGGGCGTGAAATACCGCCCGCATCGGCAATTTTTGGCAGCCCCTACGGGGGCTCATAACAGTTTGAATCTAATGTTAAGTGAGTTACGGGCGGTGGCGGTCTGTCGGCAAGGGTTAAAGTTACACAGCTTCTACCACAGGACCTTTGAGTAAAGAAATCAAGTGGTCCTCTCACTATATAATGACATGATAATAGTGACATGGCTACAATGTCAACATTGCTTTCTTAGTTCATTTATTATTATGTTTCAATAAAAAATTCTATTATCTTGTCATACGATTAAGAAAGATTTTATACTATAGTTCGGCCGCTTAGAAAGCGACCTCCTCCAGCATTGGTTTAGCATTAGCGCGCAGGTCGTTTTCTAAGCGGCCGAACTATATAGACAATAGACAATATGTTTTGTTAACGTTTGGAATTACATTATGCACATAGTGTTCTCAAGTTAAACAGTGTTAAGTCACATGGTATGCAAATTGGATTAATGGTTAAGAAGTAGGGAATCGAATACTTTCAATTTTAAAAGTTTATTGATTTTCAATACTAGAATATTTCAATCTTGATGAGAAAATAAATACCCCCGCTGCAGCAAACCAGCCGACTAAGCGAATTTCCATTAGCCTGAATTGATTTTCAAATTATCTATTAACATTTATTAATTAACGTAAATATATATATATATATAAAAGAATAAATATATATATAAATAAACATTAACATAATATCATTAATTAACATTTAACGAGTACCTAGGTTAGCTGCTACAGGGAAACTAATAAAGTGAGTTTTTTTATTAAAATATCAATAAATGCGCCAAGTTTGATCCAAATATATCCATAAAATAGCCAACTACAACATTTTACAATATTCTTCATAATAATAAACATGGGAATTTCAAATTAACAATATTTTGAATTTTCTCCGTACCCAATCGCCGTACAAAAACACTTTGATATACTAAATTATTTGTGCTTTGATAAAATGCCTTGACGGCGAAACCACACTGTGGTCTGGTCCAACGATGCATGGCAACTAAACTTCCGTTCCAGAGGTTGGGAACGCAGGGTTTACTTACACCTGTACTCGACCACCATACCGTCCCCTATACCACAGATAAAGGGACATACTCCATACTCACCTACGTTCTAAGAATATAGCCTGTTTCACTAACTAACTCTATAAATACATATCTGTCCGTGTTGTATGTTGGTGACGCCCACAACGATAAAATTAAACCAGAGCACCGACCAAAATTAAAACCTTATCCTAGAATTCACTAAATTGGTGAGTGTCGTTGGCTACTCAAACATGCCTAGACTTATATTTAAATAAAATAACGAACCTTCAAGAACCGTTTCGTGCGATATTCGTTGAAAAAACCTATGTTGTAGTATCTAGGTTGTAAACATTTTTCAGCCATAAATTATGCTTTAGCTTATATCTAACTACAGTAGTTTCTGGGAGCCAGTGGGCCTTTCCTCTAACCCATGGAACAAGATACCAGTTTGCCCTCCCCCTCTGGAAAAAAAACTACTAGCTGACACCAATGAATACAAAATAATACAATAATAATTTTCAATGCCATAACTGTTTTAATTTGTACCTGTCTGTTACAGATCGGGTTATGTATGCCCGAAATCAGCAGAGGTCGTCCGGCCGTGTGGCGGTGGTGGGGGGAGAGCCTATAAATGAGGAGATGGCAGTGGTGAGTTGAGTAGATCAGTTGGGCAGCAGAATGGACCTTACTGTACACTGTAGAATATTCAGCCAACTTCATGGGTTAAAAGTAAAACACAGAGTTTTCATCATATAGAGGGTTTAATGGGCCGCATTGGTTATCTGACACGGTCAGATTTTAATTTCCAGTCCAACGGGGTTTTCCAAGGGCTTGATCCTCATTAGCGATGTGAGCGAGGGTTTGGAACTCTGACACGAGGGCGCAGTTTAAAATACAGTCTGGTACAGAAAGTATGTTCCTTGTCCCTACTACCCCATGCCTCGCATCTAGTGCTAGTGACACAGCGCCAAAATCACAGGTATAGGGGCCGAGGTTGTCTTCATAAAATAAATGAACTCAGAAAATGAAAGGAAAAATGTCAACCATTTCTTACTACCATCACTGCATCTGGTAGTAAGAGTTTTGTTTACATTCCTTAATGTTAAACTAGATAAAAAAAATGGAATGACAGAGATAACTCTGTGGACTTTCAGAATCGCAGGGTTCACCTTTTGCTGTACGGTAACTTTCCTTTCTGAGGCAAAAACCATAGTTTGTTCAGATAGGCTCGACCTTTTAGTTCATCTGAGAGAAAGAATCAGATCAGATATGCAGACCCCATAATGTTCCAAACTTGAAATTTTGTACCATATCTTGTCACAAATACTACCGTACTAAACAGATGTCTGTCGAGCAGTGATTGAAATGTGTTAGAACTGATCAAGAACTAAAAAAAATAATAATAATAAAATACACCAAAGGAATTTTAAATAAACTTTTACTTTATTTGAATGACTTGCATTTTGGTTTAGTTGTGTGTTAACAATGTTTAAGTTGAGATAATGTTAAAGTTTAGTACGTGTTTGTACATTTTCCTTACTACAATGATACAATGATGTTTATACAATGATACTGCCGACCCTATGAGTACATGGTAGTCTGTATTTCTAATCATCTCACATACTCACAGGCACTACGCACCGTGGTGTTTGGCACAGCAGTGGCTCCACCACGAGGAGAATGGCTTCGGACTGGGTTCTCCTTCAGGGAGCCTGACAAGGAGCTGGCCTACGGACTAAAGGGATCTCGAAACAGCACCAGAGGCTTACTGTCCGCCGTGCAAGCTGAGATAATCAAAATTCTACTCTTTGAGAAGCGGATTGAGAACGCAAACTCTGTTGAGATGTATGTTGAAATGTCAAAAAAGTTTAAATGAACTGTGTTTTTCAATTCCATTTTAAAGTTTTTTTTAGGAATTAGTTTAAACCCTGTTTTACTCTTTAATAGCAACTTTAGTTAGTGAATTTCCTTGTAGATAAGTTATTACCCTAATGGTAAGACCTAGACCCAGGACCATTTTACTTTTTTCATTTTGATGTCCCTAAAAGCCAAAAACACTATTCTTTAAAATGAAATATGTGTACGTATGTGTATATGACCCTGAACATGGCTGGGGGATTAGCAACATAAATTAATGACAAATTTAAGTCATGATCATAGATTGGTGGTGGTACAAAAGTACTTAGAGTTAAGTACTAAGTTAAGTAGTAAGTTGAGTAAAGTACATCAACTGTTTAAGCATTGACTACTGGAAACTGAAGCTGTATCTATAGTCAAGGCTTTAAGTGACCGTATTTAATTTTGATCCTAAATTACAATGATCTAAAACAAAACACAATATTTCAATCATTTTTATAAATATGTTTGTCGCTGCATTGCAGGTTTCTCAAGCCCAACAGGTCGAGACAGCTGGAGGCTTTAATCAAGGCAATGAGCGACATTCTATGGAGAGTGGGAGAGAAGACTAAGGCTATAATATGTCTGCCCCAGGACACAGCACTCGTGCCTCACTCTGTCAACTTCTTCCAGGACACACTCACAGAGAAGGTTTATATATTCCCACAACAAATATATAAATAACTGATGAAAACTAAAATAAATTGTCTTTATCCTTTAAGAAGTTTGGTGGACTGTATATTGCCTTTGCATTTGCCCATCAACATGGGCCTCAAAGGACTAGCTAGAGCATATATGAAGCAAAGCAAGTGGTGATTCGCTATTCTTTTGATTAAAATGACGTATCATTAACCCCTTTATATAAAAGTTGGGGGCAGTGTGGGAAACCCTTGTGTTTTCAGCTCTGGTACAATACGACCAAAGTTTCTGTGTGCGCGACCAGATCTGGTCGGGTCTAGGTGAGGGGGCTGGCGGGAGTGCTTTTGTGAAAACATTATGTATCTTGCTACTCACTTGTCCTACCCACAGTATGCCAATAACCGTACCCGTATGTTTTAGTTCGGCTAGTAGCAACCCATCCGCGCGCACAGAAGTTTTGGCCGAACTGTATGTTGGGACGGAAATATACTTGTGGAAGAGCCAAAACGGCGAGCACTGTGTGGAAATTCCTATCTCACAAGGCACAGGGTCTTCCTCCACCAAGAGTGTTGTAGTACATGATGGCACACCAGTTAAGTACCATGGAATGTATCCTCTGATCCTTCTTCTCCGAGATAGATGGTATAGGAAAGTTCTTGGTGCCTTTACACACTCCCAGCCCAGAGCAGCTCTTAATAATTGATATATATTTGGCATTTTTTACTCTAAGACTATAAAACAACGCCATATATTATTCCTCTAACTGCCAGGGGACAAATGAATGCCCCTTCCCCTTGCAACATGAAAAGGGTTCTTGTTTTGCAAGAAGATGAGCCTGGTTTCAGTAAACTAAAATTACTTAATGTATGTTTCAGCTTCATCTGTTTGAAATTACTAATCTGGAAGATCTTCAGATTTTCCTTAAACGCTACATTCATTTTGTAAGTACTGTATGTATTTTAATTTAATTAATATGAAATTAAAAACTTTAAGTTACCTTATGTATTGTTGTTTATGTATTGTGTTTTTAAAGTTCAATTACTCTTATTACACTGATACGTATTTTGCCACAGGGTGTGGCATCTTCGGAGTTTCACTAAAATTATAGTAGACTAACTATATTTTTAGTGCAATAGTCCCCTGTCAAATGTACATATACAGGCTCCTGTGTGCTCCTTAATGAGGCAGGTGTGGGAGTAGTCTTAATCTCTTCGTTTGACCTTGGAGAAATACAATTTCGATGGTGGCACTCTTGAAAATGGCGCGTTTGAACGCTGTGGGTAAAAAACAAAATGGCCGCCCTCGCAAACTTATTTTCTTACTTATATCAGTAACCGTTAGAGTTATGAAACAATTGTTGATACCAAAATGTAGCTATTTCAAATCTGCACAAAAAAAGATAATTAAAGTTTTTATGTAGGATACACCATTCTTTCATAAAACATAATTTTACATTTTTCATAAATAAATTAATCAGGGTGGATGTAATGTCCCAGGACAGTTAAATATTTCAAAAAAGAATAAAGGGTGTTTCAGTAAAGTGTAACGGGCTATGCAGATTCAAATTCTTTGTGCAAAAATAAGTCGAAAATGTTGTATAACATTTTTTCGATTTCGGCTTAGTTAAGCCGTAATCCGCCATTTTGTATTTTTTGAAAATAATTCATAACTCAAAAGCTCTTAGAGATATTTTTATGAAACTTGGTATAAACTTTAAATCTACAACTATAAACATTCTCTGAAAAAAATCTTTGATCAGGCTAATCGAATTTCAAAATGGCGGCCATTGAAGTTTTTTAAAGTCAAATTTCATGAAAACCAGCAATTAAAACAAAACTTTAAAACACAGTTTGTAAAGTCCTTTTTATTACAAATCGAACGACACTTTATTTGCGAAAATCGGATAATAAATAAAAAAGTTATGTAACTTTTATAATGTTTTTGTCACTAGTTTCTATGAAATTTAAGTTTGTGATTTCAAAATTACTGTCATTTTGAAAATTGCTATTAATAATAAAAGTAAAATAACTTTTTTATTTATTATCCGATTTTCCCAAATAAAGTGTCATTCTATTTGTAATAAAAAGGACTTTAAATAATGTGTTGCAACATTTTGTTTTAATAGCTGGTTTTCATGGAATTTGACTTTAAACATTTAAATGGCGGCCATTTTGTTTTTTACCCTCAGCGTTCAAACACACCATTTTCAAGAGTGCCACCATCGAAATTGTATTTCTCCAAGGTCAAACGAAGAGATTAAGACTACGCCCACACCTGCCTCAGCAAGGACCACACGGGTGTACATTTGACAGTGGACTACAACTCCAAATGTACCATACCCTAAGACGAGATATGTATCAGTGTCAACATGTCAGAGTGTTTATTGAATTGTAAGAACTCAACTCAAACAACAACACATAAGGTAACTTAATTAAAAAGTCCTTAAAACTGGGTAACACTTGTTTTATTGAAAATGTTTAAAGAAACAAATGATTTATGTCAAATCGTATACAATTAAACCTATCTAAAAATTCAGGACGGATATAATTGCATTGTATCTTCAAACTATAAAATGTAAGTTTTTGGATACCGGTACTGAAAAAATATATAGGTACCGTACACAACAACAAAGATAAAGTTTAAACAACTAGTAAAAATACATACCGTACACGAATTTCAGGAATGACAAGTTATGTATGGCCAAGTGGAACATGCCATGCAAAGTCGTGCTTTTAATCATGTTTCCAACAATATTAGTTTAGTCTCTCATTTTAAATACAGTAGACATTCTGTTTAGTTCCTAGAAGAGACTGGTCCAGGAGCCTTGCTGCTTCTGTACAGCGCAGTGGCAACTCGAGGAACTAGCAAGTAAGTTGATATTACCTTGATAGAATTAATAGCCATTTACTACAATTGTGTCGCTGTCTTCAATTCAATTCAATTCAAATTCTCTTTATTCATTCACAGTACAAGTTTTTATACAATGAATAGCGTCAAATAAATATAAAGATGAATTATGCTTTACTTATCGCTAAAACAATCATTATCTTTACAAAACAAATGTTAAGCTTAAGAAGAATATAAACAAAACAAAATTAAATCAAATCATCTTTCTAAACTATCATTTATGATTTCTCTTGAATTCCAAAATTCATCCAAAGAATACAAAGACAATGAAAGGAGATAATTTTTCAATCTTTTTTTAAAAATATCAAAACTTTTTTCCTCTATTATAATTTTAGGTAAATTAAATAAGAAGTTTATGCCAATGAAACTACATTTCTTCTCAAAAAACTTAAATTTATGTCGTTCAACCTGCCTAGTATGCCTTAATTTATAGTGTCGAAAATTTGTACTATTAGTTTGGAGTTATTTATTTCTTATTTCTTGGATTTATTTCTTAACGAAATAAAATTAAAATCAGCAGATAGGTTTACCCCTGACTGCCCTGACTTATTTCAGACTTTTCTTACATTTTGTCTATCTCGGCCCAGGTCCACACTCTTTCTCAGATTCAGATTAAACATTATAAATTCAGTAGTTTACACTCTTTATCTAATCACATGCTCACCTGCTCATTGGTAAAATACTATACAACACTTACTATGTGACGACTATGTAAATTGAACCGTTTAATTCGTTAAATATGTCATCAATAAAAGGTGTTCAATAATGTTGCCAGTTGTCAGAAGGACATGGAGGTGGAGAAGGCATATTTGGTGACAGGAGCGGAGGAAGGATCCATGTGTATTGTGACTTTACTGTTGACTGGACGAGCCACTCCCTACCTACACAACGGTGTTGTCTACGTTGGTGATGAGGAGCACTATGTAAGTTTAATGATGGTATCCTATACTCTTATATGAGCAATGTTTACTTGTACGTATATGCATGTATGCTTGTATGTTTGCACAAAGATCTCAAAAATGGCTTTGACAATATCCTAAAAATGTTGTAAATAATTTATTTCTGGCCTAAAAACGTGTTTAATGCAGTTAAAACTGTCAGCAAAAATTGAATTACCTATACGTACAAAATTAAATTTAAAGTTAACTTTTTTTAACATTTTGGCCTTATGGGTTACCAAGTAACCATGTTGGTTGAAAGAAATAACAAGGAAAAGGTAAACAAAAGACTTACATGTGTTTATAACAAGTCATCCTCAGTATACTAGTAAATTAAAAAATCCAGTACTAAAGGAAAAACATCAGTTGTTACTATCGAGCAAAGATTACACTGAAGATAACTCGATATAGGGGTACAATGGAAATAAATAAAATATACCGAGTCACGGTCCCCAGGTACTAGAGAAGTCTGATCTAAAGAAGTCTTTATCTTTTGATAATTGAATGATAATGCCATACGGGTCAATAATTAAAGGACACATAGAGACTTTGTCTACTCTAGAGATTTGTATCCAGCCTACACCTCTACACCTGCTACGGCGAGGTTGGATCACATGAAAAATATTTTTGTTTACATTGCTTCAGCAATATAGTATAAAGCAATATTCATTCTCTCAGCTACGTATGTATCCGTTCACACTACTGCTAAATTGAGAGGGGGTAGAGTAGTATGACAATTGTATGAAGCATAGTAGGTGTGTATCTTCTGGAGTGGCAAAAGGTGTTGTATGGGCGTAACCTCTAAGGTTTATATAGTAAAACCACACTTAATAGCTTTCGATTTCACAGAATCTGATTACCCAAGGAGAGGGTCGTGAGAGAAAGATCAGATAATCAAAACTCTACTATACTCTACCCGCCTGGATGTCACAACTCAATTTCATGTTAAAGTTTATTTCACTCAGGTTTAGTGTAAATAACTTAACTAAATTAAGAACAGTGACAGATTATGCTGTTGTGAAATAATGTTTCACTAGTGTACATGTTTCTCGAATTCGAGCAATTGCAAAGTATTACAGGAGTTATTTTAAAACGAATAACAGTCATATTTACCATTAATTTAACCCTTTGAGTGCCAACGTCCGGGGAACCGGACGTTTTTAAAACGAGCCAAAAGTGCCAACGTCCGGCTGACCGGACGTTTCGTAATGATCGAACAGTTGTCATAACAACCGAATGGATACTCGGATTCTTTTAACCCATATATTAACATTGAGTCAAAAGTTACTAGATGCGATACATCAATTTTTGTTGGTCGAAATATCGAAAATTCGATTTTTACAAAATTTTAACCTAAAAATCGCCAGATTGCATTTGGCATTTTTAGCGCGACCTTCGGGAAAAATCATTGGCATTTTTTGAGCGTTACTTTTATTTCTCGCCTGGCACTCTAAGGGTTAAAAGAGCCAACTCAAGATTACCGGTGTGTAGCTCAGACTATTTTTATCTTCGTTATTGATAAACCTAAAGCATTCCTGCCGGTTTTCTCCTTCTCAAAATGCCTCGCTGTACAGGCAACACAGGTCATTGATAGAGGGCCAATTGAGAACGAAAAGTCGTTTTGGGTTAGTGTTAGGGCGCATTTGTAACCTAATAGTTGAGATTGTCCAGGGTCAGGTGCTGACTGTGATGAGTTAAGCCTATTACGCGCCACTGTTCTGTAGCTGCGGTCGTTATCACGATTACGCCTCCTGTTTATGTTTCGTTGTCGTCACGTCGGAGGTATTTAAAAGAAAAAAAAAACAACAAATAAACAAATTATAGGTACACAAAACAACGATAAATGCACAAATTTAAGTTACAATCATACTAACACGATCCTTCATAGCGACACAAAACAACGATAAATACACAACTTTAAGATACAACCATACTAACACGAACCGTCTTGGGGGTTATGTTTACATAAACTCAAATAGTAAATAAATGTACTCAATGCGTTTCATTGAATTGAAAAATAACAGCAATTAAATTATACAGCTGACCAAAATGTAAACAATTATGTTCTCCATAAGGATTACATGGGAACTTTCAAAGCCACTGGGGCAGAGCCCAAGGGACTTTTTCAAAAATGTAAGGCCAGTTTGCAAATCTACGCGACACGCTCTTTCCAATGAGACGTCAATGGATAAAATCGGTTAAGAAATGGCGGAGGAGTTCAACCGACAAAGTTTCATGTAGCGTATTAATTATATAGATTTCTTGTATACCAACTGAAAGGGCTGCTTATTGTAAACTATATATAGAATCTTTATCCTCCCATAAACTCCCATTGAACAAAAAAGAGTGAATAGAGCTTTAAAACTAACATCCTTTTAGGCAGTGCTCCATTCCGAGCAAAACTACACCGACCCTTGGGACATTGATTAGAATTCAAATTCAATGATAAGGTTAGTTTTTGGGTTGACAACCCCAATATTGAGATAATGCTTAGGAATGTTTACGTAGCAAAATATCCTTACAGTACCGTACTGTACTATGATTATTAGTTTTATGACTAGCTTTTGGAATATTCTTTAAATATTATCTGCATAATTTTTTTCTTTCAAGGCAGTCCCTCAGTACGGTATACTGTCCCGAAGCGAGATCGGGTTCCTGTTCTACGAAGAAGGAGTAGAGGAGAGGATGCCAGGATCTCGACTGAAGACTCCTTCTCTACCAATCTGGGTGGTTTGTAGTCAAGGTCATTTCGGGGTCATGTTTAACACCAATAGAGAACTACTAAGGAACTACCATGCAGAGAGGAGGTATGTTATGAGCAATGTAGGAGATTGTAGCTCTTGTAATTAGTCTATGATCGGTGGCATAGCAAAGAGCAGGTTTTTGAGTTCAGCCAATATTTCAGAATTGTATTAAATTAAATATAATATTAAACTTCAAGAAAGCCTTTGATTTTCCTATAAACTTTAAAAAGTCTAACAAGTTGTATAGAATAGCATATTCTGAAGTTCATCTATTAACCATCTGCGCAGGGCCTTAAAACAATTTGCAGCCTACGAATTCCTAATCTCTTAGTTTTGGGTTATGCCAAAATCATATTCTAGCTAGGAGTGTCAATTTAAAATACCCCCGCCGCAGCAAACCTGCCGACTAAGCGAATTTCCATTTGTCTGAATTGATTTTCAGTTAAATATATTTTAATAACATTAGGTTTAACGAGTACCTAGGTTTGCTGCTACAAGGAAACTAATAAAGTGTGTTTTTGAGTAAAATATTGATAGCTTAGTACAAAATAAATAAATTTGCGAAGTTTGATCAAAATATATTCATAAACAAGCAAACTACAACATTTGTCAATATTCTCCATAAGAATAATATGGGAATTTTAAATTTATAATTTTTTTAATTTTCTCCGTTACTAATAATTGAACAAAAATACTTTTATATACTAAATTATTTGTTTTTTTAAGCTCTTTAAAAAGGTCTAAAGAGAAATTGGGAAATTATGTGTTTTGAGGGTCAAAAGTGAGAAAAACAAATTTTTACCCCATAAAACCCCCCGTAAAGCCCCGTTCCCATGGTCCGATCGTGCTGGTTCGCGAACTCATTCAAGTTTATCCCGCTTTACACCTTTAAACCAAATTTCATCAAAATCGGACAAAAATTACTCAAGTTATTGCGTTCACGGACGTATATATATATATATATATATATATATATATATATATATATACATATATAAAAATTTGAACGAATAGTGTTTTTGGCCTCTGGGGACATCAAAATGAAAAAGTAAATCGGTCCCGGGTCTAGGTCTTACCGTGCCACCTACGGTAATAGCTACTTCCCTATAGGGAAATTCGCTAAAAACTAACTTTTTAATAAGTGTTCTACAATTATAAATATAATATAATAGTTTTGTAAGATGGTTAAGGTATATAAAACTGTAAAATGCTAGCTAGCAGGAGTGGTTGTTATTTGTATCCTTTAAGACAATTAAAATCCCTGAATCTTGTAGATAACTTTCATAAAATCCTGATTCTAGATTGACAGAGTCAATCCTTTTACTTCATAACATGATCTGAATATGTGTGCCTGTTAGATATGCCAGCCATATTGTTTTTTTGACACTACTACACAGTATTTACTCATCAAAGCCTTCAGCTACAACATTACTTTCATAGCATGTGGAAAATCTGACTACCCATTAATTGACGACACCCCTTTCCCACCCTCAGGAATAGGCAGTTACCATACCCAGTCTCAATATAATGTGATCAGTGCACCAGGCCGCAACTTGAGTGATCTCTCTTGGTCACAGACTGACATACACATAAAAATATATATTTTCTGTGGCAGGTTTGAGCTGCACTACTACACCTGTGGAGGCAGTCAGTGTCAGATGACTGTGGACACTCGTCAAGAAGAGCCTCAAGTCAATCATCACACAGAACAGGAACAAGCAGCCATCAACTCCTTCAGTAACATAGAGAAACTCATCCACACCAAGTGAGTCCCCTGGGGCATGATGTTTATGTCAAAACTTTAAAAAATTAGAATTAATTTCCTACTACTGGAACGTTAGTTATTAATAAATAATAATAGTATTACCTTCTTCCGTTCCAAATCATTATAGTTATTTACGACGCGTTTCGTCAGCACAGTGACATCCTCAAAATGATCAACGCCGCTCACCCAAAAAATAAAATTCAAAAATGAATGTGATAACAAAATAAATTATTTGGACTTAACAATACATACAAACGAAAACAAGCATCAGTTCAGCATTTTTCACAAGCCAACTCAGTCTAGCCAAACAATACACGCCACTTCCAACCATCCCGTTTCCCATAAAATGGCAGCTTTTAATTCATTTATACACAGATTAAACCAAATACGGTACCTATGAACAAAACCAACTACAACAAGGAACTAAATTTAATAAAATACATCGCACAAGATAATGGTTATGACAGTAACACAATAGACAGGATAATAAAGAAAAAATCCCATGTCCCAAACAATCCCAAAGAGAAGAAGAAATTTGTGATTTGTCACACTAACGTACAATAATTGGCTGAACTACAAAATCAACAATATATTCAAAAACCATGGTTACACAGTTACTTACAGAAATTCCAACAAACTAGAAAATCTTATTAACCCCAGGAAGGAAAACATTGGTGACAAATTCGACAGCAGTGGGATTTACAAATTAAATTGCAACGAATGTACAAAATACTATATAGGACAAACAGGGAGATCATTCAAAACCCGGTTTAAAGAACATCTCCCAAAGAAAACAATCACCCAACTACAAGTACCAGTTCCATAACTACAGTTCCATCTCAGACAACTTGCAAATACTACACAAGTGCAGAAAAGTCATTTGATGTCCACACTTGAGTATTACGAAATTTACAAAGCAGTACAGTGTGAACCAAACAACGTACTGAATGACAAAATTAATACTCAAGGAAATGCATTGTTTGACACCGTGATACACCTGGAGAAGAGAAATGATGTCATGGTACAAAGTACACCTTAGACAACGATCCATCCTGCAGTCGTCGCCCAGAATTAGTCATGTGCGTACGTGAGTTGTGGCCACCGTGACGACAACAACGACCGGTCTTTAAATGTATTAAATGTGTGTTTGTGTATTGTGCAATGACTGTTTTATGTTAATATATTCAAGACGAAGTGATAGCGGATACCTGAGGATGTCACTGTGCTGACGAAACAAGTCGTAAATAACTATAATCATTTGGAACGGAAGAAGGTCATATTATTATTATTTAAAAAATTGCTGAACTTTTCTTTTAACGGCGTTCAACAGGCCTTCCTACTGGGGGCATCTGATGAAGAATCAGTTAACTATTTCCAACTAGGACTGTACAGCAAATTGTCCATTTGCAACCAATTATTATTAATTGGTCGCAAACATCTTGCAACAACTTAAGACCAACCTACCTCTACTAAGTCATGAGTTTGGGATTTAAAAATCGTTTGAAAAATAAAATATAGATAAAATGTTTTTGTGTTTGTTCCAGATGGCAGGATGCAAGGATACAGTGGCATGGAATGTCAGGGTTTATCTGAAAAACTGGATACCAGCTCATCTCATACATTGGATCTAGACTAGATCAGCTGTTATTTTTAGTTTTAAACACTCCATACAGTAATGACATGAACCATTTGCAATATTAATATACTAATAGCGGATAATGAATTTTATGTTATACACCAAACAAAACATGCACAACACACTCGAGTACCTATCCAAAAGTTTAAGTACAAACAGTTTTAAGTAAACTTAGCTATAAAACAAAGTAATATACTAAAATGTGCAATACTTTAAACATTGTTAAGTGTATGATTGTAAATATGTGAAGATTCTGGGGGAATGTTGATTAGGGGATTTTCAATCCAGGGTAGATGTTGTTATATGAATGTATGTAGTGAATTAAAGGAAATAAATGTTATTATAAAATAATATGATTTATTGTATTGGGATTTATTCACCCTTTAGTAGGCCTAATGTTAACCCTCTACCCAAATGATTTCAAATTGATTTGTGATATTCTGAGGCAAGGTTCTCAGAGTTAGACAGACTTGAGATGTGACACACCCAGAGCTTTGACAGTTTAAGTTACGAGATAGTTTTAGTGCTCAGGCTTATGACACATACAAGAAGCATATAAAGTCTCGCTTAATATTTTCCAAACGACAAAAGATAAATCAATAAGATTTGGTACATCAAGACAACACCTAAAAATCTACTTTTTGAAGGAACTTATCAGTTTTTTTGTCATATCATGGGAACGTCCCATGGAGTTCCTAAGAAGGAAATCTTAAATAGAAGCATAGGTTGATATGTACATCAAATTAAAGGCCTTTACTAGCAGAGTATAATGCCACAAATTTGAACTGAAACGGACAACCGAGTAAAAAATGACAGCAGTTCAAAGATTCATTGAATTTACAATGTTCCTCAGGGGAACAGCCGCTAGGAATCGGAAGAAAATCGTAAACGTAAGCATAGGGCGATTTGCACTTAAAATTAAATGTTTTTTTCCTAACTTTGTCGGGTGACCCGACAAAGTTGGCTTCCTTGTACTGTTTATAGTACAGAAAGCTGTCGTACGGTTTATACTTTGCTGCACATCAGGATTCCAACGAAACAACACAAAACAGCGTGGTTCTATTATGCACGTAATCCGTGTACGCTTGGAAATAGGTTGGCAACACTTAAAGATAATAATACTAAGAGCAGCTGATTGACTATTATAACTACGATTTAACCTGTCATTTCGTGTTTATAGTTTCGGTATTTCTGAACTTTCTGGACTTTTCTTTTAAACATTCTTAAAACATTCCTACGATCTTAATAAACAAGAAAATACCTTTAAAGCATTTTTTTAGGCGCGGAAACCAAGTTGATGATTTCGAGTTTTTTTCCAATTTGAGGTTTAGGATGGGAAAATGTTGGAGATGATAATAATACTATGTTGCCCACTGAGCTATAATGATAACTGGAGTAACCACTCTGTGTTTTAAAAACGTACCACTGTTTTTGCTGGTTTTGTTTCAGAGTTTCGTTTTGTTAGGTTGGCCGGGTGATCGAGTTGGTGGGACTTGTCAAATTAGAGGCAAGATCAAGATGGCGTCATCCGTCATCCTGTTTTGTTGATACAGTAGTAGTAAACAAAACTCTGCCAACTCAACATTATGATAGAAATATAAGTTTATTTATTTATTTTACGAGCAAGAGCAACCCATTTTAATAAGATCATAAACCGATAGTTGTTATTTAATCAAATGCCATAGGGCTATTGGCCTAAAACAATACAGTATTTCCAAACCAGGAAATTTGACTAGCCTATTTTCACCACATAGTTTGAAAAGAGGTAAATAAGTTAGTACTGTATTTATTTACTATCAAACAAAAACAATTTATAATGTTTCAAATAACTTTAAATACAGAGGTTTTAACGTGCAATAACTTAAATAAGTTGTTGATACAAGTCCTTGAAATAACATAACCCCAAATAAATAGTATGGTTAATAGGTTACGTTAGAATGAATTGGAATTATTTGACAGCATCCCACCCACTGAGCTAAAATTATAACTGGAGGTAGCACTGCCATGGCAGAAGTCTGTCAAAAGCGTGTCGCTGATTTTGTTAGGTTGGTATAGCAGTAAGTTTTCTTATCATAGCAATAACATGGCTTCTTATAACTAGGTTGGTATAGCAGTGAGTATTTTTGTCATACTTGAATACTTTTAATACTTTAATAATTTTCTTTGAAATGGCGACCATACAAAGTAGGTATTTTAAGCCAAGTATAATAATAGTTATAGCAATAATATGGCTTCTTATGACACCAGACTCACGCAAACATGGCGGCTGGCGACACGCATCTTTGACATTCAGTGCTACCTCCAGTTAGAATTATAGCTCAGTGATCCCACCAACCGATCACACGGCCAACCTAACAACACGAAACACCAAAAACAAACCATCCAAAACTGTGGCACGTTTTTCTCCAACGTTTAACCAGAGAGTAGTGACTCCAGTTATAATCTATATCTCAATGATGTTGCCCTGCTTACTTTCTACACATTTGCCAAGATAGCTTTAATTGGTCAGCAGCAGATTCAAGATTAATTAACACCAATGAGCGTATACATTCAGTGGTACTACCGTATCTACTCTTTTGGTTGCCGCTCTTATGAAGGTTCTTAGTCCTTCAAAAGGGAGTTTGGAATAGTTGTTTGGCTATCTTGGTTTGTTGATTTGTTAAACAATTTTCATTATAAATTCTAACACTAAGAGCTCATTGCCAAAATGCATAATATTAATTTATAAACCACCTCCATCTAGGATATGAAGGATTTAGCTAATTGGACCTTCTTTTCTAACACCCTCATTTGTTTAAGCGTTTTTTGAGATTGTTAAGACTGTGTTATGTGTGGTACAATTTCACAGATAAAGTACTGCAGAATGCTGGAGTCAAAACTCATAACAATGATCGAATGGAACTTTAACTATACGGTCATTACCATTACCACTGAGGATGCCACATCCACATCTTAGGATTGACAAATGGCGAAACGTCTAATATTGTAAATAATGTAGAAAGGTTTGTTAAGCGACTGTTTGGATTTTTTATTTTCTGCTCCAAACTTACAGCAGGGGTCATGGCCGTGGCTCTGGGATGCTTTTTTGGGGTAGAAGTAGAAACATACAAAAATAATTATATCAATTATCAATTATCAAAGTTATATCAATTATTATCAAAATTATATCAATTATCAAAATTATATCAATTATTTAAGATGGGGACGCCACTAGGTGCGTATTTTAACCCAAATATGAGGGAAGGATGAGTGGCGCGATCTTGTAGTCGCGGCTTGTTAGTGACTAACAGCTGTTAAGCCCATACAGCTATAATGGCAACTAATGGACCTACAGTTTAGAGTGGAATCCGAACCACATGTTTGCCTTGTAATTAACGAATTGGTATAATTATCAGGATAGAACTGCATGTCTACAAAGCTACAGAGATAAATTTTAAAGTAGGCTAAGTTTTGTGTTAGTTAATCTCTCTATAGGGCTATTCTTTACAGATTCTTCCCTATCTGTAGGTAGCACGGTGATACCTAAACCCAGACCGATTTAATAACGCAAGTAATTTTGGTGCGATTTTGATCAAATTTGGCAAGAACATGTAAACAATAAATTTATAATCTTCATGGTGTTTGGAAAATGTCTTTAACTATAGGTACCGTGTTCATTGTTTGTAAGTATTTTTTTAAAATTAATAACTAAAACAATGTTGTCTGAGCTTCTAACAGATCTCTTGAAGCCTAATTTTAGAATAGAATAGAATAGAAACGTCTTTTATTTGAAGAGGTTTTCAGTACAACAATACACTGCTTTTCAAAACAACTCAATTTATTTGTATACTCGTGTTTTATTTATTTATTTATTTATTCATCCAACGGTAACACCATTTTAACATTCAAAATTACATTAAATAGGTTAAATCACTGCATAATTTCATATTAATTTCACCAAGAATATGTTTCAATAAAACCTTTCACTATTAGTGAATGATAAAACACTTGTTGGTATTTACCCAGTGGTAATGGAAATATTACGTACTTCAGTCTTATGTACAGAAATGTTTTATAACCAATGATAGCAGTAACACCCTTGTTGTTAGTCTACCTAGTTTGCTTTCCTGTTTTCAGCCAATTAGTCATCGGCAAAAGAAGAACGTGAAGCTATTGGAAAAACGCTGGACCAATCAAAACACTCAAGGTGTCAACTTCAACTCGCAGACGAATTTAATACATAATACAAACATTGTAATATTACAAATAAAATATGTTAAATTAGTTTTTGATTGTTTTGAGGTTTGAAAACGTAAGTAGTAAATAGTTTTATTTAGCTTGAAAATGTATCTCGCTTACAATTTAGCCAAATTGATTTTTCCTAACCTTAGTACAAATTAAAGGACACTTGTAGGTTATGTTTTCCTTGTTCCCGGCACCTAAAACGAAAGTGCAAGTGTTGAGATTTATTTAATTTACTTGGCCCCCATATTCTGGTAAACAATTAAAATTTCGAAGAAAATTTGAATCTAATCTATCAATGTTTTATCTCTTTTTATAATGAAACACATCATAACCAAAGATTGGACCTATCTGGCAAAGCTTTAAGTTAGGCCTACTGATTTTAAAATGGTAGCCTAATTCTTCAATCATTGTTCAATGTAATTTTTTGTCTCTAACTTATTTCACAGGAGTAATCAGAGGTGATAGTCCCAAACTCATTTTAAAGTTCCAAATTTTTTTTCAAATGAATTAGGCTAAGTTACATCCTTTTTCAAAAATTGAAAAAGGAAATTCAAAAAAATTCAAAAACTGTCCTAGGATAACTCTCATTTCAAGGCTTTTAATGATTTAAAATGCCAGTGTTTCTGACTTGTGTTTTTGCAGCATTTAGGCTAATCCACTTTTTGACGTGTCCATATGCATGTGTCTACTGGAATACATTTTTTATTTGATTTGTCAGGAATGCTTTTGTGAAACCCTAAAGAATTTCAATTTTTACATTATACATGTGGGAAACTAAAACAGCCTAAGTTACAATTATTTTCCCAGTTAACTTATGCTCTTCTAGATTTTTTCCGTCACAATAATTTAGCCTTTGCCCAGCCTTTGGGGTTTCAACATTTATAAGTTAAGTAACTACAACTGTTTGTACAGGATGATGTGGAAAAACATACTTCACCCTGTATGCTTACTCTTCGTCTTCACTGAGTTGTCTGAATGCAAGAAGAAGTCAAAGTCTGTGACAACTGTTCTTGATGCAAAATGGGAACAGACACCTTTGGTCCTTGAGATAGCGGAGTATTTAGCTGAGGAAAGCTCTGAAGTGTTTTGGCAGTTTGTCGATGGGGTAGCAGCTTTAGATATCCACTTGATTGATCTAGGTAAACATTAATACAACAATTAAGTACCTACCTATGATTTGAAAGTGACAGATGTAGCCTATGCCATTATCAAGTTGCATAATAATTACTCAAACCCAATTTAGAGGAAGCTGTAACCTTGGCAAAATCTTTTTTAGCTGCCACCACAAAATATGACTAAAATATTTATGATTATTTTATATAGTATTGTTGGGTTACCCCAATAATGGTGAGCCAAACTCAATACCATACAAGAACCGATGCCGTAAAAAGAACGTAGGCCTATTAAGTTGAAATGTTGTCACATATTCTTGATAAAAATTGCTAAATAATGTACGGTACCGTATTTTTCTATTTTTCCAGGGGCCTCGGCATGGAAAGGGGCCTCACTTGGGGCCTCAAAAGAATGTTTTTTTTCTCTTAGAAAATAAATTTTGCCAATAATCTGTTACAATTAGGGGGTAGTACAACTTTCCGAGTCAAACTTATATCCTCACAATCGCCGAAAGTGTCTGCAAAGATTGCGATAGAAAATCATGACTCCCAGCGATCGCGGGAGACGATAATCAGGTCTCGCAACCGCGAAAGACGTTCACAATTGCTCCGAGACAGAGACGTTCATGATTTCAACGCGATATTGGTGAAAGAAGATTATGTCCTCACTAACGCGGACAAGTTGTTCAGGATTTCCCCTCGATCATAATGAATAGTAGTCTAATGTCCTCGCGATGGCGCAAGATTTTCATTATTATTTCACCGTGGACGTACAATACGATTCCTTAACCCTCCGAGCGTCACTTGTCGAAAAATCGACTCACGACACACTTTGTGTAGTGTCACTTGTCGATTTTTCGACACACAAACATCGTTTACGGCGAAGGCTCTATGACTGACTGAATCGGATTGAACTGGACCGAGTTAGGTATCGTTCTTTTTGTTAGATTCAGAGCTTTCTCCGGAGGTCTGTCTCTAAGCGCTATTCATTTTAGTTCCGAAAATATTGTAGCAGACAGCTGACGTGCGTATTTGTAAACAGCTTGTCTAACCTCGGACCGATGACTGATGTGTTTTATTACGTTTATCATTGTTTTAGTGTTAAAAATCAAAAGTAGTGATATACGTGGTGCATTATAAGAAGATTTAAGTGATTTTGAAGGGCTGGTTGATGATCCTGAAGAAGTAGGTAGTGATATTGAAGTAAATTATCAGCCAGATTCCTAGCTATGGTAAGGCTATGCATTCTTAGCTAAACGCTATGTACTGATAATATAAATAATATAATATAAAGATAATATAATAATACTGTATTTTATACAAAGCTATTATCTCCTTTAAAAAAATGGTTAAAAGGAGTCACAGTAAAAAAAACCTCATTTGTGTTACTTTTTGGAGTGCTTAAGTGCTCGTGCTTATTATGAATCTTCAACACATAAAAACATAAAATGTTAAAAGCTTAAAGAAAAATTTAATTTAGCATCATTGCATTTGACTTAAAACAATAAATTACACTCAAAATAGTTGACATAGCCATGACATGACCCTATTTAACTTAAGCTCATTTAATCAGTGATACAAAATATATTTTTTAATAAATATGTGAAATAATAAGAACGATAGTACTGTACCCTGTTTAAATCATTTTGAACATAAAATGATTTTAAACAGGGTACTATGATATATATTATTTCACGTAAGCAAATAGGGCCCCCTCATCTAAGCCGCCCCAGGCCCCCAACTATGACACTAAAACATGCAGATTAAAAATTTGTTATAGGCTAAACAACTTTTATCCTCAAAGAGAAAAAAGAACAATAGACTATAGCTTAATAAATAACACAAATCAACATTAGGAGGTACTCGTAAAATTCATGACTGCCAGCTTATTAGGCTATTAAATTTGAAATCAAGAAGAAAGTCAAATGATTGTGCTACACCAGTAGACCGTTGCTTGTATCCAGATCTACTGCAAGGCTTACGCAAATCAACAAGTTTGTTGGCTCGTAATTGTTATATTATGTAATCTATCTCAGTCGTAGTTCCTACCTAATTGTTTTAATCTTAATCTTAAACATTGTAGGCACAGAAAAGGCAGTGTACGAGCGAGCATTGGCAGAAGCGAGTAGGTTGCTCTCACCAGCACAACTATCATTGCTCAAGTTGTCAGTGTCGCTACACGTCTACTCGCCTCGAGTGGAAATGTACCACCAAATGGCACTGGAGCGCGGAGTCAAGTGCCCGGCAGCAGTGGATGTTGCCGGAACTGTTGTCTGCGAACCACACAAGATTGAGGAGGCAGTGAAAGAAGCTCTGGTAAGCTGCTTGGATGATGTTATGGTAGGGACAGTATTTTAACATATTTGTATTTATGCTTTAAAATTTGTTTGTAGTGATTCAGATGTTCACAGAAATCTATCGAAATCAGCCAATTTTTTGGCTTAGGCTACTTTTTATGCTAAAAAAAAAATTGATGAAACAGCTGATAAAACATCTACTTTCATTTAGAAAACTAACTTAATTTACAACTGATTTACATTTAAATAAACAGAGGCAAATAGAGAATCTTCAATAGGCTACTGAATTTGGACTTTGAGAATCAGTCAGTGTCAGATGTAACTGTTCGCTGTTGTATCGTATAGAATTTTTAAACTTAGAATTACACACACAGGTTACAGTGGAATTTTAATTTGAATTAAGATTTTGTATCCCTCATTGTTTACAGGCTCGTCCAGACTTATCAAGATTGGAGACGTTTAGGCTTGATCATCACTACCCTGGCTCAGAAAATAAGAGTTTGGTTGCTATATTGTATGGAGAGGTAAGTTGCATTTTAGGCCTTCTATAATGTGGTGTGTATACTGTTTGGTAGCATAATTATCTGCAATCTTACCATATAAAAGATTTATTGATGTGACAATATGACTAGACTACTCTAAAGTACTGTCTTTGACGATTGAGATGTACATTGTAATTGTATTTATTCATGAATAAAACATGTATAATAATAACAGTTTTACTTAACAATTTTGGTGGGCTTTTGGCATTTTTTGTATTTAACAAATGAGTTTACATTTTTACTTCTTTGTCCACGATTTAAAAAAATTTAACATATTAAGTTTTTGACAATCTAAATCAGCTAAGTACCAATGTAATTATTGAGCCAATGTTTTTTAACTATTTTTGGCTCTTAATGGTTCATTGCCTGTATTTCATGCTGTTAAGATAAATAAGAAAACTAAAAAATTAACGTAGCCTGCAGGGTTGTTGGGACAATAGTATTGTTTATCCTATGTGTGTTTCCAGATTGGTACACCTGAATTTGCCCAGTTCCACAAGCGACTTCGTCAGTTGGCCACATTGCAGCCTGTTGACTATGTGTTAAGGCATTTTGTCAAGGTTTGTAAAATAGTTAATGGAGTTAATTTTCTGTAAAGTAATATGTACATTTTGAGACAAGGAATTATAGCTTTATTTCTAGAACTGTACCGGCTGAACCTGCTAGATGTATGGTTTGACCTCATATATCTTTGTAAAGCGATTTGTCGCCGTTTTGATTCTTAAAAAAATCAAAAAAAAATTTTGAGCCCTACTATAATTGGGTTTAGCAAATCCATCTATAGTTCGGCCGCTTAGAAAACGACCTGCGCGCTAATGCTAAACCAATGCTGGAGGAGGTCGTTTTCTAAGCGGCCGACCTATAGTTTTAATTTATTTGTATTGCCTTTGTTTATTAATAAATTCACTTTAATCCTAATTCTATCTAACAGCACTTGAGAATTATGTGACTCTTAGTGCTGTTCACTTATCTATTTTAATGGTGTGACTTCCTCAAGGCATTTCTCAATGGTTTTGTATTGCTTCAGGAGCGACCAAACAAGAAGTTGCGGTTGTCTGGATATGGAGTCGAGCTGCAACTCAAATCCACAGAGTACAAGGCCCAGGATGACACTAAGGTGAAGGGAACAGATGGAGATGACTCTCAGGAAGAGGAAGAAGACGTGGAGATAGAGGGGTTTGTCATCAGCAAACTCAAGTAAGTCCAATAGTACCAACACACTACTCTGGTAAAGTCAAAAGTTCTAAATAAAGTACAATATCCCATAATGGTGCAACATTGAAATATATAAAATGTGAATGAAAAAGTCTTACCATGTAAAACTATGAGATTTAAGTAAAAGTGTTGGTTTGTAATTTAAAAGAAAGAAAAACTCAGTTAACACGTTCGCTACCGCAATAGTAACAAATTTTTCATTCATGGACCAGCGACGCACATATGCGACGGCTGGTTTCTACCCATAGACTGCCATCGCATGTGACGGCTAGTCACATTAAAGAGACAGACGACGCATATTTGCGTCGGTGTTCCAATGTTATCAATGCTTATATCTTTGTAACGGTCTATTTGAAGAGACTGAATTCTCTGCAGTGGTCTACAGGGATGTCTGTTGCACAACTGTGTCACTTGGTCTGTGGATATGATGACTGGTGATGTCATATGATTGTTGGAAAAACTCTTCTTTACTTCTATAGGCCTACTTCTTCTTTACTGCATAACTGTATGTGTGTATGCTGCATTATCCCATGCAGTTTTTATATTTGTTCAATTATAAACTGTTCTTGAAAAATCGGTTTTTTACTTACTTTCACCTAAAAATAAAAAAAAAATTAACTGTCGCATATATGCGGTGTTTGGGCTATTTCAAGAAAAATATAATAATTTTCACTATTGTCTCAGCTATAGACCGGGTGTCCCAAATATGCAACATTACAAAAGGTTATCATAAACATAAAAAAACAATAATATATTATTTACAAACAAGATTGCAGAGTATTACAAAGTAAATGATCACTGTTTAACAGGTTTTTGCCCGTGGTCTGCGTGTACTGTTAACCAAGTGACAGTCAGTCTATGTGTATGATGAAATTGTAAACGTCGGTCCGTGGCAATGATCGTGGCGTCAGATATATGTGACGCTCTGTAGCAAACGTATTAACATTTATTTTTGAACTTTTAGCATATTTGCTTTAAATTTCTACAAATAGAACAGAAATTACAACTGAACCATGACTCAAACCACACCAAAATTTCTATATCCACTACCTGTGGGAAATCAGAGATTTTATTTCTTATGAATGTTTTTAAAACAAAATTTTAGTCCATTAATACGTTGTTTTCAATCAAGCTCTATTCTGGAAACTAAATGATTCTTGGCAGCTAAACTTGTAACTGAATGTTCCAGGATGATGTACCCTGACAAGAAGGAGCAGTTGGAGAAGCTAGCACAAGAACTGACAGAGACGAGTGATCAGCTGGCGCCACTCAAGGTGTGGCAGTTCCAGGAGTTGAGTCTACAGGCGGCGCAGAGGATACTGTCAGCTCCTAGAGAGGAGGCACTGCACACGTTCACACACATCGCTCAGAACTTCCCCATGCAGGTGATCACCATTAGGGTGTTTGACTTAAAACTTTATAAGTATTTGCAGGCAAAACATAGCATGTGTTTTTTTACAATGCCTCATAGCACAGAATAAGCACATAACCCAGAAGGCTCCCTGAGCCATTATAAATGTGTTTGAATCTGCTAGTGTCTACCCCAGAATCTAGAACTGCTACTGTAGCTGTTGTATTAAAAAGTATACACTTGTATTATCAGCTGGTAGCATGCTATTAGTATAGGCCTGTCCTATTCAAATTATTTTTGGTTGAACAGATAGCCTAAAAAGTCACGTTTAATAAACGGAACAGAAAATTATAATATCATCAGCTTAAAATATGTTGGACTCACCTATTTAATCAAGATAATTCTCAAAACATTAACTAATCTTGGTAACTAACTTAGTAAGAAGTGAAATGTACCACAACAATTAGCCGAACAAGAAACAAGATACTATTGAATTAAACAAAAAAAAAAAAAAATAAAACACTACACCTGAATGATATAATAGATCACTATCATGGAGAAATTTATTTTGGAAGCAAATTCTTTACAATTTTACTTTTTTATTTTTCTCCAGGCCAAATCACTGGTTAGAACCACGGTGAATGCAGATTTCAAGGCAGAGATGGTTCGCAACCAGGAGAGGTTCGCAGCAACTCTCAATCTACAACCGTCAGACACTGCGTTGTTCCTCAATGGCATCTTCTTTGACATGGACCTCACTGACACCATGGCCATCCTGGACTCCCTGAGACAGGAACTGAGGGTACTGGAGGGACTGCATGCCTCTGGTAGGTTGAACATTTTGTCAGTATGATCATGAAACGGCTGTTGAGAAATAAGGTATAAATTAGTGTTTCTTGCAACGTCAACAATGGATTTATTGACATGAGAAGAAGGTTGAAAATTCGTTTAAGCCTGTAAAGTCAATGATAAAAATTTATAAATTCTGTATTTCTGGGTGGAACATTAATTAATAAGTCAATTTTTTACTGCACAAACAAAACTGAGTACCTCCTCTCTGAAGAAGACCTACATCAGGACAAAATATCAGTGTTATGTTTTGTGTTCTTTTAGAGTGTATCTATCAGCCCCTGGACACTAATTTTCTCAGATAAGCTTCAACTCTATTCCTTAAAAAAATTTCCTTATTAAGTATAAAATAAAATATTTACAAGCTGTTAGCATGAGAATGGTACTTCCAAACGATTAGTATTTCATAAATGACGTATGTGGTACACATTAGGGGAAAACTTGACAAAAACCGCACAAAATTGGGGTTTTGGACGTTTGTAATTTTATTTCCTAAGTAGGTAACTTAGGCCATGTATTCTAGGGAGAAGTACCGGTATCAATAATCGTCCTCAAAATTTCGGTTATGAATAATTGGGTAGGCATATGTACCCAAGAGATGGGCTATGGGCCTATTGGTATGGGCCAGCGATTGCAGTACATAGCGGTGTGTAGAAACCGAAAGTAACACTTTGGAAAAGCAAGTTTAGGAGCATCCCTAAACCTCTATCAAGATCACAACGTCACAACAAAATCTATCAGATCGGAAACATTGCAGCAACATCCATCATCACCCACTGCAGTTATGATTATTTACTTAACAATTCACACAACTGTCATTGAAGCGCCGTCAATGAGTGTAAACCTTCTTTGTTAGCTATTGGTGACGATGATTTAAAAAAATTAAAGCTTCCCAGCCCTATACAACACTGATTCACGGTCTTTTCCCCCGTTATCAAAACTCAAGTACAATTTGAAGTACACAGAGAATCTCCGGTTCCCGACCTGGATGATGCCTAGTTATTTAATTTCATTTACGGTTACGCATTATTGCACTTGCCAGTTATGTAAAGCACAACGTTTTTAATCTCACTTGGTTTGGATTTGCTTACAAAACGTGATCGGAAATGGTTGCAGTATTTGTAAACATATCAGTGACAGCATGACAGCTAGAAAAAATTATCTTGATCCAAACAGCTGTTCGTTATTTTATAGATAATGTTCTTTCCAAACGATTAGTATCTCATAAATGACGTATGTGGTAAACCTTAGGAGAAAACTTAAAAAAAATCCCACAAAATTGAGTTTTTTAACGTCCATTATTTTATTTAAGAAGTAGTGAGGCCATATTTTAGTGGCTAAAGACACCATCACCAATACAGTGAATACATTAAAATTGTATGAAACTTGATGGTTACTCTAGTTGTCTCGGAGTAGACTGCATAAATTAGCAATTAAGCGTTACAGACACAATGACAGACAGACAGACAGAAATTGAGATAAGACGCGTTTCGGCTTTCTTAGGCTATGATACGTAAAAATAACCAAAAACTACACGATTCTTTGCAATGTAGGCCTACAGACAAAACTGTAATTTTATTTATATAGATAGCTTAGCTAAATACTATGATTACTAAGTCTTAGGGGAGGGTGGATATGGGTGATTTGTCTTACAACTTAATTTAGCTATTTAAATTGTGTTTATGTAGGCTACTTAAAAACTCTAGGTATTGAACATATTCCCTTTTAGCGAATTTCCCTATAGGGAAGTAGCTATTAGGTAAGACCTAGACCCGGGACTGATTTACTTTTTCATTTTGATGTCCCCAGAGGCCAAAAACACCATTCGTTCAAATTTTTATATATGTATAATAGTTTTTCTATATATATATATATACGTCCGTGATTAATTTTTGAGTAAATGCGTACTTCAACTTGAGTAATTTTTGTCCGATTTTGATGAAATTTGGTTTAAAGGTGTAAAGCGGGATAAACTTGAATGAGTTCGCGAACCAGCATGATCGGACCATGGGAACGGGGCTTTATGGGGGGTTTTATGGGGTAAAAATTTGTTTTTCTCACTTTTGACCCTCAAAACACAAAATTTCCCAATTTCTCTTTATACCTTTTTAAAGAGCTAAAAAAAAAACAAATAATTTAGTATATAAAAGTATTTTGGTTCGGTTATTAGTAACGGAGAAAATTAAAAAAAATGTAAATTTAAAATTCCCATGTTATTCTTATGGAGAATATTGTCAAATGTAGTTTGCTTGTTTATGGATATAATTTGATCAAACTTGGCAAATTTATTTATTTTGTACTAAGCTATCAATATTTTACTAAAAAACACACTTTATTAGTTTCCTTGTAGCAGCAAACCTAGGTACTCGTTAAACCTAATGATATTAAAATATATTTAATTGAAAATAACTCAGACAAATGGAAATTCGCTTAGTCAGCAGGTATGCTGCGGCGGGGGTATTTAATCCATAACAAAATAAGTAGGCTTGTTTTGGTCTATTTCAAAATCCAAATTAGTTACCAACTAATAATAAAATCCTAAAATCCTCTTCTTTTAGGAATAACGGATAAGTCAACGTTGAGCTCCCTGTTGGGCCTGGACCTGAGTAGCAATGGAGGTCAGGACTTTGCCATAGACATCAGAGACTCAGCCATACAATGGGTCAATGACCTGGAAGTGGACAAGCAGTACAGGAGGTGGTCGTCTTCTCTCATGGACCTGCTGAGGCCCACGTTCCCAGGGATGGTGAGGCATCTGCGGCGAAACCTGTATAACCTGGTAAGTGACATGTAGACCAGATTACTCAAGAACATAGCCAGTGTGTCCAATTGACGGGGAAACTATAAAACCGGGAGTTGTATATGAATTTTTATGACTGACAAAAGTAGGCCCTATGTGAGCTGTACATAAATTATTGATAGAACTGGGAATTTTTGAATAATTGCTAATAGCCTATGGTTGATTGTTGTGGTTGATTGGTTGATTAAAGTCGTTGGTTTTAATGGCTCTCTTCAAATCTCATCACTTTTATTTGTAGTTAAAAATTCCGATCGCAAAAAGAAACATGGCAATACAAGGCGCGATCAAAATGTCACCGTACCTTAAGAAATGCTCACGGGTATTGCTACAATTGTGAGAGATCAGAATGATGATATGATTCTGGTGTAAAGAGTTTCGGAATCAACTCATATTTTTTTAAATTAATAAAGAATAAAGTATATTGCAGTTGAAATTGATTTCAATTCTGTATTGTATTTTATGAACATTTTTCTTGAGCATGAGACACAGGTGTGTTAGCAATAGTTTGCTGCGATTGTCTACACAACTGCTGGAGACGTTCAGAATTTTTTCGCGATTGTAGAAGATGATGATACCCAAGTGAGGGATGATTGTGAAATTATACTAGTTGGAAAAACATTTTACATTGTTAACATGCTCAATACAACATATTTACCTGAAGTAATTACATACAAATATAATACAGAATTTTTAAAATTTATCATAACTTTAAATTGCATCTATACGGTAGCCTAAAAGAAGAGTTTTGACAAAACGAATCATTATATAGCACAGCTGTGTTGCCTACTCTTCGCATAGTAAAATTAATTCATCACCTGTGAAATATAGCTGTAAAAATTAGTATATTAATCATTGCACAGTGATAATAAACTACTGATTAAATGGCACAGTTTAACCTAGCACTTTGACAGTAGGCTTGAAACTGCATTAAACAATTTGCTTTCTGGTAAACCATCCTGAAAGCACTGTTGTTTTTCTTGATTTGTTAAACAAAATTGCATTCTCAGGGTAATCACTGTGGTGATGCTATGCAGGGATTTGGGCCACTTAAGTAGTTGTTTTCATCCCACAGGTGATCATAGGGGACCCGTCCAAACGACCTGTCTGGCCACTGGTTAAGCTGGTAGAGTCGTTCTACGTACACACGGCTCCACTGAGGCTGGGGCTGGTGTTTGCCGTCAACAACACTGCGACAGGTAGAGAGGACGCTGGGGTCGCGCTGCTCAACGCTTACAACTACGTGGCGGAAGTCAAGAACGCTTACGAGGGTCTCAGCTTCATTACTGATGTAAGCTTTCTCTGAAGTGACTTCCTAGAAGTAATGTATAAGATTGTTTTTTTTATTGTCTACGACAGTAAAAGGAAAGGTAAGGAAAATCATTAAAGGTTTTAAGGGAAAGTCTAACTTATCAATTTTTTTAGGACGTGGCAAAGAACCTGTTACTCTCTCACTAATGTCAGAGACGCTAACCTCTAGGCTAGCAAAACCCCTCTCTGTTTTTGTTAGGATGTGATTTATACTTCAACAGAATGTAGGTATTGAACACTTAGGGTAGTTTGCGTGAATTTGTTACAGTTAAGTATTTTAATTTTTCAATGTTCTTCAATGTGTTTTAAGGTTCTTTAAATATTACAAATTTCTTCAAAAAAGAGTCATCTGAACTAAAAGTCATTGGTATGATGAAATCTTACTTGTTGAACTCACTCACTCAACAAATTTAAACAACAGAGAATTTTAATTGCAGGTGTATGCATCGGTCAAAACCGAGGGAGAGCGTGATGTACAAGTGTCGGATGTGATCAAGCTGTTGAAGGCTCGTTATCACTCTGCGGACATCGAGGAGATCCTTGGAGAGGACACAGACTACGACACAGGCCGTAAACTGGCTCAGGACTTTGTACAAAGATCAGGCCTCAGGTCCCTACCTCAGGTGAGATCTATCATTGGTATTGTGAACGCTAAAGCCAAGGAAGCTTACAATAAAATGTTAGTTTAGTTCCAACTTTGCTTTATTAAATTGAATAAAGATACATAGGCTGCAGGTTAAGAGATAATTTGATACACATTACTCAAAATATCAGTGGTATTGAATTTGGAAAGTATTTATTTAGTGCCCATGGTTGTAAGTAACTAGTGAGAGCGGAGTGGCAACACTTCATTGGTGGCAACAGCCATAACAACAACTATTTTGTGAACTCTCTTTCTCTACACTTGACAAAGTCAACCCAGGGAACAAAATATTGTGTGTTTTACCTTTACTTCTTCTTAGATAAGCTAGCTGCTATTCTTATTCTACTATTCAAAATGCTGCCCTAGAACCTTTCCTTGATAAAAAACTTACTTCTGTTATTATTATTGATTAATGAGGATAAACCACAATCACTGAGCTAAGTATGTTTCATATTTGTCAAGGCCCTGATAAATGGAATCCCATTACCAGAGAAGACCCTCAACTCTGATGAGTTTGAAGGAGCTGTGTTGACTGAGATCATGACCCAGACTCCGGCTGTACAGAAGGCAGTGTATCGTGGAGATCTCACTGACGGCATGAATGTACTGGACTACTTGATGGATCAACCCAATGTGATGCCCAGGTAGGTGTAAAACACAGCCAGTGCCCAGTAGTAAATCATGGAGTTAGCTGTAGGCTGTACGCTTTTGAAAACCACTCAGGCAGTATGTATGTGTACATCAGTTTCCACCGAAAAAGTGATACATTTTTCCAATATATTTTTATATTTAAAATAAACTTATTTAAGACCTTACTTTGGCTGGGCCATCTAGCGATAGTTGTGATATTTTGAACCTAATTGTACCTTTAAGCTTAGGGAAGTCATGACCTCTCTAATGGCAGTTTCTTTTTGGAGGATAATATTGTTACCATCCTAAACATTTTACTTGACAAATTAAAATGATGTATTCCTAAATATGAAGTAGGCTAGTTTATTGCATAGTTTAAACCTTAGCATTGTTAAACTATTTGGGTAAACAAACTGACTTCATCATGCACATAAGATATCCTAACCTATATCATTAATATCTGTGATGTGGACTGGAAAGTGTGTGCGTCTCTTGTCGGCGATGCAAAATTTTCAATACGGCCGTTTTTTTTATAAGTAATTTAAGGTAAAAAATATTGATATTCAGTTTTTTATCTATTGTTAAATACCTCATTTAAGATAGAACAGGACAGTATCGGTTTAAATATGGAATCTAAGATGTAAAAGGTTGAAATAAATAATTTTTCAGCCTTTGCACGGTCTGAGAAAAGGTACCTCTTGTTGCTCAATGTTATTTCGCCATAACTACAAGAGGTACCATTTCTAATATTAACTTTATAAACAGATTTTACTATAGTCCAAAAAATTAATTGTCCTGCACTCCAGTGTAAATTTAGAGAACTACAACAAAGTTCAGTTTACAAAAAACAAAATATATATCATAAATTTTGCAGTCCCGACAAGAGTTACCTTTTTGTATGTTATGGAGAAATAACATAGGGTAGACAAGAGATCCCTTTTTTGAAATGTGATTTTTACGACATGCTTTGATAAAACAATTATTTAAATGAAAACTACTGTGACTAAGACAAAAATTTGTATTGCCTCCAAAGAAGACATTATAAGCTTTCTTTTGATACCAAAATCGTTTCTTAAATAAAAAAAAAATTGTCAAAACGAAAACGACCCTTTTCCATATCAAAGTTTCAAAGTCCTATAACTTTAACATAAACAAAAATTGTATATGCATGGGACTTGCACCAAGTGATTCGGAATTTAATAAGAAATTCAAATATATTTCTCAAAATTAAAAATTCCCGACAAGAGGTCCCTTTTCGCTTTCCACATCACATATATACTATTTACCGAGTTTTGGCTGTAGATTGAACGAGAGGATTCTGCAAACGGAGGACAGCAAGTACTTGGATCTGGTGAAGAGTGCTGCCAAGCTGAGCGAGTCCATGGTGTACATCAACAGTAAACATGCCAAAGACAAGGTGCAGCCACTGACGTACTGGGTGGTGGCAGACCTCAGTAGAGATGCGGACAGGGAACTGCTCCTCACTGCTCTGGAACAGATGGTGAGGGAAAATAATCTCAAGTGCTGTCAGTTCCTCAAGCATGAACAATTTATTAGTTGTTTTATATGTATGAAAATATTAAATCGAGTGATTTTAGTTGCCCCTAGACAATCCAACAACTCTTTTCCAACACATTTAGTAGTTCAAGGTACCTCCAGAAATTATCAGCGGAAACTGTGTAACTTTAACTTACTTTAAATTTTTAATAAATGACATATACTTTATTGTCCTTTCATACTGTCCCAAATGTGGAAAAGCTGTTGGCCATTTTTTGACTGATCAAATGCATTATAAATCATGAAAGTTGGAAAATTTTTTGTGATCAGACACCTTTCTGACCCCTTATTGTCGGATTATGGAGGGATAACTATACTATTACTTTTGTGTGTGTATTATCTCTAGTGGCTATAATTTTCTTGAACAGATACTAGTCTTGATACAATCTAGTGGTGTGGCTGTGATTCAGACGTAAATGTTTCAAAAAATGAAATCAATTATAGTTTTAGAATTTTTTTTTAATAAAGTAAGTGGTAGCGAGGAGTTGATTTTTACAGTAGGTTTTGAATTGTATTTTAAATAAATTAAATTTTAATTAAAGATTTGAGACTTGATTCTTAGGATTTAGATTCAAGACTCAAAAAGTCTGGCTAAATTAGTATACTTATCTATACCTATATCTATCTATACTATTATAAAAAAGAGGTGGTTGCTGTATGTATGGGAAAAGTAAACGCGAAAAATACTGGTCGGATTGGGCTGAAATTTGGCATGATGATAGCTCACATTCCCGATTAACATATAGGCATATTCTTACTTCAAAAATCCTTTCGGGCTCCGCCCCAGTGGCTCTGGAGTTTCCCATCCCATGTTAACCTTATGAGAAATGAAATTATTGAATCTTAACAGCTGTTTCAATTCAAGTTGGTTCTGTTCTGTGATGTTCAATAGCATTAAAGTTACAAGGATTACCAACAGGGTGCAGCACTAGCACTATTATTTCTTTTACATTTATGACAACAGCTAATTTGCAACCAAAAGGTGAGTGAGCGTAGCGAACGAACTTCAACCTGGAGGCGAGTGAGCGTAGCGAACGAGCTAACCTGAAGGCAAGTGAGCGTAGCGAACAAGCTAACCTGAAGGAAAGTGAGCGCAGCGAACGAGCTCCAACCTAAAGGTGAGTGAGCGTAGCGAACGAACTTCAACCAGGACGTGATTGAGCCATGCAAACGAGATCATCTTGAAAATTAAGAAGTTAAACGGGGCAAAGCCCGCGGGTTACAGCTAGTATACAATATATCTGGTAACATAGTCCTGGTTGGTAGCTGAATAATGTGCTTGTGAAAAGGTTGCTGGTTTGATCCTGAGAAGAGTCTGAACTGAAGCGTTTTGATAGTTTGAAACTGGACACCTCAGTCCTTGATCTTATGAATTAATTCTGGCTAAAGAAGCATAAAAAATTGGTTTCACGCTACATTAATCATCTCACTCCATTCTATACACACACATTATTAATATGCAGCTTGAAATATGCACTCAACTGTAGGTTCCGGGATTAAAAAATTGATTGATGTGGTTAACATAATACAGGGTGGGGCAATAAAAGCGCCCCAATTTATAAACAGTACAAACTCAATAATATTCACCCTATGCATATAAATAGCACACCAAAACACAGCTTATCTTTTGCCATTTTAACTTAACAAAGTAATTTTTCAATTTCTTGAGAACAAAACCCAAAAAGTGACTTCATTGTCCTACTTGACATTCCTTTTTAGCCACTTGAAACTCCATCAAATATTCCTCGAGCAATTCTTCAGGAATCACTTTAGTTTTTGGACTATCCTTAGCTTCGATTCAAGCAAATCTGTGGGGTGACTTTGAAAAACCTAGAACGTCAAGTAGCTTATTAGAACAACCTCCCCCCCTCCTCCCAAAAAAATTAGCCAACGTGAAGCTTTCAACAACAAAAGCTTCCTGGCAAATCTCTTCAGACTTTGAGTTACTGGGACTCATATTCTTTTAACATTTGCTGGTGTACAAAGAGTTTTGCGGCACCCACCGATTATTTTTTGTTTGTTTAAGCGATTATCCTAAATAATTTTACCCAGTTCAACATTGTTTTCCAATCTGGAACAGCGCCATGTTGACCAAGGATGGAATACGGTCCTAACAATCTCTGGGTTTTTTTCACAAGAACCACTATTTTATAAATAGGTTTTCACATCAAAATCTCAGTGTTAATAGCCTCAGGCATAATATTTACTAAAATGGCATTGTTTAATTGATGTTTTAAGCATAGCTGATCATTCATTGTTGCAACAATTAACATGTGACAGGTAAAACAAATTGTAGCGTTCTCATTGCCTCACCCTGTACTAATTCTGGTACACATTGCAGAAGTCGAGTGGTCGTATCAGAGTGGGGGTGGTCATCAACGCAGCTGCAGACGCAGACCAAGCTGTCAACAAGCTGGTAGTAGCAGCATTGATGCAGGACCCTACCACAGCTACTGTCTCCAAGATACTGAAGGATGCTGACGCCATTGCTCTAGGCGACAGACACCCTTCTGCTTACGGGCTTAAGGTAAAAATACATGCTAAAGCGATAAAAAATAGGTCAAATTGGGCTTGATTTGGGGGAAATAAACTATATGTTGAGCTTTGTACGCCTACTCTATTTTTTGAATAAACGAATAAGTTGAACCTTTTAGCATAAAATTCTGATGTTAAATTGTTTTACTACTTTTGTTGTGGTGATTAGTAAGTTAAAGTTTTGAAAAAATTTGTCTAGTTTGATCAATTCAACTCTTATCTATCCATTTGCATTGATAGGAATTTTTACCATCTAAAGTTTGTGGGCATCCTGGGAATAGAACCCATCCCTCCTGAACTGAATTTTATAACTCTGTATAAAAAGTAATTGTCTTTGAGAAGAAATGTGACAGGGAAGGGATGTCAAATTTCCTATAATTCTGAAAACTCAGTTTGTATACACTAAACACTAAATTAGTTTTATAATTTTTGTTATTTAATTTTTACTATAGTATAGTGTCTTTAAAAACATTTAGGAGTCATTAGCCTCACAGACTGAATCGTGCAATTCTAAGTAAAAACTTTATCAATTAAAGAGTTTTAGTGTTTCTGTACAATAACACTGTGACTTGTTAGTTTGTATCCACTTTTGTATTGATCCATCAATCTAAAATTATTTACAAAGAGGGAGATTGAAAGCTTTAAATTATCTATCTACTGAACACCACTTTCAAATTAAACACATTCTTAAATCATCCCCCTATGCCCTTAGGATGTGGACTGGGATACAGTCAGTGCAGTCCTGGAGCAGCACAGAGAGCAGGCAGCATGGGTGCTAGGGTTCCCAGTAGGGGCCCGGGGCCTGGTGTGTAATGGACGAGTGTTGGGGCCCCTCGACCTCTCAGAGCAGTTCACTTCTGATGACTACAGTCTGCTGGAGCGCTTCACCATGTCTACTCATGTGGACAAAGTGTACAACATGCTGACCAAGAAAAGCGATGGTAACTACTTTAACTTTTCTTATAATTTCATCAGTCTGTAACAGAAAGGGGTTTTTGACAGTTTGAACAATTTTAATAGTTGACAATTTTCTTCTTAGTTAATTTCCAATATTGACTTTTACAAAGAACTTTGTGCTGATAAGTTTAGCGTAGAGTGCTGATAGGTTTTAAGTTTTAACCTTTGAGATTTTGGTCAGGTTGCATAGTAGAAAGTTGAAGGGTAGGTGAGGTTTTAAAATCTAGTTGGTATTCACAGAAACATTTTATAATTACATGTATTTCTTTTTGTGTTGTAGTATGATATCTTAATTCTTAGATGCTACTAAATTAATTATTTGAAGGTAAATTAAAATCAGAGCATTAGAAATCAGTGGAACAGTTGAAATGTCTTTTATGAAAAGAAATATTGTTTTTACATCTCGAAGAACAATTTAATTACCAAACAAATACTGATGCTGTATTGTTTTACCGATTTTGTTGTGCTTTGAAATATTTGTTTTAGGGATAAGAAAGAGGTGCTTGTCAATTATGGGTAGAAATCTTAGCTTGAGGTACAGATGTTGTAATTCCAGCACCAAAATTATGAGAAATCAAACATTGTATATTTTTGAAAAAAAAAAACCAAGCTGAAACCAATCTACTAAATTGTGAATAGGGAATCAAACTCCTCAATGATTGTTTCAACTGGCCTTTTTAACCCATAATGAAGTTGTAGCCTATAAAGTTCTCACCTAGTTTGCACATTGTTTTGCAGAGTTGGATGTAACCAGTGACATGGTGATGAGGGCTGTCTCACTGTTGGCAGCCAGACCTCAGACTCGTAGCAGGTTTGAACTACCCGAACTTGGAGAAGAACACAGGTTATTTTGAAAATGATTCATAATTTTATTGTATGTTTCTTGTTTGATGTTAATTGTATGTTTTATTGTATTCACAAATTTAAACTCATTTTGTTGTGTTTTGCTGCTACAATCTTTACCTTGTACCTTGATACCATCAAAATATAAATTAGAGATTGTCCATGTTAGTTTAAGTGGTATAAATATGCAGCAATAGACAAAGACGATTAAACTAGCTTTTTTACTTCTTAAACCTCATTATATGAGGTACACTTACTAAACTACTCCCAAGGCCAATGAAGTATTTTGCTTATCATCTAACAGTATCTATCTGTATTCTCATTCCCTTGGCTGCTTCATCTTTCCACCTCTGCTCTGAGTGTCTAGGGATTATGAAGAGATTAATTTTATTTTTTAAAGAGATTTGTAAAAGAAAACATCCAAACCCTTGTACTATTCTTTAACATTGATCTATTCTCAATCTCATTTAACACCATTTGTCTAGTGACATATGGCATCAGAGGCCAGAATCTGGTGACGTAGGTACTTTAAAGCTTTCTTAAAAGGTCAGCTGATTACTAATCCAAGATTTTTGTGGTGTACACTTAATATACATTTCATAAAGTAACATTTACAGCAAGTAATCTTTGGCATGTAAAAAATGTAAGGGGTTGACCAATCACTGTGCTTGTAGTGTGATCAAGATGGCTGCTAGAGACCCGTCCGCTCCAGCCCTAGACATTGCTGTGGTGGTAGACCCAGTGTCCCGGGGAGCACAGAAGGTTGGACCCATCTTGTCTGTGCTACAACAGGCCACCAACTGTCACATACGCATCTTCCTCAACTGTGTGGACAAACACTCGGACATGCCACTCAAGAGGTTGGTCCAGACTCTCGTATAACCATTGACATTTGGATACCGGAGTAGAAATCCCATGTATATAGTAGCCTACAGCTGTAGCCTTTTGTGTATTTAAAAAAATCTCATCTGAATGAGCCTCTCACAGAGTTTGCTGATGTCAAAAATTCTATTTTCACTCCTAGTTTTAATTTTCTGGTGAAAAGTACCTGGTGTAGGAATACAAAGGAATGTACCAACTAACCCTTGAATTTCCTAACAAGAAAAATACTTTTTATCTTTTTAATACTTTATTTTGTAGTGTTGGTATAAAAAGTCTGAGTTTAAAAAAATGTCCATTCTATGATCAAAAAGTAAAGATTTAGGTGGTAATTATCTTTTGTCAGTCCTGTTTGTACATCGTGCATATTGACAAGTTTTAATTATTTCATACTCATACTTTGTTGTTCACATATGCAATCAAACATTTACAGTTTGGTAATACTTTTGGAACTACGACGGCAAAAGCCTCCATTTAATAACTGGATCCCACCATTGGCAGAGAAAATATTTTGACATCCAACTTGCTACATAAAAACTTTGACTTTGGATACTGAAGAAGGTCTACATCCTGTGTGATCCATCTGAAGCCAATTTTCTATTTAGAACATCTGTGAATTCACTTGTGAAAAAAGCACTAATGTGCGAAGTGCGAGCTATTGTCAAAATGTCTTTATTCCTCTTAATTTCATATAATTTCATAGTGGAATATTGCAGACGCTATAGTTTACCATGAGTGAGTTGGCTTAGTTAAAAAGTTTGTGTAGGTAATTGACTTCACTCTGTTAATGACTCAAACCAACTATATTCTTGTTTATAGGTTACAGCTTTAACATGGGAACGGGGCGTCGACTTGCATCAATTGTCAACTTGAAATGTTGTGTTTTCTATCAATGTCTGATATTCTTCCTGGGACTTTTTCAGTTTCTATCGGTACGTACTAGAGCCAGAGGTACAATTCACTGCCGACGGACACTTGGCGTCGGGCCCGATGGCTCGGTTCTCCAACATGCCACCAGCGCCGCTGCTGACACAGAACATGCATGTGCCAGACAACTGGCTGGTGGAGTCCGTGGCCAGTCCGTACGACCTGGACAACATCAGACTGGAGGAGGTGGAGAGTGTGGTGCACAGGTAAAACTTGACATACTGAAAATCAGGTGGTGTATGTGTAGACTACTCTAGGGAATAGTCAAAACAAAGATTTTTAAAAATTTATATTAGTTTTTTGAGGAAATAGCACTTGACTTAGAATGTGGCAACTGACTTATCGAAGATAATAATTCCAGACAGTTCACCTGTTTGTGGAACACACAAAAAGTAACACACCATTCTAATATTTCCTTCTTCTCGTTGTTCGTTGGGGTCGTATGGGCAAAATATGAAATTATTGGGTTTTGGATTTTTTGTGTATTATGGATTATTGTTTCTTGGGGAATTTAGCTGTGTAAAAACCAACTAATCCTATTCCTGCTTCACAAATGTATTGAGTTAAAATCTTGTAAAGTGGTCTTATGTTATATCTTTCATCAACATCATGTGTCTGCTCAAGCAATTTTTAGAAAGGGGCAGAGTTCAGATACAAAAATCGTATACATGTTACGTTTGACCTTTTGGGTGTTTGTTAGCCTCAGGACTCCAATTTTCTCTGACAAGAAGGCAAAACTATATTCAGTGGCGGCGATAAGAACCCGCGGGCCCCCCCGCAAGTTTGTTCGCCGGGCCCCCCTCTCCCAATGATCTTTAAAAACATTTTCCCATGTATTGCCGCGTAAACTTGCAATTTTGCAATAAACTTGACAAGGCATCTCACGAGGCATCATTAAAATCGTAAATACTTCCCGTAGTCATAAGTAATGGAAGAAACATTATCATAGTTTACCGTGGTTGCAAATGCAACCAAACCTATGACATCATTAGATAGCAGCATCATCGTCTCCCGCGTTCACGGCCCAATCTAATATCACGGCCTAATATCTCCCCGCGACCCGGCGGTGGTGACGGGTAAATCATTTTTCCGTAATTGCAGCTAAATCCTAGATATATCTCTCGCTAAAAAAGAAACGTCATTATCGTCTTCCGCAATCGCGGAAAAATATTGAACATCTGCGGCCGCGGAGACATTGTCATCGTCATCGTCACCCGCGGGGAAATGCTCTCGTCGATATCCGCGATCGCGGCAAAAGCATAGGCCTAATCTTTCAATTTTGTGAGCGTGATCCTCAAGGATATAAAAGCTATTACTTTTAATTGTGCATTATTGTATTGTATTGAATACTGAGAAAATCGGCTAGAGCTTGATTTTCTGACTTTGTGCTTGATCGCTCAAGCTTTTAGTCCAGGCTCTGCTCGGCTCGAAAATCTACATTATAGGCCTATTATAAAAATCAACCGTTTCCAAAGCAACCCGATTTTGAACCGATCTGATTTGGCATGAGGCCCTTTGGTAAGTAAAATTTTTTACCTGACTCGATGTAAACACATCTTAAGTGCGAAGTAAACAAATCTAAAGGGCAGCCTCCTAATAGTAAGACATGAAATGAAATGAAAATTCTTCTTTAACATCAATGAAAGAATGGAATTATTTATTTGCTAGTGCCCTAGCCACCTAGGTTAATTTGCCGATTTGGTCGTAACAAAATTGTCAAGTTTATTTAGTCGAATCAGCATAGAGGATCCTCTATGGTGTCACCCGCTGGGGGCTAGGAGGATTAACATTAATGTTTTATCTTCCTAGGCCAGAGGCCACATTGCTTATAAATACGGCCCTATTATTATGCAACCAATTTTGACTGCGCCTTCACACAATCCACGAGGACAGTTAATGCAACCCGCATGACTGACGACAATTCTTTACTTGGTAGGTTGGTAGATAATTTATATCGATCGGTCAAGTAATAGTGTTAGTTTAGCTGTTGTAAACTACTTGAACTATAGGTTTGAACAAATTTTCATAATAAAAAAAGTATTTTAATTCTCATATAAATATTGTTATGATGTTGGACCCGTGTGGCTGAGCCTGTCACACTATCGCGGGCCCGTGTGCCGGTAAAATTTACTGAAAATCCCGGTCAAGGCTCACGGCCCCCCCTAGCCTGCAGCCCCCCTGCACCGCGGGCCCACTGACTATATTCCTTAAAAAACTCATTTAAAACCAAATATTGTATTCTTGAATTATTTACTGAATAAGTGCTTTACCAATCTAACTGTGATCTGTGATGGTTGCAGTCAGTTTGAGCTGGAGTACCTGTTGCTGGAAGGTCACTGTTTCGAGGCAGGAGGCAATCCTCCCAGAGGTCTGCAGATCACTCTGGGCACTGAGTCTGAGCCGGTGCAGGTAGACACTATAGTCATGGCCAACCTGGGCTACTTCCAGCTTAAGGCCAACCCTGGCGCATGGATACTGCGACTACGCCAGGGCCGGTCTGCGGATATATTTGATATCACCAGGTGCGAAAATGTTGTAGATATAATAGTCTAATTTTAGAAATAATTGTGTGTTTCCAATAATGGATTAAAGTAAAACTCTTTTAATCTGGTATCCGTCCAACAATTTTTCTGAATAGGCCTTCCAGGTCAAGATTTAAAACCAGACAATAACAAAAGATCCAATACTAAAGCTTCCGACATTTTTTGGATGTTGTTGAAACTCTTGGCTTACATGTAATTGTTATCCAGCCACGAGGGATCAGACACCCCTGAGAACTCTACAGACATCAAAGCGTTGATCAGCTCATTCAGACCTCACGTGCTGAAGCTGCGAGTTACCAAGAAGCCTGACAAGCTGAACATGGATCTCCTCGGAGAAGATGATCAACCCAACAGTGGCCTGTGGAACTCCATCACCAGGTAATACTTCTGACTTGATAGTTACCTATTTCAATACAGTAGACTCTGGCTCATTCGGTTTGGCCTTGTGCGGGACTCCCGCTAGTCCGGATCGGCAATTTTGATTTTTTTAAACAACCAAGACTACCTCGGATAATCAAAAACTTGGATAACACGGCGGTAAAAATTATAGGTTATAATTAGACTAGTGATGGTCGGATCCGGATATCGGACAACCGGATCCGCCGGATCCAAGCTGGAACCGGCACCGGATCGGATCCAAAAAATTCTGGATCTTGGGTTGGATCCGGTTTTGATGGATCCGATTTTTTCCCGATTTACTGCTAACATAAAGCTGTCTGCATCCATGTACAAGACCAGGTTTTCAAGAGCAGAGTCCTCCTGCCGCCAATAACCGTGACGGGCCCGTTCGATAGATTGATCTCGTTCGTAATATGTTTTATACTTGTTCGTGTTTAAATGTAAGTGTTTTTTACGTCCTGTATTGTTTTTATAAACTTTTTAACGACGTCAATTTGACCGACATGTGAGCAAGAAGTTATCCTGCTGACATACGTGATCATGGTGCAACTCAGCATCGAAACCTGGTTGTAGAGTTTTAACGACCATTTGAGCTACTGACAAAGGTAACTTAAAACCATTTATTAAGTCTTATAGCTCAGGGGCAGAAAAAACAAAAATGTTTAAATACATCTGTTTCTCGTAAATGAGATACTTGCAGTATCCCACGTCAATGGTATCTTTTGTTCTCATTAATGGAATTATTCCTATTTTCATTAGGTACCTATTCAAAGTCTGCATTAATGGTACGTCTATGTGATATGCAGGAAACCCCCCCCCCCCTCAAACTTCACAGGTTATCCTAAACATGCACATGGGAGCGTAGCTTTAGTGAAACCCGGATGTTTAACCTTATATAATTCTAGTTATGAGCTGGTAGACTGATAAATGAGAGGACCAGATTAAATTTAAAGTACTGAACCTTTTTATTATCTCAAAGAATAAACTATTCTATACAACGATAAACAACAACAAACCCACTAATGAATAGCTAGTTGAAAACGTCCTGGAGGCAGCTAGAACTCTGAGTATAAAATTCCCAAAAACAAATTTACTTCATATAATTTATATCAAACAAAATATCCGATCCAAAAGAATTTCCCTTATCAAAATCACAAATCCTATTTAACTTTTAATCCCCTTAAAATAAAACTTCCCCTTACAAAAAACATGTGACTAAAGGACCCAAGCCTAAGATAGAGCAACCAGTACTCACCCAAACCTTCTGGGCAGCCTGCCCTGGCCGACTGACCCATTTCTCTACCTCAGGTGGCCTATTTCTTGAATCCGATAGCTACTGAGTGCAAAGCCCTCAGTGTTTACAAAAACACCTCCAGCATGCATCATAGCAAGCAAGGCCTGACCCCAGGTCATCAACCTAGCTTGCCTAGCCTACCCTCCATTACATCTAGTTCACATAAATGGAAAGTCTACTTGCAGTATCCAAAGTCAAAGGCCCATTTGGTTTACATAAATTAGATGTGTATTTGCAGTATCCAAAGTCAATGGTAGGCTTACTTCTGGTCTACAAATGGAATGTCTATTTGCAGTATTCAAAGTCAATGATATACGTCGGGTTCACATAAACAAATTGTTTACTTGCAGTATCCTAAGTCAATGGTTCATTTGATTTACATAAATGGAGTGCCTATTTGCAGTATCGAAAGTTAATGGTACGTCTGGTTCACGTCAATGGAATGTCTACTTGCAGTATCTAAACTCAATGGTATCTTTGGTTCACATTAATGGAATTCATATTTGCAGTACCTTACCTTCCTAAAAACACCAGGACCCACGAAACGCTCTCCAACATTTTAATTTTTCTTCCGCTTTTTTAATACTTTACTAATGCAAACTACTGTAGATTCCCACTAATACGAACTTGGTTAGTCCTTGCTTAATTTGAACTTGCCATCACCTATCGCTATCGGTGACAATGTTATCAGTGGTAATCTCGTGAATATTTGCAATGGTCATGTGGATATTATCACCGTCTTCCCCAAACACGGTAGAAATCTTGTTTATCCACTGTGATCTCAAATTATCATCATTGTTTTCCGCAGTCACGGAAACATTTATCGTCATCCTCCATGATTATGGCAAAATATTGATCATTTCCCACAGTCATGAAAACATTATCATGCTCTTCTGCGATCATGGACAAATCTTACAGGAACAGAAAAAATCATTATTGTCTTTGGTGATCGCAGTAGAACCCTGAACATCCCCTGCGGTCATGTAGATATCATCATCGTCTTGCATGAATACGGGAATATATTAAACATCTCCTGAACTTGTGGGACAACATCATTGTCTACAGCAATCACAGAAACTTAATCTGTGATAGCAGTAAAATATTGAATAGCTCCTGTGGTAAGGAAACTTCATCGTCTACTCCCACCATTGTGGAAAAATATTTAATGCGTCCTGCAATCACGGGAACATTACTATTGTCTTCCGTGATCACGTGTTTAATGATTGTCGGTTAAGCAATTAATTTGGTCATATTAATATGGTCCTCAGGTAATCTGCTTACTACTGTTCCGACCATGGTTTTTGTCCCAGGTCACTAGCGGGTTTGTACTGTATAAGTCAAAATCCAAATCATTAAGTCAAAATACTAAACAATAAAAAGCACAACAGAAATAAGTGGAATATACTTAAGAGCTTTCAAAATCACAAGTTGACGCAACCCTCATGACAAAGCATGATAACATAAGCATGATCTTTCCAGTAATGTTATTACTATCCCTATCTCCCATAAGACCTGTAGAGCCTGGTGAACAAATGGAATAGAGTATAGTGTTAGAGCAGGAGCCTTCGGTCCCTAAGGTTTCAGGCTCAAATCCCGACGATCACCATTGACTTTAGCTATATGATAACTCCACGCCTCTTTAGGCATAGCCTGAAGTAGTGTGTAAAACGGTTTTGAGTTAGAGACTAGAGTCCTGGGATGTGAAAGAAGGTTGAAAAATCAGCGCAAGCTATGTAAAATAAATGGTTGAAGAAGAATTAACATTTTTAGTGGTTCCCACTGAAGATAATATCATAGCCTTATATGGTCAAACACTGATACCTAAAAACTTTACGTGTTGCAGATTTTACTTTGAATATCCATTCACCAATCCAATTTATGAACTGAGGTAATTTGTATTAACCAACCCAAACACCCTTACTTATCAGTGTTGGAAAATCCCAATATTTTAAAATTCATTCTTATATTTTTATTTTTTACAAATATTTATGTATTACCTGAAATGGTTTTTGTTTTTAGTTTCAATAGTTATGTATCATTAAGTAAAATCTGATCCCCTGTAATTTACACTGGTGTTTTTACTTGTGTAGCTTTGTAGAAGATTAAAATCAAAGATATAACATACTTCCATATATATTTTTCATTATTATGGATTGTGTTTTTTGATAACCGTTTAATAACTTTTATTTCATCTTCTTTAAATCTATCTTAACCAAATAAACTATTTGTTTATCCTATAGTATTATTTATAACCAACCATTTTATCACACAATGACTATCAATTACGACCCAAACAGCCATCACGCACCCTTTTTCATGATTAAATAGATATATGAACTGTATCTAATCGTTTCAGTCCTTAGATATTGTAGTTGTAGTTATTCATAAAGTAATAATTGTGTACACTACTACCACAAAGAATATGTGTGAAATCTATATAAAAATAGTTAAAGATTGCTTATCTATTCTGTTTATTGGTGTTGCTATGTTTTCTTCTTTTTTGTTCAATACATTCAATATGGAAGCATACACAAATTAAATAATTATCTCAATACTGTTTAGTTAGAGTGTAGATGTCTGCTAAAAAAAGAATTTTTTCTCCCAACTTTCAGAAAATTTGTTAAAATATAATTGTTAAATATCATAACAAGTTTGTGAAGGAATTTTGTTGTGAAACACCAAAATATCTTTAGTAAATTATATACCTATATATCAGGCCATGAATGATATCCAAAACTCAGGAAAATACTTATATACTAAGAAAATATTGTTATTTTAAGACAAGCATGATGTTCCAATGTCTGCAAGTCAGCGAAATGAAAATGGGTGTCGGCTGCTAGTGCCACTGCAGCACAAAATAATTACACAACAGTAGACGACAGTTAGTTATTATCATAACATCATGAAATCCAATACAGCACAATATTTACTCAAAATTTATAACTATATATTTATTTTTGTTTTCATTACACATTGATGTAATGTATAGGCAAGATGGCATAGTGATGATGTTTTCATGTCTTTAGATATTATGCATCAACAAAGTAAATTCCATCTCGAAAAGATCTGACGTAGAAATATCGTTTCCAAAGATCGCAAAAACTTTATCCTGAAAAATCCCAAATATTCAGTCTTGATAAACTGTAGTAATTTTATTTTTATGGTATAGCCTCTGGATCACTGATTTTTACAATAAAAGGTTTAAATTACCTATATGCTGAAGATGTGTTTTTACAACACGAAACGGCTGTAGTCAATTAACTACAAACCAGGATCACTTGACGGATACAGGTAATTTAAACCTTTTATTGTAGTAATTTTGTTTTTTTTTTACTATGGCTATAAAACAGAAGTTTCAGGCGTCCATCTATTGTTTTGTTTTACTTTCTACCTATAAAACTATGACCAAGAATTACTGATCTTATTGTGTGTAGCACGTTTAGCTCCAAGGACGAGCCAGCAGACCCGGCTGACACCACCATCAACATCTTCTCTGTAGCCTCCGGACACTTGTACGAGAGGTTTCTTCGCATCATGATGTTGAGTGTGCTAAAGAACACCAAGTCTCCTGTCAAGTTCTGGTTCCTCAAGAACTATCTTTCTCCCACGTTCAAGGTGAGTGACATTATTTTATTCTAGATCTCTTTCTTTCTTTTTTTGTCATTTGCCGTTTGCATTTAATTTCTCGTAAGGTAACATTCCAAACTCTGGTCTTGTCTAAGGTCAATCATTTGTTATAAAGCATCATTAATTTGGGTGGGAAAAAGATTTGTAATGATCCAATACAGCATTCTATTGGTATGTCACATATTCATTGCTAAACCTTAGCCATTGTACTAACTAAATTGAATTGAATTTAAATTTATAGTTTAAAACGTATGGCATCTGATTTTAGAATTGAATAGAATCAAACTATCAGCTTTCAGATTTGAGGGTGAGCAATACCACTCGCCTACCCAGACATTCACATTTTAATGGGGTTTTAAAGTATTGTAAAGTGACAAGATAAAAACTAAGTTTATGGTTCTTAAATTCAATTTTTAGTGCCAAAGTGGAGTAAATCAGGGTAAAAAATCAATACTAAAATAATAAAATGTGCTTCATTTCTCCCAACAAGGGCAAGTCTTTCTATTATTGATTCAGTAACATTTTTGTTTTAAACTCTGTATCCAATATAAGATAAGATTTTATTTTGCCAAATTAATTTTGTACAAGTGAATAGGCACATCAATATTAAGGTACAATACAAAGCACTAAATACATTTTTAAGATAAGCCTATGTTTACTCAAACTTATCAGCTCTCCATACTCCTTTAATATACTCAGCAACACAATAAAAACAATAATAGTCAAAGGTAAAAGGCTCTACTGGTTAAAAATTGTAAAATTTGTTTCTTGAGACATAGAGCACTGGCATTGCTGCCTTAGTTTCACAATCTGTCTCGCTCTACCAACTGAGCAACCGACTTACCAAATCTGCCTAGTAAAACTCACCATACATGCACATAAACTACTTGTAAAGTTCTTTAACCTTTGTTTGGTAAATAAGTAATAAATAAATGTCCAGGGTTTACAATGATGAATACATATAAACCTTTTATTAGTCAAATTGTACAAATAAGTAGGGTTATAAATTTAGATGAAACTCTTAATCTCAGGGTTCTAGGAATGTGCCGGCTTAAAGTAGGCTTATGTGATGTTGGATAGGCATAAGCCTAATGTTCATCACAAGTTATGTACAGTTCTATTTACACTTTTGAAAGAAGAAAGTTCAAATTTTGAATTTAGTAAAATTACAATTTAGGTAAAAGTTCAAAACGGCAAAAGCCAATAGAAATTTTGGAATGTGAGTATTTAGCAAAGTACAAGTTCAGTTTGATCTCACCCAAAAGTTTATGGTAGTCTTCTCCACAAATATATTTCTTGAGGTAAAAATGATATGTATTAAATAATTGAGAACAATCTTGATATTTTAAATACTGTAAAGTTAAATCACCAATTAAAAGTTTTAAATAATCTTCCTGTCTTGCTTCTTCATTACTTATTCTCAATTGAAAAATCTTGATTCTTGATGTTCAATTTCATACATCTGTTTCAACAATTAGTTCACTGGTTTCTTGATGTCACTATTCACTGTTACTTTTATAATTGGTTGGTATTATATGAAGAGTATTTTAATTACATTTTTGAAAGTGAAAGAGAAGAATAATTTTGTAAAATAATTCAAACTGTATAAGTAACTTCCAGTGATTATAAATTTAGCTTATTAAATAAATGACAGTGTTTGATGAGAATGTGAAATATGGAAATTTACAATAGGTGGAACCTTTTGCCCTTTTACTGCATGTAAACACATGTGATAATTTAGAGGTATTAATTTAGCTAATAGTAGGCCTAGGTATATACAAATTCAAAAGTAAACAATGAGGATAATTTTGGAACATCTCATACTGTCACATTTCAATGATGTTTTCCATTGCCAAACAGGACTTCCTGCCAAGGATGGCCAAGGAGTATGGGTTCGAGTACGAGTTGGTTCAATACAAATGGCCTCGCTGGCTGCACCAGCAGACGGAGAAACAGAGAATCATTTGGGGCTACAAGATACTCTTCCTCGACGTGCTGTTCCCGCTCCACATCAAGAAGATCATCTTTGTGGATGCTGATCAGGTACGTTTTAGCCTTTAGTAAGAAGATAAATACTATGTCTCATTTGTTGACTGTTTACAACAACCCTCCTAACACAATGATGGGTTTCAGGTCAAGAACAGATCTTATAGCCATCAATCTGGCCCACATTTGTTTATACTATGTTCACAAAATTTAGGCGGTTTGAGGGGAAGCAATTGCAGCCCCTCCACTTCACCCTAACTGTGAAACAACAGCTGATGTGTAAATTAAGCTAAAAATAGGAGTGGGGGAATCCAGGAAACCTTTCCCTTAAACCACCTAAATTTTATGAACAGACTATAATAACCTTTACAACTGTACATAAAATAAGTAAGACATTAGACATTATTTATTTGCACATAACATTCTTTTAGATGTGATAACATATAGAACAGGTGCATTGTCAAAATTGAGCTTAGACTAGAAAAATACAAAGTAACAGGAAAAAAATACCTAGCCAATTTTTTGCAAAGTAAGAATAGATTGATTAATTACTTCTCGTTGTATTTTAGTTACGGTATTATGGATTAAGTAAGCCTACATACTGCCTGGTGTAAACATAGTACATGTCTGTAGATAAGTGGAGTGCAATGGGTGTGTTGCTCGGTTGATTTCTGAACAAATCGGGCACTTAAATCTTTTGCTTTATCTGTTCTAAAAGTAAAAATTAGGTTTATCACTTGGAAAAACATTGTCGTTCAATTTTTCAGCTTGTGTATTTTTATATATAATCTGGCCCTTCCCTTAAAATGTGTGCTCAAGTCTGTGTATATTAGTGTCTAACAATCAGTGTGTTTTCCAAACTGACATTAGTTTGCATGTTACTTACAGATTTGTTTTATCACATTACTCTTTAAATACAAATCCCTTCTATTTACAAAGATTTTAGGTTTAACAAGTTTTGTTTTCCCATAGCTCTGTTTTGTTGTAAAATTGTATTCTTGTTCTTTTAAGGTTGTCCGAGCAGATATGAAGGAACTAGTTGATTTAGACCTAGGAGGAGCTCCGTATGGTTACACTCCTTTTTGTGACAGTCGAACTGAAATGGATGGTTTCAGGTAGGTTGGCTAATTTTGATTCATCTTTTGTTTTGAGTTAAAGTAAAATGACTGTTTTGTCTACTATCCCTCACTCATAACATTGATCAAGACGGTCAGATTGCTGATGCCGTTTATTCATCCTGTTGTTGACAGCTGCATTCTAATGTGTGAGGCTTAAGTTTACACAGTTTAGGAAAGAGATATATACTTGTCGATAGTGTATCAGAAGTCAAATATTTTAAATAACACAACAAGTCTTGTGGTTTAGGTTCTGGAAGCAGGGCTACTGGCGCAATCACCTGCAAGGTCGTAGATACCACATCAGCGCTCTCTATGTGGTTGATCTTAAGAGATTCCGCAAGATAGCAGCCGGGGACAGACTGCGAGGACAATACCAAGCTCTGAGCCAGGACCCCAACAGTCTGTCTAACCTTGACCAGGTAATTTCCATACTTAGATGAAATGCAGAATGCACAAACTCTAATGGGAAAAGTGGGACTCGCACCTACTAAAACCCCTGTTGGTCCTATGGAATCAGGTTGGAACCCACATTCATGCTGATGAATTCATGAGTGAATCACCTGTTTTTTTCAGTTACTGAGAAGTCATCTATACTCCATATTGTTATTATACACGTATTGTACTAAAAATGAGTATCTGAATTTTATTTTAGTTTAGATATGTTGTTACAAGGAGCAACCCTGCTGGTAATAATACAATTATATTTAACTGGTTGGGTAGCTGAATGGTTGTAGTGCTCGCCTAGCAATCAAAAGGTTGCTGGATCGATCTTGAGAAAAGTCCGTAGTCTTTTTGATGGTTCGAAACTGAATCAAGCTGTCCATAATCATTGGTTTAATAAATTATCCAGGCTAATGAAATAGCTGATCTTAGTCAGTAACAAAGCTACACAAATCATTGTAGTTGGCGTCCACATCTTTATTTGATAATCATAATAAACAAGGATAATATCCCATTTGATTATTGGTTATGCTTATTTTTACATTCCTGACTGTTTCAATGCTGTACATTCTATACATCACTTTATGCTCTCACAATTTTTCACTTACTGTTTTACTAGTTGTAGTAAAAGTAGGTTACAAATTTGCCACAAACAAAAGGTTAGTGAATAAGAAAGAGAATGGTATTTTACAGCAGCTAATTCTGTTGGTGGCACAGTTGAAATGTGATTTGTCAACTGTGTACTAATTCAACTTTGGAATGGGATGCCTACTTTTTAGATCAGTCAAATGTTTAATCTAATCTATGTTTGTTTCCTCCACAGGACTTGCCCAACAACATGATACATCAGGTGGCCATCAAGTCTCTGCCTCAGGAGTGGCTGTGGTGTGAGACATGGTGTGACGACCAATCCAAACAATCGGCTAAAACCATCGACCTGGTCTGTGCAGTAGTACTATGTTTAGTTTATAAATCACTGAGGTCTTAAAACAGAGCCTTAAAGCCATAGTAGTTTTTGTTTGCACATTTTCTTGCCATTTAACTTTAAACATTATTTGTTCATCTCATCGTAGGTTCGCTTGACCTACTTTGTTCAACTTCCTGTTTTGTTTCCTTGTCAAATTTGTTCACCAAGTTATCTGTAACTGAAAATCTAATATATAAAATTCTCGTGTCACAGTGTTTGTCTGCAAACTCCTCCGGAACGACTTCACCGATCGTTATGAAATTTGGTGTGTAAATTCTGTAGGTATGCAAATCGGACGTAAACTATTTCCCGTTTCGAAATTCTTAAAAGGGCTCCGCCCCAGTGGCTCTGGAGTTTCCCATGTTAACCTTATGAGAAATGGAATTAATGAATCTTAACGGCTGTTTCAATTAAACAAGTTGGTTCTGTTCTATGATGTTCAATAGCATTAAAGTTACAAGGATTACCAACAGGGTGCAGCACTATTATTTCTTTTACATTTATGACAACAGCTAATTTGCAACCAAAAGGTGAGTGAGCGTAGCGAACGAACTTCAACCTGGAGGCGAGTGAGCGTAGCGAACGAGCTAACCTGAAGGCAAGTGAGCGCAGCGAACGAGCTCCAACCTAAAGGTGAGTGAGCGTAGCGAACGAGCTCCACCCCAAAGGTGAGTGAGCGTAGCGAACGAGCTCCACCCCAAAGGTGAGTGAGCGTAGCGAACGAACTTCAACCAGGACGTGATTGAGCGATGCGAACGAGATCATCTTGAAAATTAAACGTAACGGTACTTTCTTTCCATCGGTCTGTCTTAGGGGAAACCTATAACTTAGGCGATACGAAGTTCGCCGGGTCAGCTAGTTATTTTTATAAAAAAAATATATTGTTGTATAATTTAGGTCAAATTAAACAATTTATTAAGCCTTTAATCACAACAGGAAATAGGCGATGTCAAAGAATAGTGGTACTAATTAATGGAAGTATTTCACAATTGTATAGAAATTCTTGAATGAGTAAAAATGGTTGTAAATTAAGCCAATTTTCTGCTGAAAAGGTGGCATGTGTGTGTTTCTGAGTAGCTTTTGAATGCACCTCAAAATAAACTTATCCCTTTAACCAACACTTAATCCCTTATTTTCATCTTTAAAAACACAGCAGTAACCACTGTAAGGTGCTGAGTACTACCACTACAATGTGATATACCAAACTGTATAAACTCAAATAACATAACAATTTTTTTATGAAGTAACACTGTAAAATTTAAATTTGTAACAAAATGTATTAACACTTAAAATTTACAATGTCGTTCATTTACAGTGTAACAACCCACTGACCAAGGAGGCTAAGTTGACAGCCGCCATGCGTATTGTAGAGGAGTGGAAGGATTACGACGACGAGATCAAGAGGTTACAGCTCCGGCTCGGAGCTACAGACGAACACGAAGAAGAAACTGTGACACATCAAACACCAAGTAAGCTGCACTATCTCTAATACAGTTTTATTTTTGTTAATCCCACATTGTTACTGCTAAAATTGCTTCAATCTAGTCGTAAAAAAACAAAACAAAACTTATCATGACTTGTATATTGGTATCTCTTCTGGTTGAATTCAAATTCATCACAAAACATTTTCATCTTCAAGATTTGTGTTCCTCTTGAAAAAAAGAATCCTTGGAGATTGTTTTTAGCGAATTTTCCTATTGGGAAGTAGCTATTACCGTAGTTGTCACGGTAAGACCTAGGCCTGGGACCGATTTACTTTTTAATTTTGATGTCCCCACAGGCAAAAAACACCTTCCATTCAAAATGTATTGTATATATATATATTAAGAATGATTCAATTCCAAAAGTCGATTTACAAAATATTTTTAAGCATTTCATACTGTATGAGAAAAAAAAATACATGGCTCAAAGAGTTTTTCATCCTCCCTCACTTTTAAAATTGAGTTTTACGTTAAATCACTTTTGATCTAGTGGCAAAACAAAATAAATCAATTGTCTGGCCAGCCGAGTGGTTATATTTCTTGCCTCTAAATCTGAAGGTCGCTGCTTCCTTTCAAAGGAACAAAAGGTCGACGTTAGCTAGTAGCTTTGACGATCAATAGAACTGGACATTCCATCTTGTAGCTTTTTAATCAAAATGTAATTGTAGAATTGAGCCACTGTCGGTACACTGATGTAAATTAAATTACCAATGTCTGTCAAATATGCCATCTTTTTAACCAAATCAAACCCACAGCACAGCTTATAGTAAGCCATAGTATTTGTCATGTCTTTCCAACTACCATTATCAAAAACACAGTAAATATAATTTTATACTTAGTGCCTTCTGTGAGTGGCTAATTTAACTTTGTCCTATTTTGGTAAAACTAGGCTACAGCTGGTCCATACAATTGGGATGTATACATCAGCATTAAAAGGTTAATGCTAGTAAAAAGACAACAAGAGTGAAAATTTAAAAACGTACGTTTTCATGTCCCTGGCATTTTACTTCCTAGCTACTGGATTTGTAGTTTATTATTATGTGTTTTAATATTTTTTGGGATGGGGGCAACATGTTACACACATTTATTTGGTTTTAAATAGGTTCTAGGTATTTTTTTCGTATTTTTAAAGTCTCGAAATTCACGACCATGACGTGTCCCTAGGGTACATTTTCCAACTTTCACGCTGTTTTTAGACTAATTATTCATGCAGCAATATATAAAGCCATATTTTTATGTCATCAATGGTTATTAAACTTACAAAAAAGGAGCATATTATAATTTTATTGTCATTGCAAACTGACTACCATGACATAATAAGTCTGTCCCTCGATTTGGCGTCACGACCATTTGGGAAAATTTTTCAACTTTGGAGCACGACAGTGGCAAGCCTCGCGTTGATGGAGTCAGTTGGTTTTAGAGACTAGTTCGGGGTGTACGTCAGGATTGTAGTGCCGGTCGTTTCGAGTTGAAAGGAGGAATTACAAGATTAATACAGGAAAGGTTGTGTTTTTTGTAATTTTGATGTGTCCATGACCGTACATAGTCATTCGATGAAGTAGACATGGTGTTAATTTTTGTTTATAAGATATTTCAATTGCTAGATTAACCTAGAAGTCCACTTTGTATCCTCGAACATGAGGTGCAGAGCTACCGCCAGAACAGAGCCAAATAACACGTAATTTCACGACCAAAGTTTCACGACCATCGCGGGTTTTTTCACGACCTATCCAGCCTTATGGATTATAGTGTGTTTGGTCGTGACAATAACTTTAATATAATTGTAATTTGAACAGTTTAGTTCAATTGAAACACATATTTTTATTATAACTAATAGTATAATTAAAGGATTGTTTAGAAAGATTTAGATTGTTTTATAAAATTCACGACCGTACCGCTTGTCCCTGACCATCACGTTTATGATTTCTGTCATAAAAATTTCAAAAATTAAAATATCGTCATATTTCAATGTTTTATACACAAAAGAAGCACGCCTCTATGCAAACATAACGATTTTTCGGGTCTCAGGTAAGTTTTTTCGGAGTTATACAAACTTAAAAAGATTTTATTGGCTTTTTTTCAATTTTTTTGAGTTTTTTATTTTTTTCTAGAAAGACCAAATATACTTAAAGCTCAGTGACCTTTTTAATGTATAATGGTCATAAAAGTAAATTAGTTTATAGCAAAACATAGTTATAAAAATAATATTAACTATTTTTAATATTCATTTAAACGTCTGTTATGGTCGTGACAGGATTTTGTGTTTTTCCACTAAAGATGCTCTTTTAAAAAAAAACTACCAAAGATATTGCGTTACCATGGACATTTTATGAAACTTCAAATATTAATGAAATCAAAAAAATAATAAAAGTTTTGAAAAAAGGGGAAAAAAATTTGCAAAGTGTGTTTCCTGAAAACGTACGTTTTTAAATTTTCACTCACAAACGTAAAAAGTGCCAAGGTAAACTCACTATAAAAAATCAAACAATGACAAGTTGGTTTGTTTCACACACAATATTTCTGTTTCAGGCCACAGAGAACACTCCGAGTTATGACACTGCAGCCTCAGTCACGCAACTTCGCCGTTTGTTCGTCTCACTCCTAGCTGCTTTGTTTAAAAAGCAGTTTTTATTTACTCTGATGAATTGTCCGGTTTGTTTCCTCATTGTATGATGTATGATTTTCACCAAGTCATCTGCGACTGACACTTTTAGTATGTAAAGATTTTTTTAGATACTTATAGTACGAACATTGTTTTAAAGTGATGAACTGTTTATAACTAGTTTAGAAATTCTGTCGAGTGTTAAGATTAATATTTATCAAGACTTTCCTGTAAACAAATATTCTTTATTCTGGTCTTTACGTTCATTAAGTAGCTAAAAGTTTGTGTTTGAAGGATCTACCCAAGTGATTGCAGATAAAACAGTGTGATTTTGGGATAAAAACTCTTCTTTATGTATGATTGAAGATTTCAAAAAATGCTGTGAAATTGGGCAACATAAATTTGCTGCCGCATGCACTGAGCATGGGCGCTTTTTTTATTGTTTCCGGTATTTACAATTCTTGAGAATTCTCTCTGTACACACATTTAGAATACTACTTCCCTTATTCTGAATTGCATTGTTATAAAAAGTTTACCAAATTTAAAGTTATATTTCCCAAGTAAAGGTGATTTTATTGCAATTCTTAGACTTCATCTGCCCAATAACTCTTTTTTGTGCCATAATACATACTTTTAATGTTATAGAAACACACATGGTTGCAAGTTGCAATTTTTTGGAATAATGTGGCATAATCTAGAAAAGAATAAAATTTGATCTTAATCTTCCTCCTTAATAGTTGATACAATAATTCCTGATGTGATTTTTGATTACCTTTAGGAACTATAAATATACAGACACTGAAAAATAATAATAATAATTCAATCTTCTCACCTATTTTCAACCATCATTATTTTATGACAATGTCTGTAGGGTTTTTTGGGAGGGAGTGGGATTTATTATTGATCTAAGGGCACCAGCATAAATTAATTTAATTACTTCCTCCATTTCATCATCTCAAAAAATGTTTAGTGACAATATAGCAATCTTTCAACAGGGTATGTTATCCTTTTAAACAGTTATGAATGATATTTTTCACGGAAAGTAGCTGTTTTCTATGACAGCTGATATCATAAAATGTTATCAAATGATATCAAAGAAAAAATTTTTTGTCATACTGCACACTGCAGCAAAAGCAGCTGTTTTTAAGACATGCGTTGCGGGTCTAAAGTAGCATTTTTACCTTTCGGATTAAAAGGTGTTTTTAGCTTCTGGGGAGTCAAAATCAGCTGTTGTCATCTCAGTTGTAAATTTAGATTGTAAACAATGGCGTTTATCGAAGGTATGTATTGATTGTTAAATCAGGCGTAGTTAATTGTTTTCTTATGGTAAATAGTTCAACATAGATGTACACTTGCACAATAGACCAAACGATTGAATCACTTCCTGAACAGCTGCTTCCATTAGCAAACTAAATTGAAAACAAGTTAGATGTAGTTTTGAGATGTTAAATGAAAACTATTTGTAGTTTGTTCAAATAATGGTGCAATATGACAAAAATTATAGTCCATCACATGGTCATTAAAACAGGTAAAAGTGTCTTTTCAATTCTCACTCCCACTCATTATTTGACCTCGGCTTTGCCTCAATCGTAAAACTGGAGCTCGGGTTGAAAAGAGTCACTTCATGTTAACCTGTTATTTTTTTCTATTTTTTAAGAAGTCGTGATGAAAAGTATTGTTCAAAACGTTTGCCCAAAACCTAAAGTGATGTACTGGTACTTGCTCCAATTATTCCCGTACTCACAAGTGAGGCAGGTGTACCTGTAATCGGCTTTGCCTCACATAATATGAAATTTGAGCGTGCATCGTAAAATGCCACTTTATGTACTTGTATAAAATATACTATGTATTTATGAACAAAGAAAAAAATCAATCTAGAGAAGCACCAATTTATAAAATGCAAAGTGATGCATTCCTAAGAAAACTCATTTCATTCAAAGAACTTTTACCTTAGAAATTATTAAAAATTAATATCTGTGATAAATTCTTTTATTTAAGTACGTTCTTGTACTTCTTTAAAAAATTTGTTTGTGTTTAAAGTTGTATCATGATTATTTTTCAGTAGATATTAAAATTTTTGAATCCATTGCATTTTGGTTTTATTGCAGTACCTATCTGTTTAGTGTAAATTTAGTATATAAATTGCAAGGGTAACTAGTAAACGTTAGGTTTAATGACTGCACTAAAAATATTTTAAATATTTATATTTTTTTCAAAATAGATTTAATTTTTGACAGAAGCTTTCATCAAAATGTAAGAAATCAAAAAAACAATACAATATCCAATTGGGCTTTGTATGTCCTAAAAATATGAGAAAAGCAAACTTTCACTGCTCAGTGCTCAGACAGGTACGGATTGACCTGGTTTACTTAAATATTTTTACAAAGCATCAAGGTTCAAAGTTAAATTTATTAGTAGCTTATTTCACTTATCAAACTCTATTGAGTTTTACCTGTATGGTTGATTTAGACCCTCTTCTGATCCTTCCAGAACTGTTCAACATAATTAGGTCGTATTGCTGCATACATTTATTGTTTAGTAGTCTACTTATAGGTCCTGTTTGTTTAAAATGGCACGAGGGAAAGGCTTTCAACAACACCTAGATTCACACCACCAGAAGAAGCTAGAGCTATTAAATTTATCCAACGGATTTTGAATGACTGTACCAGTACAAAATAACAATACCCCCGCCGCAGTAAACCTGCAGACTAAGCGAATTTCCATTTCCCTGAATGGATTTACACTAAAATGTCTCCTTAAAAATATCACATTTATTCCCTATTTAAATAGAATCAGTTTAAAACATACTTAGGTTTGCTGCAACAGGGAGGATAAAAGTGTTTTTTATGTAAAATGTTAATAGTTAGTAAGAAATAAAAACAATTTCCAAATTTGGGCAAAATATGTTTATAAACAAGCAAACTACAACAGTTTACTTATTTTCCATAAGAATAACATGGGAATGTTAAATTTAAAATTTTTTGGAATTTTCTCCGTAACCATTAGGCGCATTATAACGCTTCAATATACTAAATTATTTGTTTTTTTAAGCTCTACAAAATAGTTTTGAAAGAAATTGCAAAATTTTATGTTTTTTGGGTCAAAAATGGGAAAAAACCCATTTTTACCCTATAAACCCCCGTCCCATGGTCCGATCATGCTGGTTTGCGAACTCGTTTCAATAAATGTAGGTTTACATGTTTGTACCAAATTTCATCAAAATCGGATCATTTTTGCTCGAGTTATCGCGCTAACGGACACATATCTTCTTCTAATATATAAAATTCTCGTGTCACAGTGTTTGTCTGCAAACTCCTCCGGAACGACTTCACCGATCGTTATGAAATTTGGTGTGTAAATTCTGTAGGTATGCGAATAGGAAGTAAACTATTTCCCGTTTCGAAATTCTTAAAAGGGCTCCGCCCCAGTGGCTCTGGAGTTTCCCATGTTAACCTTATGAGAAATGGAATTAATGAATCTTAACAGCTGTTTCAATTAAATAGCATTAAAGTTACAAGGATTACCAACAGGGTGCAGCACTATTATTTCTTTTACATTTATGACAACAGCTAATTTGCAACCAAAAGGTGAGTGAGCGTAGCGAACGAACTTCAACCCGGAGGCGAGTGAGCGTAGCGAACGAGCTAACCTGAAGGCAAGTGAGCGCAGCGAACGAGCTCCAACCTAAAGGTGAGTGAGCGTAGCGAACGAGCTCCAACCCAAAGGTGAGTGAGCGTAGCGAACGAACTTCAACCAGGACGTGATTGAGCGATGCGAACGAGATCATCTTGAAAATTAAACGTAACGGTACTTTCTTTCCATCGGTCTGTCTTAGGGGAAACCTATAACTTAGGCGATACGAAGTTCGCTGGGTCAGCTAGTATATATATATATGAATATAATATGATATATATGAATTTGAAAGGATGGTGTTTTTGACCTCTAGGGACCTCAAAACAAAAAAAATAATCGGTCCCGGGTCCAGGTCTTACCGTGAGTACTACGGTAATAGCTTATTCCCTATATGGGAAATTCGCTAAAAGCGACGGAGGTGAGGAAAGAGTTCTTGTGTGCATGCTCATTGCTCATCCCACTTGCCACGCAAATTGACACAATCTATTCTGTAGTTTACAAATTTTAACAATTAATGTGTATAAATCTTGTAAATGAAGCTCTCTCTCTCTCTCTCTGGGTTTGCAAGAATTCATGTGTAGCTTCGTGAGCCAAAAAATTGAAAAAATCTTCTGGAGACCACCACACTTCCATCTCCTTTCTTCCAAGTCAGTTTTATAAGGTTGAAGACTTGAAATGATTTTTAGTCACGCTACTGGTGTTTTGCACAACTATTCCAAATTCAGTTTAAAAGCAATATGAACTATTTAAAAACATAATTAAAATCATGAAACTGCTTCTCAACTAAAATTATTAGCTACCAAGGTATCTCTTCTGTAAGGACTAGGAGGTATGACTAGATACCCCCGCCACAGCAAACCTGCAGACTAAGGAAATTTCCATTTGCCTGAATTGATAATTATAAATTCCAATTAAATCTATTGAAATAACATTAGGATAAATGAGTACCTAGGTTTTGCTGCTACAGGTAGGCTAATAAAGTGTGTTAATTTAGTAGGATATTAATAGCTTAGTAATAAGTTACTAAATATAAAATACAATAAAGAAAAAAGGTTTAATGATTTTAATTGAATGAAAGTTATGAAATGTGAGATGATCATTTTAGATAAATAACTGCCCAAACCATCTTCTATACTATTATATAAAAATCTAATGGTGTCTGTCTGTATGTGTATTACTAATAGGTGCAAAAACTACTGAACCAACTGGGCTTAAAGTTTACAAAAATATAGCTACCATACCAAGGACCATTATAGGACTATTCGCACTTCCGATACTGACCGTGGGCTTTGCCCCTTTGGCTTTAAAAGTTCTGAGGTGAGGATTTTAAAAGTAAATATTGGTTGGTCTCCATGGATGCAATGAGAATACTCACAATGTTTACATTTGCTTTGACATTTACATGTAAACAAGAAGAACTGCCAAATTGCATATTTCACATTTGAAGACAGCTGATCCAATGAAATTAAATATAACATTTCACACAATTATGTGGTTGGTTTATTTAATCTAAAAATGTATCAAAAATCATTTTTTCAAAACTGTGTCAATGATTGATAGAAATAAAAAAAATATTCGTAAAGCGTTGCTGTATCAACTTAGGCTCTGCTTTCGATTTTTAAAGTGTCTCAAGTGTTATTAAAATAATGTTATTGATATATTTTCATGGAAACAGTAAGAAAATTACAATGTATAGATGTTTTGTATGAATTTGTTAAATAAATTCGAACTGCTTAACATGTGTTAGATTAACATCACATTGTTTTTTTTTTATATGTATATTTAGGTAAATTTAGTTATTGTGTTTTGCTAAACCTATGCTTAAATTAAACTAAAGAATATCATCAATAACTAAGTCGTCGTTGATTTTTGTGTTCTTAAATCTGTTGTGTAAGTGTAACTATATTTAATTATCAAATGGTAATACAAAATACTCTTATTTTTCTTAACATAACTTTCAGTTCACATTTACTTTATTTGATAAATTTATTATTTGTGTTGGGTCCGCGGAATTGGCTAACTCTGGAACTCGCTAACCCCATGTTAAACGCCCTATCTTCAAATTTGGTCGATGAGAGGAACTCGCTAACTTGTTCGGTTTCGGAATTGGCTAACTCCGGAACCCGCTAACCCGCTCTAGAGCCGGGTTAGCGAATTCCGTCCTCGTACGGAAGTCGCTAACTCGGTCCCTCGGCGGAACTCGCTAACTCCCAATCAGAAGCCTCTCGCGACGTCCAATGGGAGCCAAGCACGAAGATTGTTGGCCAGTGTTGCCGAAAGTGTAGTACCTACGATCGTATCGGTACCATAATATCGTATCCTACGAATAATTAGGAGTAAGAGCAATGTAATCGATAAAATAAATATATATTCGAAAGTATGTTTAATATAATTCTTATGAATACTATTAGGGTGGAAAATGCATTATAGTCTTGCCATAGACTAACCAACACAAGTAAACATTACATCCCATTGTACATTTTGAAGATCGTTTTTCGCGTCTAGTTCATGTCCAGTGACACTGATCGCTAGTGTCGTCAAAATTGTGTTTCTATTCTATTATTTTATAGTTGATTTCATGATTTGTTCTCTACTGTTTGGTTATATAACTAGGGGACGTGTTATTAGTTATGATTAGAACGTTTTATTTAGTTAAACGAGGTTTTAAATGACTGAAAACAAGAAACAAATTGTAAACAAAACACGACCTTCACAGACATTGCACCGGACAGAACTAACAATAAAATTGTCTTCAGCAGATCTATAAGGATGAGAAATGTACTAATATAAGGGAGTATGTTTTATCTATTGTCTTCTTACTTAAATAGTAGTTTATTGGGATGCAAAAAGATAGTACTGTACATTTAATTTGGATCTTTTACAGGTTATGAAAACTTGTCCTTGATAGGTTATAATATTTGTTTCTTTAAAGGCCTATATTATATCTGTCGTGCGAGTGTTAACAATAGTTTGGTTCTTCGTAATATTTCTGTATTTATTACCAAAATAATTCCGAATCATAGTATTAGTAAACAAATAAAATAGTTTCGATATTTTTGTATAGCAGGCACATGATATACCTAGGTACATTAATGAATAACGAAAATCTAAAACGTTAACACTCTATTACAATATTGCGTCTTTACTTTAGCCAAGAAAATCTATATATACAGCCAAAAGTACCCATGAACTTTTGAGAAAACTATAAGTCACACCCCCATAAACCATATACTTAAAATGTTCGTCATGACGAGAAACCTTGCGCAAAATTGTCCATTTTTTCATAAATTGCCCTTTAAGGTCATAATTGCTTCCCAAAGGGAACTTTCCATATACCTTATGTTAAAAATACCTCAGCTGTTCTTATTTGTATGTTATTGTTTGTAATGCTGCAATCTGTTTTGTTTATTTCAGCTTAACTTAACCAATCAATAGTTTTATTAATACTTATGAAGTCAAACTGGTTGAAGCCCGTGGGTAACAGCTAGTTAATTTAAATGTTGTTACATTATGATGTTAGGAAACATATGATCTATTAACCAAAATTGAAGCAGTAATGTAATAGTCTATCCTATTCGAGGCAACCAACAATTAGACATTGTAAAAAAGCTCCAGTAATTGCCGTAGACTTTAAGGACCTTGAATTTTGAGGATTAACTTCCCGATAAAATTTACACGTTAAACGTCATTACAGAAATACATTTTAGTAGTGTTAAATATATTATTAAATAGAGCTATTGAATATAAATTAGTATTAATCAGTACATTATAAAGTGGTAATGTATTGATGGATTATATTAAAAAATAGTCTATGCAAAAATACAATTTGTAAATTTCTGTTATCGTAGGCTATTAGTGTAGAACGGGTCATCATCTTAATTTTGTTTGATTAATATTAATTTTACGTCTTTCATTACTTTTGAAAAGTCTGGAGTTTTTATGGTTCTAAATGGACCCAGGCGTTCTTGTTTGCTATCATTTTGATGAATGGTGGCCATAGCTAAAATTAGCCGATCTTATCCAACAACAAAGCTATTGTCTATTGAGTAGCTCAGTACCGGGGAACAAGGAACCGAGCAATGGCTTGATATAGTATATTTCGATTGTAAAAGTAATATAAAGGAAACTTAACACTAAAATCAGGAATATCCGTCAAGTCGTCGATTAAGAATCGTGAAATAAAATAAGCCTGTCACGTTTTAATATAAGAATATTATATATTCTTCTATTATTTACTAGTGGGGCTTAGGTTTATCGTCTAAAAACTGTTATTAAAACATGTAACATTATTACTCAATAATTCAACAAATTTTTGAAATAATTAGGCAACTAGCTTTTACTAGTAGGCCTACAATGTGTTGGTTTAAACTATTAGGTCTAGATTTACAGCTATTCTATAAATTGTTATGAAACGTAGCCTATGTCATATTTTTTCACGGATGTTGGACGATTCAACGACGAACCTTTAATTTTAAATTTATGAATTAGTTATGAAAGTGGTTTTGGTTTATTACGACATCACGATGAAATTTGTTTTCCGTATTTGAGAACTTGCGTGTATTATAGCTTAATTTCATGGAAGTATAATTGGTACTACTGGATAATCAATAATTTTTCATATTCTATTTTTTCCTATAATACTGGCATTTATATTTAAGATCGAAATCATAAACATTTAATTGACCGTTGTACAGTAAAATGAAAAAAAAAATTATTAATGATTTTTTTAATTGCTTTTTAATTACTTTGGGCTAGGTAGCTGTTAAAAGTGGAATTGATAACAAAAAACAATAACATTTACTGTATCTTTATTGACACTGACATTTTGAAATACAATTATTTCGTCGTACAAGGTTGGCAACGCTCCGTGCAGTGGGCGCGGCCGGGTTAGCGACTTCCAGAGTTAGCGAATTCCGCCGCGTGACATAATCGAGTTAGCGGGTTCCGGAGTTAGCCAATTCCTGTCTGAGACGGTTAGCCAGTTCCAGAGTTAGCCAGTTCCGACACACGACCGAGTTAGCGAGTTCCTGAGTTAGCCAATTCCTACGTCTCTTTGTGTTTTACCACACCACTGATTAAAATAAACCAAGGAAAATATCATAAAACTAAGCAGTCCACAGTGTTCTTTTGTTTCTAAAACCAATGAAATATCTGTTACTATGTTTGCCCAGTAAGTGTGAAAAAATGTAAAGGCAATGAACGATAGAACTGATTTAAAGAACTGGTTTGTATATTAAGTTGTTTGTTGATATTTTTGTAGAGTAGAATCTAAGATGCAATGAAACATATACTGTATTTGCCAAATTAAATTTTTTAGTCCTTGATGCTTTAAAAATTATATTCGTTTTGTCTGCTGTCTTGAATGCTAAATTATTTGTTTGAAATTTTTTATAGTATAGATATAGTTGCTTTAACATTTCAAAAGACTATTGAGGCACAACAAGATAAGGCAAGGATAAGATTAAGGGCTTAGATAAGGCACAACAATATTTCTAAAGTTTATAATAGCTGACTTAGTTTTGCTAATGATTTATTGTGAAGGAAAAAAAATTGAAGATGGAAGGATTTGTGATTTAATATGAAGAAGAGTGAAATTGAAAAAATGTTAATTTAAGTTTAATAATTAGTATTTTTGCAACTTCAAAATTGAAATTGAAAATGTCAAAAAATAAAGAAAAAAGATATGTAACTAAGGGAGATGAAAGTAAATCAGGTATTTGAAAGTTGTATTCAAGATTTGGCCAGTTTTTCTCATATCAGCCTACACTAGATTTAAAATTAATCAAAACCAAAATGGTGGTATCCACTACTTTCTAGATTTAAAAGTCATAACTTAAACATTTCTATTAAGGCCATAAAAGTTGAATTTTGTTTCTAAAAGCGTTGGCCGATGTGTAACTATTATATGCAGCAGATTTAAAGATTAAAATGTTTCTATTTTGTGTCCTCTTCCCTTTGCAAAGCACGGGTACAACAGCTAGTAAAACATAAAACACAAACAAGGAAGGTCTAACTTCTTAACACTTGTTAAATTTGTGCTTGGGTATCAAAGCTTTGCAAGAATGTTTCTTATTAGTATCGAAGCGAAGGAAATAAACAGAACAAGTTTAAAATAGGAAAACAGATGTTTTATTCAACCCTACTGGGTTAAAATAATAAATAAATTGCTCCCTCATGTCCACCTTAAAATACAAAAATCTCCTAATAACAGTTTAATAAAAAACTCTAATGATGTTGTAACCTAAGCTACTGACATTTAGATCGAATCTATATCTTTGACGCGACAACTGTTTTAACACTGAAAATATATATTACTGACTCGTCATTTAATATGCAAGTTTTTCGACGGACATTCTTCATTTTATCTAGATTTCGTGATTAAGACTGTAAAGTGCATTAAATATACCTTGTACCTTAATAAAATGAAGATTGTCCTGAGAAATAAGAATCGTTGCACACAGATCCATGTTGGCACAGCCTCTCCACTGACACTCATGTCCACTGTCATAACAACTCAACCCACCTAACACAACTCGCTAAGATACTTCTGTGGATAAAAAAATACATTTTTAGTTCCAACTAGTTTGTGGGGCTCAATACACAATACTTGATTCTTAATTCAGTTTTAAATACCATAAAGATGACTAAGTTTAATCTTATTCATTGGCTCATGTATATGATTCATGCCATGTACAATTTACAGTGAGATATAAAAATAATTATTGAAGACAACATCAAGTAAAAAAGAATTTTTTTAAATATCCTAAATTTTAAAACTAAAATGTTTTTGGACATAAAAGGACACTCCGCTTATTGAAAACGAAACTATAAAAATATACTAAACGAAATAAATACTCTTATCGCGTCGTATTTACTGTAATGGTATGAAAACTTAACAATCACTCATGTGAAATGAACTAACCTAAATATCGCACAGTAACCTTTACAGCCCATCTGATCTTTGATTTCCAAAATTAATGACAACTCAATATCCGGAACGAGCGCGAGCGTTCCCACCATTGGATCTGTCCGAGTGTCCGGTGCGGGGAAGAGTTATAGATCCACGAGGAGGAACAAACAAAGCGGCGGTGGAATGAGAGAGGACAAGCCACCAGAGAGATGTTACTGCTCCCACCAGTCGTGGCCAGACGAGGTGTTGTTGGCGGAACTGTTGTTGCTGGAGTAGTTGTTGTAGTTGCTTCCTCCACCTCCACCGCTGTAGTACCCTGTCACACACAAAAATCACTGAATATCCAGACAAAGAACATAATTTTAACAATGAGAAATGAGTGGGTTACATAAATAATCCAAAAAGTACAACCACTACATAGATAACTGCGGTGGATAACAAACTAATTTGTATATTTATGTTCAGTACTTAGTTAAAAATAAAATAACTACGGTAAGTTAAACACCCCCGCTGCAGCAAACCTGCCGACTAAGCAAATTTCCATTTGCCTGGATTGATTTTCAATTAATCTTTTAAATTAACATTTATGTTTAATGAGTACCTAGGTTAGCTGCTACAGGGAAACTAATAAAGTGTTTTTTTAAATTAAAATATCAATAGATTAGAATGAAATAAATAAATCCACCAAGTTTAATAAAAATATATCCATAAACAAGCCAACTACAACATTTTACAATATTCTCCATAAGAATAACATGGGAATTTTTAATTTTTTAAATTTTCTCCGTAACCAATCATTGTACAAAAACACTTTGATATACTAAATTATTTGTTTTAAAAGGTCTGGAGAAAAATTGATGAATTTTGTGTTTTAAGGGTTAAAAGTGAGAAACCCCCATTTTTACCCCATAAAACCCTGTTCCCATGGTCCTATCATGCTGGTTCGCTAACTCATTCAAGTTTATCCCGCCTTACACCTTCAAACCAAATTTTATCAAAATCGGACAAAAGTTACTCAAGTTATTGTCCGTCCGGACAGACACACACACACACACATATCTATAATATATATATATATATATAGAAAAATATATATACATTTGAACGAATGGTGCTTTTGGCCTCTCGGGAGATCAAAATGTAAATCAGTCCCGGGACTAGGTCTTACCATGAGACCTACGGTAATAGCTACTTCCCCATAGGGGAATTCGTTAAAAGCAGAAAATATCCTTGGTTGAAGCGGATGATGTTTGCATTTTCTTACCCAGAAATTTGCTGGAAATAATGTTTTGAGAGTCATATTTTTCATGGGCTATGTTGTTTAGAAAACAAATTATCCTTTCTTTCCTTTATTATTTAGATGTGATAGCTTTTTGTAGAAAATTTCAAACACAATCGTAAACTTTTGTGAAGAGAATTTTTTTAAATTCCATTTAACAATTAGTTTAGCATTAGCCTATCGCGAGTAATAATTGTAGTGATACACTACAGTTTCAATTTAGGAAGTTCTTTGAGGCTCATTCATGTTCTATTTCAATAATTGCGCAGGTTGGTCTTACCTCCTCCTTGCCCTCCGCCATATCCTCCCTGACGAGAGTTGCCGCTGCGGCCACCACCCCCACCTCCACCTGGGTTCTGGGTACGGTAGTCCCGGGCTCCAAACCCACTGCTGAACCGGTTACTGCAACAACCAAACAAATACCTTAGCCAAACCTCTAGGGAAAAACACAATATTGAGGAAGTGACTGTTATTAAAGAAAACCCCTTCTTAACCAAAATGAAAGGGTTGAGACCGTTTCGGGTAAATTTTCGGCTAAACCATGGTTCAATGGTTTTATGGCTATTTCGGTTCAAATAGGTCTAAAACATTAGGGTTTTTTCTGATGTTTTAAATACTGCCGTCTCAAAAACTATTATTAAAATACTTGACGGTTGTTTTCTGAACTTTATCCAATAACAGACACTACCACTGATGAGTCAATATTTTTGTTGGTACTGACCCCTTGGAGCCGCCTCTGCCACGAGACATAGGTTGCCGCACCTCTCCCGCCATGTCCTCTAACCATGCAGGCACCTCCTGCTTCGTCTCCACCAGCAGCTCCAGCAAATCTCTCACTAGGTTCTTGTTTTTGTCGTTGAAAAATGATGTAGCCGTTCCTGCACAAGAGAGACATTGATGAAACCTCCTTCCCAGCCAGTTACTTTGGCTGGGTTTGTATTGTGTAACCTTGATATGTACAAAAGCCACACTTAATGATTCAACATGCTGAAACATTGTATTCACTATTTTATACTAATCCTGATGGAAAAACAACTGCTATAATTCATAAAACAACAGAAAATGCCATGAAAAATTAACTTTAAGCATAGAAGTTATAAAAGCGTTTAACATTAGCAGATCTTGCTATTTTGAATTTTGGATTAGGTCTAATGCATTCCTACTAGGGATGGACGAGATTGGATTTTTAGTTCGAGACGAGACGGGACGAGATTTTTCCCTTCTCATACACAACGGGAAATGCACGTTCAAAATTTTTACCTGATTTTGTAACATTGTTAGATGACTGTTTAAATACAAAAATAATGATAATAGGCAAGAATATTTACAATCTTTTATTAAAAAACATCAGCATAACATTTTTTTATTAATCACGCCTAACTTATTAAAAATGCCTACGATTATGAAACATAGTGATATCAGTTAGGATAGAGTTCAACTTATCCTAAAATAAAATAAATCATAAAATAAAAGCAATATTAATTTTTTTTAAATAGTTACTTGTTTTGACTTTTTATAGTAATAAAACATTCCTCACACTGCTTACACTTAACAAAACTTCTCAAATGTTATTAAAATAATATTATAAAATAATTAAAGTAATATTTACATTTAAAGAATTAATTAAATAAGAACGCCTTCGCAAAGGAAACGCAACTACAACACGCTCCTGTATTGCGGGTATTGCATTGACTTTCTGCAGGCGTTTTTAATTTTTTTTTTCTCTTCGTAAAATATCTCGGCCAAAAAGAAATCTCGTCTCGTGTAACGAGATTTAAAATTTCCCGAAAATTTCCTGAAATTTCGAGACTTGACCTTCCCTAATTCCTACTACAAATTAAACAAATGCATAAAAAAGTGTTGTATACTTTAACTATAAGGTGAATAACATAAACTTTAAGGGATAGGATTCATAAAATTTACCTGAGAAAATTAGAAACTAAGGGATGGCTTATGGATGTACGATAAAAGGTATTTTGCCTTGGAAAAAAGTTTCACTAAATAGAGTAGACTAGTGCACCTGTTGCTCGAATTCGAGCAATTGCAAAATATTAAAGGCGTTTTTTTTTTACGAATACCGGTAACAGTCACAATTTCCGTTGACAATTAATAAGAATCAACTCAAATAAAATGTAATCAAGCACTCCACTCCAGTAATCGTAACTGGAAACGAACTCACTCTGAAAACGAACGCTCACTCCACTCCATCTATCGAAACTGAAAACGAACTCACTCTGAAAACGAACACTCTTGTATGTAACATGTGTTTACTATGAACAGCTGTAATTATTACAAACTATTCGTCTGTTTAAGTAAACAAAATCTTTTCTTCATAAGAAATACATTTCATTTTTAAGAGTTGTTAGCCTCCGGATTACGTTTGAATATTTATAATGGTTTAAATACCTGCATTCAGTAATCCATCATGCTGCTTGTGGCAACTATAGTTTCGGTTCACAGGGAACCATCTTCAGGCGGTACAAGGCGTCGTTATTCACTTCCATATATGAAGGTCGTCATAAGTACATAGAACACGAACGCACGAAAACACACATTGACACGAACATTTAACATTAAAAATACCGAGTACTCGGTATTTTTAATGTTAAATGTTCGTGTCAATGTGTGTTTTCGTGCGTTCGTGTTCTATGTACTTATGACGACCTTCATATATGGAAGTGAATAACGACGCCTTGTACAGCCTGAAGATGGTTCCCTGTGAACCGAAACTATAGTTGCCACAAGCAGCATGATGGATTACTGAATGCAGGTATTTAAACCATTATAAAGAAATACATTGGTATTTTGATTGCCTGTGGGGCAAAGCCCAAAGACTTTTATTACAGGAATTTGTGAAAGGGGGCGTCTGTCTACACAAAAAATACTTAATTTTGACACCTCGTTTGTAAAAATCCGTCAATTATTAACGGAGGAGTAGTGTTTCGTAGAAATCGCCTTCACGTATTATATATAAGGATTTTTGTCATGTGAGATAGTTCGTAATATCCCTAAAACACCATAAACAAGCCAGCCACATGCCTTTAAGTAAAGACTTTTAATTGAGCAGTTTTTCATCACTTCCATACTGGTTAAAACACAGTATTACACACGATATTGTGTTAAACACCTTAAATTCCCCACCAGTTTTATGTACATAGCTTTCTTTTACAATATGGTTACTATGATTAATGCCTTTAAAAACAGTGGTATAGGCCTACAACATGTAATAGATTGGGATTGGTTTACTACTTACCAAGGTTACCCATTCTGCCAGTACGTCCAATACGATGGACGTATTCCTCCACATCGCTGGGCAGGTCAAAGTTGATAACATGCTTCACATGAGGGATATCCAATCCTCTAGCCGCCACCTGCAAAAAACATTAACACAGTTTACGAAATGGAGAACAATTTGTTCATATGTATCAGGGATAAACTGCGTCCTAGTAAACTAATCACTCAAAAATGAAGAATTTAAAATTTAAAAAAAATTTACATGGGCCTTATGGGTTGCTATGCTGGTGAAAAAATAACAACAAAATAAACAGAAAATCAAAACAAATGGAAGAAATTCCAATCACATGTTTCATTTACAGCGTGGGGTGATAATACATCCTGTACATTACATATTTTTGGTTGAGTTTTTGACCACTGGACAACCTCTAGTATGTATTAATAAACAACCCCTTAATCCTAGAAACTTAACCTTCACAAATAAGTAACCTTACACTTTAAGTTTAGACTTGAGACCATGCTAATTGTCAAATAACCAGTTAGTCAGGCAAAACCCTGAGAATGTTTAGAAGACTTACCGCAGTAGCAACTAGGATGGGTGTCTGGCCGGAGCGGAAGCGTCGCAGAGCAGCCTCTCGCTCGGGCTGGGTGCGATCACCGTGGATAGAAGTGACAGGGAAGCCGAGCTGGTCCAGATACTCTTCTAGAGAGTCGGCTCCCTTTTTGGTCTCCACAAACACCAGCGTCAGTGACTCTGGAGCTGGGATATAAAACTTTGATTAGTACATTCCATCAAGATTGAATTGTCTTATACTCATGTATAGTAAGTGTTCATATACATTGTAAGTAGTACAAAATTAGTTTCAATATCTATAGTAGAGTATTTTTAATGCAATCTCTTCCTTAAACTGGTCTATTACAAAAACAAGTCCTTTTGAAAAGTAAGATGTGTGCTCTTAGAAATTATAAGATTACTTAGTATCAAGAAAGAAGTAGCGGATAGCCTACTCATCTAAAAAAAGGCTTCTAGGCAGTTAATAGTACACAATAACAAATTAAATTAAACTAAACCAATAATCACCACTCAATTAATTCTCCTCTACCAACTGTATGGGCATAATATAAAATTCATTGTGTTGTAAACTTTTAATTAGTGTTCTATCAACTGCATGGATCTTGGTTTAGTTGGTTGTGTATCAATACCTACTTCCTCAATATATTCCTTAACATGTGGCGTTCATCCAAAACTTACACTTAAATTTTAGGGTTCGCAAGGATTAATGACAACCATTTCCTCTAATTTGTACTGGAATTTAAGAGCACATAGTTTTAGTATATTGAAACATAATTAACAAAACCAAATTTATTGAACTCACAAATCAGACTAAACTAAAATGTAAACAAAACATAATAATATAAACAGTCATCTGACAGATGTTATAAATAAAACATATGGACTTATTTCTTGATACATAACAATAGTACACTATTAACATAATTCCCAGCACTAGGCCTACTATTCAAAAAATTCAAACTTCACACATGGTTTACTGATATACTTAAAGATTTATTACATTTGGAAATCTACGATCTTACAGGGATGGTTTAGTTGGATAGCATTGAGAAGGTCCAGAAGAAAACTGCGTTTGTCCGACTCTTCGACCCAAACCACCTTCTGAGTGATGTTCTCTGAGGTTGATCCCACACGGCCAATGGCAAGGAAAATGTAGTTGTCCAAGAAATCTCTTGCCAACATCTAAAATAATCACAATCTCCGTATGAAAGCCATCCAGAGAAAATATATCATTGTTATGATCTAATTAAAACTAATGGGGAAAAGAGTACCCATTACTTTAACGATTAATTTTTAACACCATGATTATTAAATAGCATTACACTAAGTTCTATACTTTTTTGTCCAATGTGTAAAGGGAGCTTTTCACAACTCAAAATTTCACCAACTCCGATATTAAAAGATTAAAATAAACAGAGCGATTAAATAAACTCCATATTTCACCAAGTTCAATAGAATAAAATTTTAAATAAGCATCGTTACTAGGGGTGTGTGATGCAGCAATTTCTTTTCGATTTGATGAATCGATGCTATTCAAAGAACTTTGATTCGAATCAATGTGATTCGATTTGATGCAGCAGGGCATGATTTTCTTTCAAAATTATCAACATCTTTTCTGTAATGGATCATATACCTTAAAACTAATTTAAAGTAAACAAATGCACTGAATAAAATGTTTTATGAACAAGAGGATAGATGCTGATCTAACCTCCTGCTGATGGACACTGCAAATTTTATGGTTGGCTTAAGAAAATCCAGGCTTCACTGACAATTTGAATAAGCCTATACCAAAGCAATTGTTATTATTATTATTGACCTATATTAAAATAGAGTTTTTTTGACATATGATGTAACTTTATTGCCACTTTTATATTGTTGGTTTCCAATACTTTGGGTTCATTCTTAGGATCAGGACAAACAAACAAAAATTGATCAGTGTTTATTGTATATTTTATACATTATTACATGATATGTAATAAATAGATGTGAAATTAAAAATAAATATTGAAATTAATAAAAGTATGTGTTAAACTCAACGATATAAACAACTCATGGATCGCTGGCTCAGTGTTGGCCGCGCGGTCGAGCTTCCCCCACCATCGACTGGCAGAAGCCGACGCAGCCCATACATTCACCATTATAAAACACACTTTTTATTTGCTGCTCTGTTGAAATTTATAGGGATAAAATATTGCTAACGCTTGTCAAACTCTTTTTACTAGTTAAACCTTTTGGGTCTGTTTTGTTTCTTGCAGAAAATAGCCCATCTGGATTCTTTAAAACTACAAATTCACTAAACCCGTTTTGTAGATGTTTTTAGACAACTGATATGGCTAGTTACAAATTGTACATGGTAAAATAATAAGTTATTACAAAAGAGAAATAGAAAGTACAATATTTGTAATTGAAATTCTATTTTATTTAAAAAAATTAGTACATAAACATTTAGAATAATTTAGCTAAGTTTTTGCCGCAGTGGTAATGTTATGTTTGACGTAAACGTGATATTTTTTTCTTTCAATGTTTAATAACAATGTATCTTACAAAATAGGTCATAAAAAAGTATTCTTAGCACGTTAATGTCAAGCATAGATTTGCGGTAAAAACTGGACAAATGTAGTAGGGTTTTTAAGAGTTTAAATGTGTTATTTTCTGCAAGAAAAGAAGAAGAGTTTAAAATAGTAAAAAGTGTTTGGCATGCATTAGCAATATTTTATATATATATATATTTAAACAGAGCAGCAGCTTAAAAAGGTGCGTTTTACAATGGTGAGTGTATGGGCTGCGTCGGCTACTGCCAGTAGATGGTGGGGGGAGCTAGACCGAAAACAGCGCCCGCAGTGCTACTGAGAGCGCAATCCAGTAGTTTTTACATCGTTGGTTAAACTTAACAAATTCAAAAGAGATCGAGATAATTTAAGAGAGTAGACCTGCCTAAAAGATATTATTTATTAATTAGAACTTTTTTTATAGGTTATGTTAGGTTTAGTTTCGTGGGGTAAGGCTAACAACGCAAGAACGTGCAATCTGACCGTGGCAACCCCTGCAGCAACTTCTGGCCTAGACTACTTTTATCTTTATTTTTACCTGAATTTCTTTGGGAAACGTAGCAGAAAACATGAGTGTCTGCCGTTCTCCAGTTTTGGGCATTCCATTGTTCTCAACTATTGTTCTGATTTGGGGTTCAAAACCCATGTCTAACATTCTGTCGGCCTCGTCTAGCACCAGGAAACTGAAATAGTTACATGGTTAAATATTTCAGTTTGAAAATATTGCTTGCTTAAACATCTAAACTCATAGCAGTCAGGAAATTCCAACAATATTATTGAAAATTAACTGATTATCTTAACCACTAACTATTGTAGTTTGTGAATATTTACTTGGTTCAAACCGGAAAATGGGTTACAAGTTCAAAATAGCATCATAAATCCTTTAACAAGACAGAAAAAGTTACATCCTGGGATAAAGACAGAAACATGAATACAGTGAAACATTGATTAACCATCACTCATACAATGTACTTTCTAAGTGATGGCTAGTAGGGTAGGTTCAACTGTTGGCACACATTACTTATCTTAGGTCATTTCAAGGGTTTTCTCTTTTCTCTTTTCATTGCAAGGTTCAGCATAAGCAAAGTGTTTAAGAAAAAGAACTGAAAACAAAGACTGAGGTAGCTAGTGAGTGTATGCTATGTGTGTGCTAAGTGTATGCTATGGGTGTATCTGACAGTACAGTACCTGCACTGGTCCAGACCGATCTTCCCTCTGTCCAACATGTCCACTAGACGTCCAGGAGTGGCCACCAATAAGTGACAGCCTCTGTCTAGGTCCCTCATCTGATCACCTACATTGGACCCTCCGTACCTGTATAACACACGACACGTCAGACACTGGCGGCCAAGTGCTATCTTTTATCTTGGTAATAGATTACTGAGAATACTGCTGACACAGTCTTCCTATTAACAGCAAGCATCACAAAATAATAGAAACTTGGTAATAGATTACCGAGAATACCATGTTATTTTTGTAAATTTGAACTGTTAGAAAAAGCAAGTGATAAAAAGCTGACCGTGCATTCCTATTGATAGTAAGCATCATAAAATAATAGAAACTTGTTAATAGATTATTGAAAGTGTCATATTTTTTATTTAACTATTTTTATCGTCTGAACTGTTAGTGTGAGTGAAACGACACTGATCTTCTCTTCCTATTAACAATGAGTATCACAAAATAATAGTAATAGTCTGTCTATGTTTACTGTTACATTGGGAAAAAAACTGAATTACTTAAGTATAGCCCTGTATTAGAAAAACCAGTTAAAAGCTACTGGACAAGGAAGTAGTGATTGCCAATATTAGTATTATTTCAACTATTACCAAAAGCTTAGGAATGCCCCTTCCTATTGTTGCAAAGTAACAGTATTTCCTATCTCTACAACACATTAACATTGGTGTCTTAGAATAGAGAAAAATTTCACTACCGATGTATAACGAAATCTAATCAACCTAGATTTACATCAAGGGGTAATTTTTATCAACCAATCCAACACAACTGATGGCATTCACAATAAAATATTTCCAAATATCAAGTATTGGTCAAATCAACTATAAAGCGCTTTAAGTTAATTTATCATATCAACATTAATAGTAATAGTGGATCCAAAGTATGATTTTCACCATTATCAAGCTTGTGTTTACACTTTTAGTCACCAAATCTGTCATGATTCATTAAATATAAAGGAAAGAGACTGTCTCTAGACTTTAAGGGAATTTTGGATTGGTCAACCAAGATTAGTAAACAAATCAGACAAATTAAATTTCAACTTTATTGTACTTACACAACACAGGGGCGAAGTCGAGATCTGTAGGCAAACTTGCGACTCTCATCGTAAATCTGGGTTGCCAACTCACGAGTTGGGGCTAATACCAAGCCCAGTGGGTACTGCTTGCGCTTGCCGTACATCTGAGCAAATGTTCAATACCATGAGAACAAATTACAAAACATACTGTTTTACATCTATGAGCCCGCACAAATACTGGGATTTCATTACAGTATTATTTAATTGCAACAGCTAGAAAATATGTTCAAGATTTAACTGTGGTAAAGAAGCAGAAGCAAAATCATTACCATTTTCTATAGTTAAATTCCAGTTGAATAGATTTTCATTTATTGCACAGGCAAATGCTGTAACTAGAAATAGAAAAATGGCAAACAACATAAAGCACCAAAACCATTTTTTATTTGTAGGTTGTGAAAAAGATTTAAAATTTTACAAAATTAAGTCAAAAATTCTATATGTGATGGGTCTACTTTTGTGGTATTATTGTTAAAGATTTTAGAAATTGTGAATATATTTACCCTCTGAGTGTTGGAGCCGTTGGCTTGAGGGCCTCGCTCATACATCTGGTTCAGAATGGGCACCAGAAACGCAGCGGTCTTGCCAGAACCTGAACAAAATCAAGATATTTTCGAATAAGCAAAATTTTATCACAAAATATTTAATTCATAAAATTTTAGGCCTACATAAAATTGTGTTTACTTCTGATAACAGCTCGATATTCCAGCTATTAAACGGGTGGCTGTTAACCCGGGAACCAAAGTTCCTGCAAGAGGTTAACAGCAGTTTTTATGAGTTTTTTCTGTATATCTATAGACCCTGGACTTTTAAGTTTTTCAGGTAAGCTAGCTGAAATCTATCCCTTTCTCCAAAAAATCCTAATCAGCCAATTGGCTTACCTTTGCAATATTAGGTACGGTAATTAATAGGGGTGTGTGATGCATCCAAAGTGTATCGAAATTTCGATTCAATTCGATTTATCAGTGGTGATCAAAAAACGATTTGATTCATGAAGAAGTCAGTCAGTATCCATAAACAGTAGACTCCCTCTTATCTGGACCCCTTTTAACCGGACATTGGTTTAACCGGACTAGATCGGCAGGAAGTGGGCGGTACTGAAACGACTTTTTCTCGTGGGAAACATTATAAGGGTCAATGTCACATAATGATGAATTTTCAGGAAAGTCAAAAAATTTTTTTTTTACTTTTAAAATCGATATACTACTAGCCTATTACAATCAGTATTTACCAAGGAATAATGTATACTAATCAGCAGAGCTGAATTTTTTATACCTTAATTTATAACTCTATTTTTAGCTTGAAGGTCACACAAAAAATGCCAGTCGGTCACGCTGATGAATTTGCAAAAATAAAATAGTAAAAATGATATTAAATTAAAAATGTCATCATAAATGTTACTTATACCCCTCAAAATTCAAATAAACGAAACCAAAATATTTAATTTCGTTCAATTTGAGGAAATTTTAACAATTTGAGCTAACCTAAAATGAATTGGCTCTACTTTGCAGACGAAACTTTAGTATGAATGACAAATATTTCAACAGTGAATTGCAGTAAATTGTTGTTTGTACTGAAATATGATTGCCGGTATGGCATGTATCAGAAAACACATAAACATCATAATATAGGATAAGCAGTTAGTGAAATATATGTGTTTTGGTAAGCGTGAACTACTGGCGTTGACCGTGAACTACTGGCGCTGACCGTGAACTACTGGCATTGATGGCATTGAACAATGTATAACTGGAGTAAGTTACTGAAAAACACATCGAGAAATGGATATTAATTAGAAGAAATGTAAACCCAAATGTAATGTTTCAACAATATTTTAATGAAATCTTTTTTTTATGAAATTACAAACATAGCCTAACATTCTTTGGTCATTTGTGAAAGATTCATTTTGTTTAGAATTTGATGTTATAATGAAGGAACGACTACCATAAAATATTATACCCTAAACCTTATAGTTGTAAAAGAGCAACGACATTTAAAGTACAGCCAGTATTGTGCCAATCGTTCACGATATTCAACATCGTTCACGTGAACAACTGGAGCGTGAACGACTGGCAAATCTGATCTAAAATCTAGTCTATGAAAAGCTACATTTACTGCGTTGACATCCAATTTGAGGTTAGGTTCTAGGCCTAGAGACATTTTCAGAATATGCAATCCTTTTTATTGTAAGTTGCAAAGTTTGTGAGTTATTAAAGTGAACGACTTGAATCTTAATTAAGGTACTATGCATTTCTTATCTGTTTATCAGTTCATTTCTAAAAATCTTCTTAAAATTCACAAAATTGTTTAGCTGTGGCTACTGCGCAAACTCATCACAAGCACTAGAATGTGTTTTGCTGCCAAATTACGCATCGCCCCGTTACTTCTAGAACCCATTTTGTCGAAACGTCTTTGACATGCTGTACCTTGGGGACTGTCTTTAGACAATTAAAAAAAAAGTCCCCATCGTATTTAGAATTTTAATACTGCTTGTTTTTGATAGCAGACGATCTCCCGATGTTTATAGTTCCATTATATTGCAAAATTGTGAGGTTATGAAGTATTTATTATTTGAGTGAACATTACGGCATTAGGCTGGGGACAGTGAACGACTGGCAAATTATGATAAACAGTCTTATTTTTCTTATTGAATAAATTATGATTAGGATCTAAAACTATGTTTGCTGGAAAGGTAAGGGGTTGGATAATAATAACAACACATTATTACTTAAAATAATATTTTTATCTTGCATTTGTGCCCAAAGGACTTCAAAATCACCCATTATGTGACATTGACCCATAAATACAATGCTCTCCTAATTTTAAGTCAAATACTTTATAGAGTATGCATTTAAACGGTCAGTTTTAATGAGATTTTGAGGACGTCGGTTTAACCGGAAAAACCGTTATCCAGACTGGCCTCGGTCCTGAGGAGTCCGGATAAGAGGGAGTCTACTGTACGAAAAAACGCCTGCAGAAAGTCAATGCAATACCCACAATACAGGAGCGTGTTGTTACGTTTAATTTGCGAAGGCGTTCTTAATCAATTAATTCTTTGCTTGCAAATATTGCTTTAATTGTTAAATAATTTTTTGTTTTGACATTGCAAATGATGAGAAGTTTTGTTAAGTGCAAGCAGTGTGAGACATGTTTTACTACTGTAAACATAGCCAAAACAAATCACTCCAAAATCATTCTAAAAATAAGTCTGAAAAATTGTCACTTGATCTTTTAACTTGTAAGATTGTGTTTTAGACTGATAAATTTGGTATGTTTGTAGGTCTGCTATGTTTACCTTGTAGTTTGTAGGTCTGATTCTATTTTTATCAATATGAACCAAAATTTCAGTATAAATCTTGCAAATGTTTTTATTTGATTACACCAAAACATATCTTTATTTGTAAAATGAATATTACAAAATAGGTAACATGCTTAACAATATGGTTCTGCAAGTAAAAATTATGAAATAAGCAAGTAAAGCAGCTCACTGAAATTTTCCAGCAATACAGGTTCTTTTAATATATGATTGAAAATAAATATTTTTCACATAAAATTCATATATATAGGCTTAATCAACAAAAATTTGCACAACACAAATATGGTAAATGGTAAATTTTAATTAGCCTATTGCTTTTTCACTCTATTGACAAGTATGAATGAAAAAAATGTCGTATTGCTTCGAATCGGGTTGCATCGATTTGAATCGAAAATCTTTTGAATCGAATCGTTACTTTGAATCAAAATATTTTGCTGCTTCGCACACCCCTAGTAATTAATATAACGTATGTAATTACAAACTTAAGTTCAGTCCAATATAAAATTGTTCTGAATCAACTTACCATATAAAATTAACACCTTTTCAACATTTAATCTGTAAACAATTCTAGGCTATTTTTTATTGTACTGTACTTTAATATGAAATTGCACACATTTCTGTATTCTTTTATGATGTTATTGAGCCAGATTACTGTATGATCCACATAATTGATGGCCAAATTATCAAGGTCTACTATACTTATCTTTACACAGTCTAATAGTGTTAAGAACCACAACATCTTCAGTTAAAACATGGGCATCTGTTAGTATTTGGGTCAACGTGTTTTGTCCTCGAATGGCGTCCCAGTTTACCCTATTAATTCTAATTAGGGGTCTGCGGTACAGAAAATTTAAGGTCGGTACGGTACAATATTTTGTACCTCGGTTCTCGGTACAAAATCGGTACGGTACGCGGCTACCCGTATTTTTGCGGTTTTCTTCTCAGAACTGTATCTAAACCATTATTTTTAACTTTAATACATAGACATTACTATGAAAATGGATAGTATCCTACATTCATGGTTTTCTAACAACAATTACTGTACCACATATTATTAAAACAAAACCTTTTACTACTACGAGGATTGTGTCAAGAAAAATCACAGTTCAGATAAAGGCTTTACCTATTTTACTTTGAGATACTTTGAATAGCCATGATAAAGTAGTTTAAAAATAGGATAAGAGTTTTTATGAATAAACATGTTTGAAACATTTATTGACGAGATAATTTCACAAAACTGGTAAATTATTTCCAACCAACACAATGTCTAGTTGTTTTTTTTTTAATTTTAAAAACATATAAAAGCATTCAGTAGAAGACAGTGTAGTTTTGCCAGCTGTTCACAGCAGATGACAATGAAAAACTGGAGGTTATGATGAAGTAATGGCAAAAGACCATTTTTTTTTATCAGCTTCAAAACTAGTTAAGTTATAAGATGGATACAATTCTTGCAAAGTTTTTTTCTGAAACTAAAATTTGGATTATCACAGAGTAAGATTTGATGTTGGGCAATTAGACTTTATAACTGTGTAAAAGGTGTGTATCCATGAAGTTATAAATTGCATTCTACACTTATTCACTGCCAAACATAATTCAGTAGAACCTTGATGAACCGAGAATTACACTAGCCTACATAACTTCATTACCCCAAGTAAAATACCAAGATAATTTTTATAATTGTATTTGAATCGTATAATCTTAGTTTGTTAAAAATGGATTGTATGTTCAACAATAATTGCAGTCCATTATTGTTAAGCAGTATGGTCCCAAATTATTGTTTTTGATTTTGAAACATCACAGTTCATTTGACAAAATTATAGTTGAAGCAGCTCAATGTCAAGTCACGCTTGTGCAATAGTTTGTTTACATGCTTTCTCCAGACCACGGGGGAGGGGAGGGTCTGATAAGCCGTCTATTGTTCACCCCCAAGAAGGTCCGACCCTCATTAGTGCCGCTCGGCTGCACTCAGTGGGGGACCCAATACCACAAATCAATCTTTTAAATGAATACAAATATTTGGTAATAATTGTTTTATTAATATTCACCTTCAAAAATCTGCCATTTGGACCGATTATTAATACAATACCAAATACCAATAAAGTAATACATTCATTGGTAATTAAATAATAGGTAAAAATTTACAGATTTTCGTCAAGTTTTACCCCCTGTTGTGCGCTATGTCACAAAAGCTGATAACGACATGGGTGATTAGTAACCATGGCAACTTGTTGAATGCGTGATGAAGGGAAACCCAAGAAATAGAAGAACAAAGAGAAAGAATAACGACGTTGTTATCTTTATACCCTTTTTACAATTTCCGTTATTGTTACCTTTATGTAAGATTTTATGACTTTTTTTTATAGGTTTATAAAATAATTCTTTTTAACTACGGGAATATCAATTTATAATTTATCAACGTGCTTCTCTTCTGAAACAGCAATACCGGATGCATAATAAAGGTCAATGGCCTAAAATATCACGATTGTGCAATATTGTATTTTGATGTTGAAATTAAAATCACGACAAAAGTTTGTATATATCCATGGTCGTCAATAGAAAGATAAAATATCCATAACAAATATTTTAATTTATAAAATAAGATTGTAGATTAGTTACAAGTTTAATATGTAGCCATAAACAGTTTTATGGCAGTAGGCAATGGCCAGCGGCAAATTCAATATTCACGAAAATACTGATTAAGTTAGAGATAACATTTAACAGTCATCATAAAACTATTATTTTTATGATTAAACAGAATTGGGGAAAGTCGTAAAGAAATAAAAGTGATAAAACTCAACAGTTCTTGGAAGTACTTCAAATACAACAATTATTGTCGTGATAAAATGTTAATGGATTTGGGACTGCTAATGGGTTTTTTATTGCATCATCACGCTAGTAATAAATTATGAAGATCTTAAACAAACATCTGATAAGACTTTTATGTGCTCGGAACCAACTGCCGTTGACTACGATAGTAAACTGAAAGTAATTTATTATTATAATAGGCTGTACCGAACCGAATTTGTACCGTGTAAAATGCTGTACCGAACCGATGACGGTAATTAAGCTTGTACCGTACCGTACCGACTTTTTCGGTGCACCGCAGACCCCTAATTCTAATGAGATAAATTTTTACCTGTCTGGGCACATGCCATCACGTCTCGACGGGCCATGATGATGGGGATCGCATACTTCTGCACAGGGGTGGGTTTGTCATAACGAGCTAATGCTATGTTGTTTGAGATTATCTCAGTCATCTTGATATCCGAAAACTGCAACAAAAAGTTTATCTCATGAATCTCATGTAGGCTACTATCTGATTTAAGATAGTTTCAACCTTAAACAAGATAAACAAAAATTGATGGTCCTAATAGATAATTGAGCTTACATTATTTACCTATCTATCAACAGTATACTCTAAATCAACCGATGACAAAAAAGTTGTTAACTTTTAATTTTCTGTAATCTACAACGTGTAAACCTAAACTACCACGATAGTTTGAGATAATGTTGCACTCCTTATAATCACTGTAAAATAGGAATGAGTTGAATCCAAGGATCTCAAATCCACCGAATCTCAAGGAAATATTCGGATTCAAGATTCAACTAATAGAACTCAAGAATCGAATCCACCAGGATTCGCAAGCCTACCTAGATCCCAGGCCAAGAACGAGAATGCTTGAGTTGACGGAGAACGTGCTCCGGTTCAAACAAAGACGCTAAATAAACAGTTGTCTGAAATATAAACCACAGAATGATTGCCTTGTTTAGTGCTTATTAAATTCCAGTGCTAGACGAACGTCAGGTTCATTGATTCTTAAAAGGGCTAAAACTTTAACACAAGGGTGGAATTTTAAGTTCTATCAATAGTCAAGGCAACTAAACATGTATTTGGCATAAAAGGTCTTCCAGTTGTTCTTTCTCGGCACTATAAAATAAATGTTACCTAACCTAACCAACACAAGGGTAACTTACAGAGTCAATATGGCCGGGAACGTCCTCCCCAGTTGCGTCAACAGGGATGTCCTCGTATTTGTTGAAGTTAATGCCCGTGTTGCCAGTGCCGAACAGTTCCAACTCCAGGCGCTCGTCCTTGGCCAAGGGGACCGTCCAGTCGTTATCTCGAGGCTGCTGCCAGCGGTCGTTGTTGCGTGGAGGTCCGCGGTCTTCCTCCCTACGGTCCCGGCCACCCCAGCTACCGCCACCGCGGCTGCCCCAAGAATCATTGCTATCTCTGCAACAACATGATACAAAATATAGGTATAGCTGACTTTTCACTTGGTAGTTGGTCCATTGTCCATTTCTTTCTTCCTATCCAGTAAACTAGATATTATCTCCTCAATAAGAACATGTCCTAAATATATGCTTGTGCAATAATTACATATGCATTATCATAATTACTTTATAACAGCAAAGCGACACACACCTAGGTGTTAAATAACGAACCCCGTATTTAACGAAATCCTCGATATAACAAATATTCAGTTTGGTCCCTTCAGATTCGTTATACCGAGGATAGACTGTACTGTTAATTGTTTACTATTCATAGTCATTTGTATCTTGTATCATTTTAATTTTTGGGGTTCATCTGGTAAAATTTTAAATTTTTGAATAGAATGCTGACAATTTTTACTAAAATCCTGAAAAACTTAGGCAATTGAGTTTTGTTTAAAGTTATGGGAGACTAATTAAAGCCTCAAATGTGTTTTTTTAACGTAGTTCACATTTGACTGTGAAATAATATCTTCCAAAACCACTGAACCCTGACCTGACCTGACTCAACAAAAAAAAGTGTTTACAGAACCAACAATTAGGTACCGGATATACAATGGAAGGTGTAAGTACAGACCTGCCGCGGTATCCACCACGTTCCCCACGATCCTCCCATCTGTCACCATTATGGGAATCATAGTCTCCATTCCTGCGGCGATCATTGCCTCTGCGATCGTAGTCATCTCGGCGACCGCCTGAACCTAATAAAGTTAGCAAGTAATTAAACTAGCAATAATATATATAGCTGTTGAACTATATCAGCCATTCTATTTCTTGAAATACAGACAATTGGAAGATTAGAATTAATGATACAGAAAAATATTTATAGTAGCCTAATTATCTGAATTCAGAGGTGAAGTGTGAGTAGCGGTCTAGTAAGTAGGCTTAAGAGTATTGATATTATTTAAAATAACTATTAAACTATTAATATACCTAGGATAAAAAAAGAAAGGATAGTAAGACACTGTAATGTTATTAATCCGTACTATTTCAGGATCTAAGTTATTCATTTTATGAAGTTCATAGCTTGAATTCAGAATTTTTTCAATCGTTAACTACTGAACAGCTATAAACTTTGCAGTTAGGTAACTGAACTGTCGCGATTAAGCTAGCCTAAGTCTACATTAACGGGGTCCTGATAGTAGTGGTACTGCAGAGATATAGGTCTTTTAGCTCATTATTACCCCGGTTATAGTAACCGCCGCCTCCGCCACCTCCTCCACCTCCACCAGAGTTGCGGTTACGGTCTCTATCACCGTAGTTGGAGGAGGAATATCCGCGATCACCACCTCGAGAATCTCCCCTGCTGTCGCCTCGGGTGTCTTGTCCGCTATCTCCACGACTTTCTGTCCACACAAAACAAGACTTCATAAACATAACACCAAAAAAAAACTCTTCCAAACATTTAACATACAAGAGCTAGAGGACATTATTCAGCAAAATAGGAAAAAGGAATCAACATTCTCGGCTTTTCAAATCTTAAAATTTGTTGACCATTTTCATTTATATTTTAAGTTTGTTCATTTTAAAATTAAACTAACAACACAACCAATGTTTTTATTGTATTCAAATTTTTAAAGACTCATTTAGAAAACTTAGCCTATAGATTGTGATCTCACTCACTAATTTGTAATTTTTTTTTTAATGTAGTGGACGAACAGATGTCAACTGTATGTTTTCAAATAAGCCAATTTCATGACAAAATCATTTTGTATTTTCAATTGATCATGTGAACAGAATGATAAACATTGTCAAACTACATCCATAACCTATGACCCACGAACCCTTGACAGATAAGTAGCTGGCACTCCATCAAATCACTCATACAGTGTCAAATCTTATGAGTTTTTTTTTTCATATTTTACACATGATGTGTTGTCTAAACCTTCCTCGAACTAAGAAAAAAGACAATTTGGTTTGGTATAAACTATTCCAATAAACTTCCAATATTGCTATAAGCTATGTTTTGAAAAACAAGCATCTTCTGTGTCATCAATTACTATTGACTATTTTAAGACCAATTAACTAAAATTACTTATCTTAAAATACAAGGTTTCAACAGATTACATTAAGAGAATATACAGGATATAATATGTATAGTATTCAATAAGTGACGTGAAAATATTGACCTAGTACATTAGAGAACTAGAATGGGTTTTATCAGAACAGAGAATAAATAGGAATTAAGCCTAATATTATAAAGATATTACAAATTAATAATAGATTATTTACCGCCAGCGGGCTTGTTGCGAAGATGAGGGGGCACGTATCGGCCTGTAGGCTGCTTATTGCCGCCCTGCAAGTCCAGACCAGCAAGCTGTAAACAGGATTCATAATGTGTTTTAAGACTTCTAACGGTTACATGCATTTAAAAAAATCAAAAATCAAACAGAACTCAAGGGCTTATTAATCATCAATGTTATTAGAATCGGCTGAACAAACTAAAAACACTAGGCCCACTTGCCTAGAAAATCAAATACCGGTACCATATTTAACAAATATTCAATTAGCCTAACATAAACCACTGAATAAAAATGTTAATCTCAACATGCATTAGCAGCTATTTAATACTATGTACGCTACTGTGTTCCTTGGCTTGAATATTAATAGTTTCGTATCAACTACCCTGATTATGTAAAAATTATTTTGAAATAAATCTAACCTAGTTATTTTATGTAATAGGTATTTAAAACATAACTTATTGTAAACTTAATCACTTGGAACAGCTTTTTTGTTGTGTTGTACAGAAGCAAGATCTTTATGGTATATATAGAGATAATTAGCTAGGTAACGTAATATAAATATAGCCCATCAGTGGTCGCAAAGATGGCACAAGATTTCATTTCACTCAGTTTTACTCAGTACTGTAGTCAATGTAATGTAAAGACTATGTTGATAACGGGTGGTCCATAAATTATGGATGGATTTTTAAACAGGCTGTGTTACTTTGCTCTTGTTAAGCATACAATTTTGATTCTTACAACAGTACATTATTATTTCATTTCATTAACCGTGGATTGTTGAACATAACAACATTGTGCCTTAAGCGTTGAAGCCTATTTAAAACATGACAAGTCTGTGATTGTTACTCAGCGGTTGTTTTGAAATAATGTGTCCGTCGTAATTGTGTGGTTCCCTCTAGGAATACTATCTTATTTTTGTTGGTGTTAAATTTAAGAACTAAGGGATCCGTTCTCAAAAATAAACCTCTTGAATGGTCAAAGGCTGTACGTACAGAGGAGCACATTGCATTTTGGAATAATTGGACCTTGCTTTTTTAAACCAGAATGGGGAAACAGTTATCATCACTAAAGAACGTTACTCATCAATGATTCAGGACTTTTTGGTCTCCCAACTGCAAAAAGAGAGGTTTGAATAGAAACTTGTTATGGCTCCAACAAGATGTGTTAAAAATAAGCTAGAAGGTAACTTAGATTATGGTTAAGGCTATAAAACATAACAATATGCTATTATTTTGTAATCCAATGGTTTCATTAAATACAAATCTTGTTTCCATAAACTTCAATGAGGACAAGTAATTTTTTGTAAACAGCAAAAATTAACACAACAAATTTTGATAATAACTTTTGATCTACCGTTATATGTTTATGCCTATGTGATATCTAGGCCTTTGATTGTACATATACCTAGACCAATTATTCATTTTTAAATACGTTTTCTATCAGCAATATCTTGCCATTACTCCATTAGTGACACGTCTATAATATACAACATCTGACTGCTGAAAACTGACACCAGCTAGCGTGTTTTTTAATATGGAGCAATATTATTACGTACAATGTAGGATGATGTTTGTAGCTTGAATTGTGTGACAGTCAACAGCATCAATCCTGAACCCAAACTTAGCTGTTCCTGTCCATTGTTTTGACATTTTACTTTCTCTTCTCTTGTCTAAGACACATTTCTGTGATTTTAAGTTATTTCCTTATGCAGTTTTGGTAAGTTATTATTTTGGTGATATAACTTAAGTTCTACTTAGGCCTACTTCTAGTGTGTTTTCAATCCAAATAGGCCTAAATATTAACTTGACTTTCAGATTTTTAATTACAGAGTTCAATCCAATTGCCATCCCAAAGAAAGAAAAATTATAATCTTTAGCAACAATCTATAATGTTTAAACAAATTTTACCACCTAGGCGTGTCAGATGAACTTCCTATTCGACAAAAATGACGCTTGAATAACCTACACTATGGACACCGTTATCGCAATGACCCGATACTGATATGGCGTCGCGCCACAGCTTTAACGCTCATATAGGCTAACAAGGCCTTTAGACAAAGGAACTGTAGAAAAACAATTTTTGTAAAAAGCCTGGAACTTTACTTTTATCCTATTTAAGTCCACTATTAAAATTGGCCATTTTTACTTGGCAAGCGAGCGAGATATGAAATTATTTTAAGTAGGCCTGGCTATAACATACATAACACAATCTATGCTGAAAAGTGGTCAAGAAGGTACTTTGGTATTATAAGGAGACCACATATTTTACAGCACGCTGTGGCGGTTATGTTACGTTGGGTAGGATGATAAATATGTTTGTAGGAATTGCCTCGTTTCGCTATGAATTGAACAATACCAGATGAGTCATACTTTCTATTTAGCATAACACAACCTAACCGCCGCAGCGTGCTGTATGCGTTGTATAATACCAATGTACCGTGATCAATTTACAAACTCCCATTGGGTTTATATATATCCTAAACTTTCTTCAACTGACCAGCTACAATTTGCAGCGCGGCAATCTACGGCAAGTGGAGCCGCGGCCTAAGCAGTTCTGTGCTGCTTCTTTCATTCAGTAGGTCCAATATACAACTTATTGCTGATCACAGCCTTAACCTCTCTTTGTAGCCAAATTGCAAAATACCATTGGCGGCATGGTTTTCCAAAAAGACAAACTTAATCGCACATATACCCCCATATGTACCTTGGCGCCCGCTGGCCAAGGTAAGGCCGTTCTCCACTCTTATTTTTAACTAGATATTTTTTGGACTTGGAGAGCACAGATAGTTTGGACTTCCTGATTACTTAAGGGACTTTAAACACTTACTGATATTTAAAACCATAAAAATAGATATTTTACATACAAATCAACTTCTATTGCCTCTTTGGGAAACGATTTTGTGAATATTAACATAAACCTTAATAACTTTTTTGATTGAGAACCAGGGCCGCCCCGAGGGCAGGGCGAGCGGGGCCACCGCGGCTTTGGAAGGTAAAAAATTTAACAACGTTATCAGCAAACCACAAACGAGTATTTGACGGGAAACTCGTAAACATGTAATCAACGACAATGACTATTCTAAAAAAAGGCAATCTATAGCTTTCGTTTTATTCATAAAATAAATACCGTTATTTAATATACAACTCGTACTAGGCTATTACTCCCCCCTACTTTTACTTCTGGCATGTGACTTGTTGGCAATACTGCGAGTCCGAGTCTCCGACACACACACTGCGTATTGGCCCACACGCCCCACCTACACTTGTTTCTAACCTCAAAGCTCAAACTCTTACGTCAACTCCTAGTCGTTTCGTGATGTCCGTTGTGAGCCCTAAATTCAATTTTTTTAGTAATTTAGTTCAGTGCAGTTGTTACGTTTATAAAAATTACTTGCAAAACGTTCGATACCGATATATCGGATGTTGGGTCTATTAACGCAAAATTTTAAATCTCAACCCGGGCGTCAATTACCCTCGGAGCGGCCCGGTTGAGAACCATATTTTGTCGTTTAGTAGCTTACTTGCCATTCATTGTTTTTGATATTATCTCTGTAGGCTAGTTTGTTTAAGTGTTTATATTGATAATATAAAATATAATTTTGTATAACTTAATCGAATCCTGAGTAAGTCATGTCTTTATGTTCGCTGCAAAGTGCAAAGCGTTGACAATCCCCACAAATTCAAAGATTATAATAATAAATAAATTAACCATTAGGCCTATAATGAGTTGTAAACTTAACGCCTAAAGTAATAAACCGTTACAATGACTAAGCTTAAACTGATCCAATGTAGGCTAAGTATTTCCTGGTTGGCTGGTGTGCTGCCCTTAAGCTATAGTCTGCACGCTACACAGGGGCACCGACTAACTTTTAACCCTAGAGCTGAAAGTCATTTTACTCTGTAGTAGCAAGGGTTTTTTAAGCGCCGCGCAACCATTTTTTAAATCACAAAAAAAATTATAAATAACCCAGAAAACATATTATATTAGCCTAGGCCTATATATAATTTTTTCAGCAAAAAACAAGGAATAGGCCTAAAGGTTAGTAAGGCTATTATATAAATTTCAGATAGGCTATGAAATTTTAATTTACAAAAAAGATTTATTTTTATAGGCCTAGGATAGGTACTAGCGGAAACCTTTTTTATTTATATGCATATATTATAATTCCGTATAATAACACAAATCAATGAACTCAAAATAATTTATCAAAATATACAAATTGTGCAGAATTCCATGAGGAAAAGGATAGGCCTACATAATACATATACCTTGTTTCTAAAAAAAAATACATAGGCCTATAGCAGTTTTTATTACCATATACATCGGTGTAAAACCTACACTAGGCCTAGTAGGCCTACTTGAATTGCGTGTCTCCTCGCTACTTAAAATTGGAACTCACGTAAATCACTAGATCGGTCACAGTAGTTACAATTAGACATCTAGACATCAGAGTGAAATCAGCTCACATTTCAATAAAAAATAAAGCTTAAAAAGTATAACGACAAAACACCAAAACTAACCAAACACAACATGAAATAAACAACAACAGACGCTGGTAATAAGCGATTGCATCATCGTGACAATGTTGTCAGCTGATGCTTTATTTTCATAGAGTTTTAAGTTTTCTTAAAGGCGTCCAAATAGTTTAAATGCACATCAATTGACAGATTATTCATTTCTGAGCCGAATAAATAAATACTATAGCCTATTAAGTGAAATTTGTTTAATTTCGTGCAAAAATCGGTGATTTCCATTACGTTGTAAATGCGCCCGATATCGGGCACATGCCTGCTCGAAGGTTAGTTTGTCCGTGTAAGTGGTGGACGTCTTAAGCCCATGTGACATAGAAATCAAGGAACTAGGCCTAGCTTAAGTTATTCAAGATGAATGTTTGGCATTTAACTTAAATTAACTTATTTTACATAGACAGATAAGTTAACTTAGCAGCATAATAAAATAAGTTAGAGCCATCAGACAGGTAACTTAGCTTTTAGCATCTTTAAAATGTTTGAAACTGTCATAAATTTTAACGATTAATAAGTTAAAATGTGGAATTAAGTAGGTACTGGTAGGCCTAACTTACATTGTTTAGCCAAGGCCTTAAACACTATCAGCACCAGACGGAAGGCCTAAATGTTATTAGGCCTAACACTGCAAATTTCGACATGAAATATTCAGCCTAAGTTATAAATAGGCCTAGCCTAAGTTATGGGAGGCTTAACTTATGGTTTTTTGTAAACAATCGTACTGTCAAACATTAATTGCATAAGATAACTTAAGTGGTAATTATTTACCGTACTTACACTAGGATATGATTTAATTTGGATATGTCTACTTACTTAAACAGATTCACATACTTAAACAAGTTATTAGTAAGCACTGGGAATACAATAAAGAAGTACATGGGCTTTTCATTGATTTTTCGAAGGCCTATGATAGCCTTGACAGGGGAAGAATATATCAGCAGATGGAAAAGTTTGGGATCCCCAGAAAACTAATAAAACTAGTAGAAATGTCCTTGAATGAATCAAAATGCAAAGTAAAAGTAGATGGAGAGTTATCAGAAAGCTTTGAAGTAAGAACAGGCGTAAGGCAAGGTGATGGAATGTCACCTATACTATTTAACATAGCATTAGAAGAGGCCCTCCAACAAGTAAGACAAACAAATATAGGTTTAGAAATGGGAACAAAAATAAACATCCCAGCTTTTGCGGACGATGTAGTAATTCTGTCCAAAAACAGAAATGACCTAGAGGAGCTAACCAGACTGTTCATAAAAAAATCAGAAAAAATGGGCCTAAAGATTAATGATGAGAAGACAAAATATATACACTTCACGAGACAGCCAAATGAAGTGAGGACAAATGAAATTAGTATAGATGGACATACTTTTGAAGTTGTTGAACAATTTAAATATCTAGGGGTAATTATATCAAGCAGCAATAGTGAAGAAATGGAAATAAATTATAGGATTGCTCAGGCCAATAAATGTATGTATTCTTGTAAGAAATTGTTGACTTCAAAGATTCTCTCACATAAAACGAAAATAAAAATATATCATAGTATAATTCGACCAGTATTAACATATGGAGCTGAAACTTGGATTTTAAATAAAAAAGAAGAAAACAAAATGATTGTTTTTGAAAACAAAATTTTAAGAATGGTATATGGACCAATACAAGAAAATGGGGAATGGAGAAAAAGGCATAATAGGGAGATAAGGAATATGTACAATGATTATGATGTAGTAGCACACGTGAAAGCAAGGAGAATAAGGTGGGCAGGACACGCACTACGGAGAGAACGAGGTTCACTACTAAAAGAAGCAAGTATAGGAAAGCCAGAAGGGAAACGACCATTAGGAAGGCCCAAGAAGAGATGGTGGGATAGTGTTTCCAGGGACGTCAGAGAAGTGGGGGCAGAAGTGGAAGAGGCAGAAGATCGAGAGAGATGGAAAGCAGTTGTTGGTGCGGCCAAATCCCGCCTTGGGCATAAATGGCCATGGGAGTGAGTGAGTGAGAGATGTCTACTTACAGTATTTTTAACGCTGAATCCAAAAATGCAATCAGTTTTGACCGGAGAGATTCCTAAGTGGCCGTACAGTTAAATAATTAATATTAAGCTTGAGTTTTGTTGATTTATTAACATATTTGTGGTATGGACGAGTCCAAGTTCTAGTGGCGACTAACACTAAAAGGGGTGGAAGGTTTGTGAAGTGGAAACAGCTGTCAGTTGTTTACATTCGATACTTAACAGACAAAACCACACACGATGGATGCCATGAGAGCAAAATCAGAGTTACAATATGCAATAACTAGATTTTAAAAATAAAATGGACTTTGGTGCTGTTTAGAAAATACAATAAATCAACTACGATCATAAACTATTAATCACATGTTAACCTTATGAGTACTCATATTTAAATGGAATTATTGAATCTTAACAGCTGTTTCAATTAAACAAGTTGGTTCTGTTCTATGATGTTCAATAGCATTAAAGTTACAAGGATTACCAACAGGGTGCAGCACTATTTTATTTTTTAATATTTGACAACAGCTAATTTAAAACCAAAAGGTGAGTGAGCGTAGCGAACTAACTTCAACCCGGAGGCAAGTTAGCGTAGCGAACGAGCTAACTTGAAGGCAAGTGAGCGCAGCGAACGAGCTCCAACCGTAAAGGTGAGTGAGCGTAGCGAACGAACTTCAACCAGGACTTGTGAGCACAGCGAACGAGCTCCAACCCAAAGGTGAGTGAGCGTAGCGAACGAACTTCAACCAGGACGTGATTGAGCCATGCGAACGAGCTCACATATGAAGTTAAACGGGGCAAAGCCCGCGGGTACAGCTAGTGAATTATAGGGAAAACAAAATAGAATTTATTCACGTAATATATCAGTCATAGAAGCTAGGCCACTGCCGACATGATCATCGTCCTCATTCCAATCTTCAACCATTGACTATTACATTTATTACATTTACATTTATTGTTGTCATGAGAGCCGAAGCCCCCTGACTGCATACCCGGTACCTATCCTTTAGGACATACCCGGGCCCCATGATGTAGGCCGAAGCTTACGCATCAACCTTTAGCACATCATGGGCGGATGACTTAAGGTCATCAGGCTCGCCGGCTGCCGAAGCAGACCCTTCGGAAAGAGGGTTGCCCCTCAATCCTAACCAGGGATTCCGGCTGCTTGTTTAAGCGTCACTCCACCTGGGTTCCACTAGGTCGGGACCTAGAGGTCCATGGTAGAGCGCCCCGACGCATTTAGTGCAAGCAACACTCGGGACCTATCTAATCCCTGACAGGCAGAACCCGCCATCAATAGCCAGGAGGAAGGGGACCATCAGCACGCTGACGGGGGGAACCCCAACCTCCCATTTACACCGCTGCCCGATCGAGGCCTTACCCATTGCTGGGAAACCAGAGATAACCAGAGCGATAGATCCCCAGATACCCCTGGCGGGCTCGGACCCAGCACCCGATCTACTTCGTTTGCCCGTCAGACCCAACATCACTGCCAGGCCATCAGGGTTTCCCAAAAGGAGGCAGGTATGCCTCAACGTCTGTTAATGAACGTGTCATAGTGCATAATCCCATAGTACATAACTTAATCCCATTGTGTTAAAAGTTAAAACGTGCCACAGTGCATAATTTAATGTACTAATAAATGATGTTACATTATCTAATCTAATCTAACCTAACCCAACCTTAATAGGTATTAATGTTTAAGTAAATAAGTTAGCATTTTATGTCAGAAATGGCATGTGAACTTGACCTACCTTCCTCACATGCCTAAATAAGAACTTTATTTGGTTTCAAAACTAATTGATTTGATTTAATTCCGCATTAGATCAAGTATAAACAGTTGTTTGCTCTTCTCACTCAGTCCTCACTCAGTAGGCCTACGGGGGTCCAGACCACGCCATACTACCATTACCTTCAGTAGGCCTAATCAGTACCGCTCAATTAACCTTAGATTCGTAATCCTAACCTTTGTTTTATGGCCACTACGGCAAATTAGGAACCTCTCCGACAAAAACTGATTGCATTTTTGGATTCAGCGTTAAAAATACTGTAAGTAGGCCTAGACATATAAAAATTACATCATATCCCAGTGTAAGTACAGTAACTTACCTAAATATTTGCCTCTTAAGTAAGCACTTGATGGGAAGAAAGTCCGGGTACAGTTTCTGAACTGGGCTATGATAATATTGATTGAAACTATGTATCGAATCAAAAATATTGATTAAACTTAATAATCGATATTTTAAATATATCTATATTATAAAATAAAGCTATCATAACCTAACCTAACCAACCAAACTTGCTGATGGTGAAAAAATCGCATGGAGGTTTACTAATCGAATCGATTGTTTCAATCGATATTAGCATAGCCCAGTTAAGAAACTGTACCCGAAAGTCCTAGCTAGCTTTAAGTTTAACTAAGTTAATTAAGGCTTAATAGGACTAGGCCCTAGCCCATGTAGGCACAGCCTATCTATGTTTTAACATTACGGTACATAGGCTGTTTTAGCTTATGGGGCCAAATAAAGGCCAATGAAAAAGTAGCCTAATCAAGTTATAGCCCACAATTAAGTAGATGGAGGAACGATGTGTAAACAAAACACTAAAACAAAACACTGTAAACTAAAGTAAAAGAGATGTTAGCCTATGTAAAAGATTAGTAGCCTACTAGGCTAAATTTAGTGGGCACTTTTCTTTCTCAGGTGAGACCTCACTTGTAGCATTCCACTGTGTCTGTTAATGCAAGAAATTGCACCAATCCTTTAAAATTCATTTAACTATCAATTTAAAACAACGTTATGGATTTTAAATATTAAATATCGCCAAGTAACTAAAAATGTAGCCATAATGAATGCGTGGATGTTCCAGAATTCTTTCTAAATGGCTAAGGCCTACTTTACAAAAATCAGCCATGAGAGTAGGACACATTTTACTGAACCAAAACTTACTCCACTATGGTGGTCTAAAACTAAACATTAGCTATGGTAATAACATAAATACCTGCTGCTCTAGACCTGATCCATTTTGAGAGGGTGCATTACTCATATTACTACTAATCAAAACTTTTAATAAAAAGCTCCCTTAGAAAGCGTCGTTTTGTTGAAAGATTTCACACAAAGACTTGGGATTGGGAAACTAAAACTGATGATGGGTGATGGAACAGAACAAGCAAGAAGTAAAAGAAAAGACAGTAGCAAGCAAGTAGTCTACATATTCTATAAATATCGAGATACCGCGATATATGCTATCGAATGAGATGCTTCTAATACTATATGAAATACCAGTATTATAAAGAAAATATAATAATCTTAGCGATGTAAATTGAGGCAATATAGATCCTAGAAAAACTAATTTGAAATCCTAGAAATGTATCAAACATAAGGGTACGAATTGTGGATATTTAGGCATGCACTGTGGATACGATACTCCCTGGTGTGGATTAACGTCCGCACTAGTAAGTTCTACGACTATCCGCAGTACTTTCCTGATAATTAGACCAATTCGTTGATACCAAGGAAAAAAGTGGTTCGGATTCCACTATAAACTGTAGGTCCCTTTAGTCGCAATTAGCTGTATGGGCATTTAATTAACAGCTGTGTCTAAGGAATATTATGTCGGCCTTAGTCACTAACAAGACTACAAGATCGTGCCACTCATCATACACTCATCTCCATCACGGCCACCTTTAACTACAGGCCGCGGCCAGAATTGGCAACGTCGCAACGGTGTTGTTTAGTGGCAGACGTCCCATAAGATAACATGGCAGACAGGTGACATCAGCGCATTAATTCGCACTTTATTGATTTAAATTTAAATTTATGAACATAAATTTATTAAAATATTGTAAATAAAACATACAGAATTGAAAACCGAAACAATATGAATTAAAAATCTATATCTGTACATTTGAAGCGGAGCATATAGTGTGGCCTTGAATAAGACCAAGTCTTATGTGATCGTTGGGTGGAGTCAATATTGTCATAGTCCAGTAACCAATCTTTTGTAATAGCATAGACTAACCAAAACCAACACAAGTAGTCCATAGAGGTATATTTTTTAAGTTAAGCACTCAATGTTACTTAAATGGGTTTCATTACATCACCGAGTGAGTTTTTTTCAACTTTACATCACTGGAGAAGTAAGGAAGTTGTATACATCACGCTTGGGATAGGGAAGTTTAACATGGTGGGTTAGGTAAATACACAAATACCATTAGCTGCTTCCAAACAAAACAGCTGTTACAACACCACTTGCAACGTTGCCACTTCGAAGGCCGTGGCCGGGAGTTACAAGGCGGCCGTGTCTCCATTCATACTTGGCTTAAAATACCTACTTTGTATGGTCGCCATTTCAAATAAAAGTATTAAAGTATTAAAAGGTTTCAATACGAAAATTTAACGTACGGAAAGTTTGTTTAGCTATATAATAATTAAACAACGTGTTATTTATATAAACATGTTGCAAGTTATACTGTGGTTGTATTCAATGTTTTGAGATTATTCTTCAGTATAAATATTACTTTGAGTAAAACAATATACTTTTCCTACAGTTACCTAACAATGTACACGTTCTCTCACTGATTTGAGAAAGCAAAGTGGCCAATTCGCTCATCAGTGAGACAATGTTAACATTGTCTCACTCCAGATTTGCAACGTGAAGGCACGAAATAGTGAGCGCGTAACATGCAGGCAACGTCGTATGCGCGCGAAATACGTTGGCAGCACTGGCTGTAAATCAGCTGGTCAGCTGTTGTACTGTTGTATTTGTCACTTCACATTAAATGTTATATTAAAAGTTCACTTCTGTGTAAAAATAGGTTATGTTTCTTCACCAATTTATTTGTTTTATGGTAACTGTAGGAAAAGTATAATGTGCAACTCGAGTTCAAAGTACAATTGCCCCACTCGAGAAACCATTCCTCACTCGCCTACGGCTCGTGAGTAAGGATTTCTCTCGAGTGAGTCAATTGCTCACTTTTCTCACTAGTTGCACAAATAACTATAGATTTTGGTTTTTTTTCTAGGCTGTAAATGTACATTACAAGCTTTTTTATTTTTTCTCAAGGAATTAAACTATACTCAAAGATTATTGACAAGTAAGTGACGTATGCGTTCCAAGAAACCGACTAGAAAGAAAGAGGAATGAAAGGACACCTAAACGCATTATAACTAACCATGGCAGCCGTGACACGGCAAATGAAATGACCGCTGGAATGGAGTGCTGAGTGCTGAGAGCACTGCTGGAATTAGGGTACAGTAGTTTCAGTGGAGGTAAATGGGGAGTGGGACGATAAAACATAACTCACCCTACGTCAAATTTATGTGCGTTACCCATCCTGGCCATCTAGGGTCAACCCCATTTCATGTTAAAAATGTCGAAACACTCAGCGATCAGTCTCCTGTCTAAATAGGTGCATATTCAATTCAATTTATTTATTTCCATTTTACTTATTGTAAGGTCATTTTACATTAAGGTACAATTAAGTCTTTATTAGAACTAAAATTAACAATAAATTTTACAACTTGACAACCACAAAAATGTGAAAAAAACAATTCACCAATGAAAATATGACGAGACAAAACAATAATGAATTTTATAAATACAATATAATAACAACATCAACAAAATACACAGTATGGCCCTAAGCATATCTAGACATGAACAAAAATAATCCAAATCAATGTTTACAACAGTATTTGTCATAAGCATTTACTAAATAATTTACAGAGAAGAGGCAACACAGATTGAGATTGAAGCGGAAAGTAGTCACGCTCTGGAATGGTGAAAATCCAACACTGTGCCAACCTCGTCACCGACGCGCAAGAGGCTAGGAATAGTGCTTCGCTGCAATTAAATAAGAAATATGTTGTAGTGCTGCCAGCTACCACTCAAACATATCTTAGATCTTGCACGATATGTAATGTGGAATGGTATTCCTCCCATTAGCTCAAGACAATCGGTGTTTCCATTTACAATCTTCATGAGAAGCAGAGTCTGAAATTTTCCTCCGATCATCCAAACTGCGTAGATTGAACTAGCTGAGTTCTGCTTACGAGAGCATCGAATATACAGGGTGAGTTTTAATTGTCCCCCCCCCCCCAACTTTTTTCTACATTTTTTCAAATATCAATCCCAGACCACTTCCAAACATTGTTGGGTAGTAAGTACTTAATTTTGACAAGGTGGTCATTTCCGGCCGCCATCTTGGATCTGCCATATTGGATGCAAAATATTTTTTTCAAATGTAAAGGTGGGGTTGTGACCCATTATTTCGAACTACATTTCTACCCTGGTTACAATGCCGCAAACCGTTTTTAAAAATCTTGATTCATTCCAAAGTTACGAGGGTTTTTTAAAACTTTATTTTTAGCCCATTTTAACATTGTGCATTTACAAACTAAGACCATAATCTCAAAATAGTGCTAGATAAAGATAAGTATACACTACTAGTCATTGTCGACCTATTTTCACTTGGTTATGACAGATGTATTTTATTCGGCCACCATCTAGGATCCGCCATTTTGAAATGTGATAAATTATTTTAAACATGAAGGGGGTGTTGTGACCCATCATTTCAGATTACTTTTTTAAGCTGAACTCTTAGGGCTTAAGCTGCCCTACTAGGGGTAGATGTTGCTAGCTATTCGCATTTCGTCATTCACCTCGAACAGCGCTCGAGTGGAGTGGAGTGACTTGCCCTGTCCTGTCATTGTCCTACGCCGCTTTTATAGGATAGCGCTGGGTTCACAACGATATGGTAGGCATTCGGATAAGAATCGACCTTGTTTTCTACCGGATGACAGACATCGACTTTTTAGTATCGGATCCGGTTATCTCATGGTGGAAGATCGAAGTACAAGTAAATTATTGCCAATGCGCTGGTGCCTTCTGCTGAGTGCTGCTGCTTCTAACTCCTCTCCTACTAGTATGCCTGTCGTCACAAACGTCATAATGTGCCCTTTACGGGAAGACCATAATTAAATTAAATTAAATTTGAATTCACAATATTACAGTGAATGCAAATAAATAAATAAGTACATCATAATATCTGAACCTGGTAACTTATAACATTTGCCAATGAAAATGTTTAATCCTAACATTAAGTTACAGTAAGTAGCCTACGGCTGATAACCAGCATGATGAATATAAGAACTTGAATAGAAGAATATCATGGAGGAATTTAAAAAATATTCCAGTAAACTTACGTAATTTTGGCGTAGATTAGCCTAACTTGTCTAATTCAATAACAATTTGAGCTGTCTTGGGAATACACATTTCTCAAAAAGCCCGTTTCTAGGGCTCAGATATTGCAAGGAAAGACATATTTGAACTCTCAAACTGAGCAGAGGGCATATTTCATGAGTTGAGTACTGGGTTGTTGTATTTAGTCAAAGGTAGGCCCTGCTGGCTATTAAAACAAGCAAGCTTAAGTTTAATCCTCATATAAGTTATAAAACAGCCATCAGTATAGGCCTAGGCAATGTCCGGCCCAAATTTTGACAAACTGCTCAGGATTGAAAATGTACGACGGCGCTGAAGGGCCACCAACTATAAAAAAATATTTGTCTTCATTTCTGAGAAAAAAGTTAGAATTCTGAGATTAAAGTTAGAGTGCGGGAATTAGGCTTCCTCTCTGAGAAAAAAGTCAGATTTCTGAGTTTAAAGTCAGAATTTAACTAGTGGGCGTTCCCCCCACTAGTGTAAATCCCCTCTGAGATTAAAGTCAGAATTTAACAAGTGGGCGTTCCTATCTGTGAAAAAAGTTAGAATTCTGAGATTAAAGTCAGAATTGAACTTGTAGGCGTTCCTTTGAATTGAACGTTCTTCTACTGCCTAACGACGCGAATTGAGCACCGAAATGGACACTAATGAAAGAGAAGCCATTATTTGTGATTATTTTAGATTCACGTTTACGCAACGCAAACGTTTACGTCGACGAATATACAAGAACAAAGGTCCAAACGATCTTTGGCATTTAGATGCTTATGATAACATAAAAAGCTAAAGGGTAGAGAGAGAGCAAGCCAGCAAAGAGTTAAAATTTGACTTAAATCTCAGAGGGGAACGCCCACTAGTTCTAGTTATAATTCTGACTTTAAACTCAGAATTCTGACTTTTTTCTCAGAGAGGAAGCCTACTTCCCGCGCTCTGA